CTTGGACATCAGTTATAGTAGAAATATTCTTCATTTTAAAGAAATCATCTGTATTCCATCTAGGGTAACTTTTCAATGTTGTTATTACATTAGTATTAAAGATAGCATTTTGTATTACTAAAAAGCGCAACTTGTCAATATTGTGATACGGAAGCATAATGTACAACAACCAAGGGGTACCTCGTTAATATTTTGATTTATATTAAAGATAGCATCTTGTATTATTTCCAAAAAAGTAACTCGTCAATGTTGTGATAAATTTTATTAATGATAGCATCCAGTATACCGTGTTACAACGTCACTCGTTAATGTTATGATTAATATCAGAGGTAACATCCCGAGAGATTGTATCTTGAATTATAGTGTAGAGTGAATCTCCCATTGAATCTTCTCTACCATTATAAGTAATTATAAGTAGTACTGGTATTATTAGAATGATTTGTTTGATTTAAAATTATCTTTAAACAGGAGCATTAACATTCAAAAATTTATGTGGAAATTCATTTGTACTGAGATGATCTCTTCGTTGCACCATCTCTCCCCTCATCACATCACAACATATATCCCTTGATCAAAACATCTATCCATACTTTATCTTCTGTATCTATAGATGTCTCGTGGCATCGATGCTGAACGTGTGAACCTTGTGATTAACATGGATCTTCCACGTGACTCTGAGACATATTTACATAGAGTTGGGAGGGCTGGACGTTACGGTAGGTCACCATTTAAATTATTTATAGATAGCTAATTGCAACAGTCGTCCATTATTTTTTTGACGAGGATGGCGTTACTGAAAATGGCGATTTTACATACTGCTAAAATATTTGCGTATAGTAGATCTCAAAGTAGAAAGATTTGAACATGGTTGGCTATTTTTACTTGCACAATGTCATGTTTCGATGTTTGACAATGATATTATTTTTTTGTTCACGACGTAACACGTTTTTACACAACAAGAAAAAAGACAAATGTTGATCAATACGTATAAAATGACGTCGATAAAATGACAAATAAGCTTATGCTTGTACCTTATGTATCCTTATATCAACCCATGCCACCAATCCATTCTACTTACATTCCTATAAAATCCATCGTTACCTACCTAACCCATCCGTCTATTAAAGAATAATTTGTTATCATGATGGCTCATCAGAAATACATTTGCAATTATCAAAGCCATGTATCGTATGATAAGCCTTCGGTTATGGGAACCAACTTCTCATCTATTTTTTCATACTTTTTAATGCGTACGTCAAACATCTTCCCAACAGAGGAAAAATTTCATTCATTATTGGGGATTATGTTTAGTTTTGAACGTTAAACAGGATCGTATGGCGTGGCCATAAATTTCGTGGCCGCAGGAAAAGAGGAATCAAGTTTGAAAGACATCGAAATTAAATGTGGAATAAACTTCGATCCTTTGCCAGGTAATGTTTATGTTTTAAAGAATAATATCATAGCATGATATGAATTTTTATAATAATCTAAAATATATTTGCTTCCACATTTAGTATTTATATTATTAGTATTTAGAATTATTACTATCATTGTCATTATCATAATTATTATTAATATTTAGAAGATTTATCTGAGCTCATATGTGAAGATGCGTTTGCCGAATGTAGTTTGATGAAGTCAAAAGGCGAGATACCTTCATTAACTTCTACGGCTGCTACAACCATAGTTGGAGAAGGGAAGGTGAAAGAAGATGATGTCCTTTGCTGTGAAACTACAAACCTTGTTCATAATGGCGAAACGAGTTCCACAATGACGAAAGAAAATTTAGTTGAAGGTTTGAATGGAGGAGCGAAGAATAAAATTCACGAGATTGTAGCTTTCACTGACATTGTTGTTGATAAAAGTTTTAAATGTGTTAACAATAATGAACAAAAGAAAAATGAAGAAAGTTTAACGGGAGTAATTGAAAATAATTCAGACAATAGCGAAAGTTCCACAACGGAAATCTTGAACTATGGCATTATTAAAGATGATGAGTTGGCTGAAAACAAGAACATTTACACATCTCAAGCTTCTGTCGTTGCTGACGTTTGTCGTCAAGGAAACGGACAGACTGTCGAGGATCCAGGAATTATGGGTAATGTGAAAAAATTTGTTGACGTTAAGAGTGAAAATGTTGCTGTTGAAAATCAGGAAGCTACGACATCCAAAGTGAACAGTGTAGAAGGAAAAGAAATCAAAAGTCAACACAACATTGAAACAATATACGATACAGAAAACAAACTAAATAACTTTAAAAGTGCTATGATTTATCCTTCAACGTCACAAGTCATCTTTCATAAACAATGGGGTAATGGATTTTTTACTGAGAAAAACAAATTGGATGAATGTAAGATGTCGGAATCCTCCGTTTGTGATGATTGTGTATTATTAAGCCAAAATTGCGACTGGCGTGAAGAGTCACGTGATTCTTGTGAAGAGTCATGTGATTCTACTGAAGAGTTATGTGATTCTACTGAAGAATCATGTGATTCTACTGAAGAGTCTTGTGATTTGAGTGAAGAGTCAAGTAGTGCGTGTGAAGAGTCGTATGAATCGTATGAAAATTTGCGTGGTTCGTGTGAAGTAGCACACGATTTGTGTGTAAAGCTGCGCGATTTGCGTGAAAAATCGAGAGATTTGCACGCGCATATCTCATGCAGGTATTTTGATGATATGTTTGTAAAACATTTAAACGATCATGCAAACACAGTCCTTCATAAAGATTTAGAAAATGAAAAACTATTATCCTGTTTGGCAAAGAGAACAAGCTTGCTCGATGAGGTTAATGAATTTGGTTCAACAGAATTCGTCTCTGGTTATGAGAGAGAAGATGTTGAAATGAGAACTTCTGCTCCACAAGAATGTGTTGGTGCACAGTCCTGCAATTTAGAAACTAATAAAACAAATACGACAGTCAATTCCACCGATTCCCGCAACGTATGGAACCATGGCATGGAAGCCATGTTTTATGGTGCCACCACTGATGACGTCACAGCCTACATGGCGCAGTTGCCCGTTGATTGGACAAACATGTGGTATAGAGCCTACGATAAACAAACCAATCACATAATGAAATACACGAAGTTTTATCATGAAAGTTATTGATGAGAGATATCTGGTATTTTAATCGGCTAAAATACCTACTCTGTTCTTAGTAGGTTCCGTGAGGATTTTGTATGGATGAAGATGGAAAAATTAAATTTATATTTATGTTACTTAAATATAACATGAATGTCAAATGAACTTGCTTGCCATTACGTCATTGACGAAGTGAAAACGAAGTCAGTAATGTTGTGTCCCCCCCTGTTGCTGTGTGTGATGCTGGCTGTGACAAGTCACAAGATGTTGTTTCACTTTTATTGAAAGATTTTCAAGAAAAAGTCATATTTGCGTATTGTTGTTTGTGTCACAATTTTAGAAAATAATTATAAGATAGCTAAACAAAAGAATATATTCATTATGTACATCAATTTATACTTATATATCGACAAACTACAAAAAAGAATCAAATGACGATTTTATTTTAAATGAAATCGGAATCAACTCCAGCAAACAGTATACAAAATATTTGAGAATAATATTGAACTTCTAAGCAGGATTGTTTTAAAGTAATACTTGGGAGCATTAAAAAGAACCTGTCTTTTTTCTTCAATAATCTTGTTTTAGCTTTATCTACATTTTAGTATAAAAGTCTTCATTTTACATTTACGTTGTATCTTGTTAAAGATAAAGTTCTTTCATTTGACTTATTTCGTACGATAGAATTGAGTTCGCACCATTCTTAGTTTATTTTGAAATTTAAATACCACGAAGGTTCAACAGACGATTGCACTTTAGCACGTGTCCTTGTTTTTACCTTGTCTCATTTTTCCTAATTTTTATGCTTACATATCGTATTATGTCCTTATTGTCGTGTTTTTGGTACTATCAGATCCAACAGTATAGGAGTTACAATATGATGAGACGAGACATATAGAGAAATTTCTAAGAACTACGCTTGATACTCCAATACGAAATCAGGGTCCATGATAAGAAATCGACCAAACGAATCAACCAAATCATTTTCTGTTCATTTGCAACAGCTGCTGATTTTACATAGTCTGGAATACGAACGCTTTTTGTTAGTAAGTGTTACATCGTTAAAGTTCATTGTACCTGTTGCAGTCACGTCATGTTCTTCCTTCAACGCTTGACACAGTTTTATGAATACCATGTCAACGTTTGTATTATTCTGGAAATGAAAGATAAGTTAGTGATGGATCGTTTAGAGATGAAGGTTATGAACGGGTTTCTCTTGGTAAATAAATCTTTTAGAAATAATAGATAAGGTTGTGCAAGGGTTTCTTTCGGTAAATCTCTTTTTGCCATGTTATAGTGTTCCTTAAGTTACATCATTCATTAGTGCAATGACCATGAACTGAATTTCATGTCAAATATGATCGCTGTATTGTTCGACAAGTTTCTTCAAAAACATTATATTTTGTCTCTTGAGAAAAGTGTTTGTTAAATTTGGATTTCCTTTTGTTATTCCGTAATATCAAGAAAATAATGAAATAAAATAGAAGAAAATTTTAGAAGCCATCAAAATGGCAAAGAAGTCAAAACATAAACGATGACGCAAACCTGGACCTTCAAGAAAATAAGTCATCAAACAATTAAACTTTAATAATCTATGCAAAAACGTGTTTATGGACTTGTCTTTGCTGTTTGGTGTTTTATGAAATTTTAAAATGCCCTGGTAAAGCATTGCAATCATGTTGACTTAGAAAAGGAAAATACACATTATATTGTTCTTCAATGTAATAAAGAATGTAGTAAGTATAGTTTCAACACATTTAAAGCATGTTGAAGTTAATGAGCAGTGCATTTCGAGAATTAAGACAAGCTGCAATGGTACATTCAAAGTTAATGAATATGTTACCAACTTGCCGAAGGTTCAATGATCAAAATGGGCTGTTACCAGTTGTTCAACAATTGTAATGACAGAATAATTAACATGCTGTTGCAAAATATGTTTTTAGAAACTTTCAGGTAATTATTTACATTGCATTATAAGTTACGTACATGTTAACAGTTTATCAGTAATATAAATCTTATCATGAAAATTGACATTTCTTAAAATGGCTACGATAAAAGAGGTAGGCGCCCTATTCAAGTAAAAACGTTGTATTTTAAACTACAGACTTAAGTTTCTAAAATGGTTGTTTCATTTTACGACTGCCAAAAATTATTTTAGTAAAACATAAAACATGTATGTTTTAGTAATAAATTTTTAATATATTGGTGAAACAACTGCGGCAGGAAAACTTCGTTTGGTCAACATAGGAGGTAGTTCTCTCCAAACGTTTGTACTCATATCAAGACATTCAACAGAATCAAGAAATGATTCACCATCATGTCCACCAACCACAACAATAATATTTCCAATGATAACTGCTGAACATCCATATCTTTTATGATTAAGTGAAGGAAGCATTTTAGTTTGTCCTGTTTTCACATCATACATCAAAACTTTATCTAATATTTCACCTTTATCATTTTGACCTCCAATCAAAATTGCATTACCTTTATAACTGACTATACCCATGTCACTTACAGGATATGGAAGTGGAGCCAAGGTTTTACATTCCTTTTTACTGAGACTGTATGAATAAACAGTGTTTTTGATATCTTCGAATTTCCTAGATATTCCCCCACCAAATACTAAAAAATTGTCGTCAATGAGAATTGAGCCATGGTAACATCTTGGCTCTGGTATTCGCGCCAATAATTTTGTCGTATGTGGAGGATTTAGTTGAATACTGTAGATTGTATCAAAGGCTTCGTTACTAGTACGTCCACCAATCATAATCACATTATCATTATGATAAACCATACTATGTCCACCACAATTTCTTGGTAACATGACATGAGATATTTTCCATTGCAATTTTCCATCCACATTTAAACTCTCGATGTTTCTAAAGAATTGTTTCCCATTCCAACCACCACAGAGAAATATTTCCCGACCATGAACAAATGCAGTTGCTCCAGATCGTTCTTCATTCATTTCAGGTTCCTGTTGCCAACAATTTGAATCCCAGTTGAAAGACTCGACAGAATTCAAACGATTCTCTCCATCTCTTCCTCCAAAAACATTAAATCTTTATTTTTCCCGTAAGAAAATTACATCTTTCTGTCGTTTCTGTTGTAAGAAACGTCATTTCATTACGACTTAACCTCATTTGCTCTTCAACATGAGTCACCATTTCATCACGATTCAGCTTCATTTGCTTTTGAAACATCTTTTGAAACATCTCCAATCTTTTGGTCAAATCGTCAATCTCTTTCTTCAAGAAACATGAATGAGATCGTCTGTATCTGAACACAAGCATCATTTTGCATTCTTCACAATCGATGAGACGGAACTCACATCGTTCTATTTCATGTTCTTCAATCTCGTTTTTATTAAGGACTTCGTCACAACCTTCATTTCTACAAGGTGTTGGTGAATAACCACAGTTCTCCTCATGACGTTGGAGAAATTGAAGCTTCACTATTTCAGGACAACCACGGTTGGCATTCACACAACGAATATCAAGATCTTCTAACATTTTGGTGACAAATCTAGCTATATCCTGTAATGTCTCCTTAGTGAGATGACATCGACATTCAGGACATTTATCAGAAGTTAACAAGTATCTTTCGATACAAGTGCGACAGAAATAATGTTCGTTTGGACATTGAACAGGATCTTTAAATATTTTAAAACATATAGGACATTCAAATCTTGGATGAACTTTATCGGCAAATCTCTCTTGTTCATATCCACCATACGAGTCATTTGTAGCCATTGTTGAAGACTTTTATAATTTACTGACCAAGTTTACATTGTATGTTCGTATTTTTAATGAAATAATGTTTCCATTTTCTTTATGCATATCTTCCATCTTTTTATCGATTCTTGAATGTCTTTGACAAGATGACCTCCTCGGGTTTTTATTTTCTCAAAACATGTCTTGCTTTCTAAAACGATAGATGTCTACGATTTTATGTTCTGATATGGAAAGAAAATGGGTGGATGATTCATCACAAAGTTGTTGCCAAAGTTGTTTTCAAGCTGTGATCTTTTGTAAAGTTTGATGCATGATTTCGGCTGGACAAAAGTTCATTTTGATACATTCCTGCATAAAATTATACTTAAAGGATAATAATTGTTTGTTTGAAATCAGTTGAGAGAAAATTGTTTCATATTTTATCATAAACTTGTCAAGTTATTATGGCTTTATGATATTTTTTATTTAAGATTATTGTTATTCAGTTATATTCATTTCTTTGTACAATCGTCGCCAAATTTTTAGTAAATCAGTTCAAATTGCGATGTTTTCAACCGTTTAATGTATTCAACATTTTATCAAAGTAATAAAAGTTTCTTTTACAATAATTGTATCGAGAATGTTTAATTATTACCAAGAATTCGTATTCAAAGAGTCTAATGTTTCGATGTTTTAAGTTGGGTGAAGACCGTGGGGCTGGGTCCAGTTGGGTCACACTTTTTCTGACTGTGTAAAATAGGTACGTTGTGCCTGCAAAAATTATTGATGATGTTACAAAACATGTTTTGGTTGTGGTAAAAATTTCCGTCCACGTATTTTATCCAAAACATGCCTGAGAACTGAAGAATATTAGAAATTTTTCGGTAAAAAAAAGTCAACGGGACGTCAATTTTTAATATCTCAAGAATTATAAAGACTTTATATAGACACTTTACTGTTGTTGAAAAAAATAGTCGGTTGAAAAAACATACATTCCAATACTACTAGTTCAGAGAATGAATTCTTTAATAAATACAAAAAATTAACCAACATTTGCCGTATAAGATATTAACATATGTTTAAAAAAGTATGAATTTAATTTTGTTTGCGGTGGAGGAACCCATCCAGCTAATTAGTAAACAGGTCAGTGGTCAATGTATCAATGTTCACTCAACAATTTTGTAATAGAAACTTTGAACATTTTTAGGGAAAATGCACCGTAGAGTTATTGCGCATCGTTTAAATGCAAAACGTCGTACAGCAGATGTCTTAATCAATGACAAAGTCGATTTCTCAGGGTTAATTTTATCCAAAGATGAAATCAAAGGGTTGAAAAGTGCTGGATTTGAAAGACCATCACCAATTCAACTGAAAGCTATTCCTATTGGTCGTTGTGGTGTGGGTGAGTGGATTGTATATAATGCTTGTTTTTCTGTAGGATGTTTCTTTGTTGACAACAGTTTCATACATTCAGCTAAATTTTACCATGTGTCATGTGAGCAGTGAGAGTGCTACAAGCTTAGCAACTTGGAAATGTCACTGCATTGATAGTTAGATTTCATTGATAATACTATACATATTGGAAACTTTTCCTTAATGAGCTTTTTATCAAACAAACCATTTAGATAAACAGAAGTACTTTTAAACATCATTTCACCATCATTCAGTTCACCAATGTACATGTTTCAAAGGGTCACCACCAAGCTTTGATGAAATTGCATGCTTAGTAGTTTTAAATTGGATGGCTTCTTAAAGCTTTTGGTGTTAAGGAAATGTAGTTTTAATGTAGGAAAAGCACTCACTATCAGAAAAGTAAAGGAACTCAAAATTTTTAGTTTGATAGTTCATGCAAAGGTTTTCAATTAAAATGACTTTCCATTTAAGCCTTGTAAAGTCTGTTGTCTAAAAAATTAAAAATTTAAAAAGACTTTCTTTATAGATTTGATTGCACAAGCAAAATCTGGCACAGGGAAAACATGTGTCTTTAGTGTGATTGCTTTGGAAAGCATCATTCTTACAATGATGTCAATACAAGTGTTGGTTCTTGTGCCGACTCGAGAGATAGCTGTTCAAATCAAGGATGTAATGAACTCTATTGGTCAACATATGCAAGGACTTCATGTAAATGTTTTTATTGGTGGTTTGTCTATTGAAGATGACAAGAACAAGTTGAAACTTTGTCAAATTGCTATTGGTACACCAGGTAGGTGGAGCAGTTAAATATTGATCAATTGCATATCATTTGGGAATGAATACATATAGCTTTGGGCAGAAATATATATTATAATTTGGAATGTCAGTGCCAAGCAAAGTACTATACATAAGCAATCATACAAAAAAATACATTTAATATCATCAAGTAAGGTACAAGCTACTGTTTCTTCCTAAACTCGTAGGATACATTTGCGAAATCAATTTTTCAATCATCATTTAGGACGGGTGAAACATCTAATTGACAGCAAACTTTTGTCTACTTCTTCCATTCGATTGCTTATTCTTGATGAGGCTGATAAACTTTTGGAGGAAAACTTTCAAGATCAGATCAAGTAAGACCATTAAATAAATGGATAATTTGAATATCATTGATTTTTTCTTTCATAATATGAAGGTTGAAACTTGTTTTATACTTTGTAGTTGGATATTTTCAACACTTCCTGAAAGCAAGCAAGTGTTGGCTTTGTCTGCAACCTATCCAAACTATCTCAGCGAGCATTTACAGAAATATATGAGAAATCCAACTTTTGTTTGTTTAAATGCCATGGACCCTACACTAGAAGGTGAGTGTTGTAAGTCATATTTATAGTTTAAGTTTAGTGAAAATGAACATTTATATTGTATGTACTGACTATTAAAAGTACATGAATATGTTTTTAGGGATTCATCATTATTTTTGCACAATACCAAGTCATTCTCTCCCACATAAAACATTTGATGAAAAGGTTGGTAGTATTGGTCATACCGAGTAGGCTATAGGCTCGCACACACATGCAAACACTGGACTGTTGGTCTAGACAAATCATCTAAATCTTTATTCTGTATGTTACCACTCAATGTATGTTACTCATTCTATTAACTTGTGAAACTGTTGTCCAGTGTGTTGCATGTTTGCAGGCTTATTTGATATGTCATTTATAATTTACCTTAATCTGTGCATTTGTTAAATTGTTGAATATTCTACTGTAGGTTAATCATTTACTGGTTATGTTGTCACAGATATCTTTCCATCAATGCCTTATCTTTTCTAACTATCAAATAAGGTATGTATCTAACAAAAAACTACATTGTGTTCATTGCCGTCACAATTTGTATGGTGGTTCTTAATTTTTATGTATAAATTTATTTCATAGAGCAAAGAATTTGAGTGAAACTTTGGCTAAAAATGGATTTCCTTCTACACATATTTCAGGTAGTGTTTGCTATGTAATTTATAAATCTTGGTCAATTATCTTTGTTTGATTTGTCATTTAGGGTAATTTTCCTTATTTTCTTTTTTGTATTCATGAACACCGAGATGCTTTCTGGGTATTTTCTAATAAAAATATTTACAAAAGTAAATAACAAAGTAGAGAGGTCACTGTGTTTTAGAAACATGATGCTTTGTCATACTTTGGTTAGTGTTAGTTTATAAAACAAGTTTCTCTGCTTTTGTACTGACTGGTCTGTTAATTGTCATCACTATGTTAATTTTGTTCTCTGTCATTGGATAAAACAAGAATAAAATACAGTCATGTTTATTTTTTTATGTTTATTTTTTTGAGAAAGGTGGTCAAGGCCAAAATGAACGTCTTGATGCAATGAGGAAGTTGAAGGAGTTCAAATGTCGTATTTTGATATCAACAGATCTTGTAAGTGACGTTAACTGATTTCTATATTTTCTTGTTTGGATACTTGGACATCAGTTAAAGTAGAAATATTCTTAATTTAAAGAAATCATCTGTATTCCATTTAGGGTAACTTGTCGATGTTATGATTACAGTAGTATTAGAGCTAGCATCTTGTATTACTAACAAGCGCAACTTGTCAATATTGTGATACGGTAGCATTACGTATAACAACCAAGGGATAACTCGTTAATATTTTGATTTATATTAAAGATAGCATCTTGTATTATTTCCAAGGGTAACTTGTCAATGTTATGATAAATATTATTAATGATAGCATCCAGTATACCGTGTTACAACGTCACTCGTTAATGTTATGATTAATATCAGAGGTAACATCCCGAGGGATTAAATCTTTAATTATAGTGTAGAGTGAATCTCCCATTGAATCTTCTCTACTATTATAAGTAATTATAGGTAGTACTGGTATTATTAGAATGATTGCTTTGATTTAAAATTATCTTTAAACAGGAGCATTAACATTCAAAAATTTATGTGGAAATTCATTTATACTGAGATGATCCCCTCACCATCTCTCCATCCATCTCTCATCCTCATCACAATATCTCATCCCTCATCACAACATCTCTCCCTCATCACCATGATCAAAACATCTATCCATACTTTATCTTCTGTATCTATAGATGTCTCATCGATGCTGAACGTGTGAACCTTGTGATTAACATGGATCTTCCACGTGACTCTGAGACATATTTACATAGAGTTGGGAGGGCTGGACGTTACGGTAGGTCACCATTTAAATTATTTATAGATAGCTAATTGCAACAGTCGTCCATTATTTTTTTGACGAGGATGGCGTTACTGAAAATGGCGATTTTACATACTGCTAAAATATTTGCGTATAGTAGATCTCAAGGTAGAAAGATTTGAACCTGGTTGGCTATTTTTACTTGCACAATGTCATGTTTCAATGTTTGACAATGATATTATTTTTTTGTTCACGACGTAACACGTTTTTACACAACAAGAAAAAAGACAAATGTTGATCAATACGTATAAAATGACGTCGATAAAATGACAAATAAGCTTATGCTTGTACCCTATGTACCCTTATATCAACCCATGCCACCAATCCATTCTACTTACATTCCTATAAAATCCATCGTTACCTACCTAACCCATCCGTCTATTAAAGAATAATTTGGTATCATGATGGCTCATCAGAAATACATTTGCCATTATCAAAGCCATGTATCGTATGATAAGTCATCGATTATGGGAACCAACTTCTCATCTATTTTTTCATACTTTTTAATGCGTACGCCAAACATCTTCCCAACAGAGGAAAAATTTCATTCATTATTGGGGATTATGTTTAGTTTTGAACGTTAAACAGGGTCGTATGGCGTGGCCATAAATTTCGTGGCCGCAGGAAAAGAAGAATCAAGTTTGAAAGACATCGAAATTAAATGTGGAATAAATTTCGATCCTTTGCCAGGTAATGTTTATGTTTTAAAGAATAATATCACAGCATCATACGAATTTTTTATAATAATATAAAATATATTTGCTTCCACATTTAGTATTTATATTATTAGTATTTAGAATTATTACTATCATTGTCATTATCATAATTATTATTAATATTTAGAAGATTTATCTGAGCTCATATGTGAAGATGCGTTTGTCGAATGTAGTTTGATGAAGTCAAAAGGCGAGATACCTTCATTAACTTCTACGGCTGCTACAACCATAGTTGGAGAAGGGAAGGTGAAAGAAGATGATGTCCTTTGCTGTGAAACTACAAACCTTGTTCATAATGGCGAAACGAGCTCCACAATGACGAAAGAAAATTTAGTTGAAGGTTTGAATGGAGGAGCGAAGAATAAAATTCACGAGATTGTAGCTTTCACTGACATTGTGGTTGATAAAAGTTTTAAATGTGGTAACAATAATGAACAAAAGAAAAATAAAGAAAGGTTAACGCGAGTAATTGAAAATAATTCAGACAATAGCGAAAGTTCCACAACGGAAATCTTGAAATATGGCATTATTAAAGATGATGAGTTGGCTGAAAACAAGAACATTTACACATCTCAAGCTTCTGTCGTTGCTGACGTTTGTCGTCAAGGAAACGGACAGACTGTCGAGGATCCAGGAATTATGGGTAATGTTAAAAACGAATTTGTTGACATTAAGAGTGAAAATGTTGCTGTTGAAAATCAGGAAGCTACGACATCCAAAGTGAACAGTGTAGAAGTAAAAGAAATCAAAAGTCATCACAACATTGAAACAATATACGATACAGAAAACAAACTAAATAACTTTAAAAGTGCTATGATTTATCCTTCAACGTCACAAGTCATCTTTCATAAACAATGGGGTAATGCATTTATTACTGAGAAAAACAAATTGGATGAATGTGAGATGTCGGAATCCTCCGTTTGTGATGATTGCGAATCATCAAGCCAAAATTGCGACTGGCGTGAAGAGTCACGTGATTCTTGTGAAGAGTCATGTGATTCTACTGAAGAGTCATGTGATTCTACTGAAGAATCATGTGATTTGAGTGAAGAGTCAAGTAGTGCGTGCGAAGAGTCGTATGAATCGTATGAAAATTTGCGTGGTTCGTGTAAAGACTCGCGTGTTTCGTGTGATTAGCACGAGATGAAAGATAAGTTGTGATGATGTCGAGCGATGAACGGTTATGAACAGGTTTCTGATGATATGTAAATCTTTGAAATAATACATAAGGTTGTAAAACATTTAAAATCTCTTCGATGCCATTTATAGCTTAAGTTAGATTCATTAGAAATGATGATTATGAGAACTTTTTCTCCTGTATGTTGAGCAATAAACATTCATTTTCGCTCAAAATAAAAACTTGGGGAACATGAAAAAAATCTTGTTTTATGATTTAGTTGTAATCAAATCACTTTCACATTGCGATGTTTGTACATTTAATGTATATTTTATTAATAAACAATTTACCATAACTGTGCATAAAATGTTTTAATTATTACCGGGAACTGGTATTCAAGAAATCCCGGTTTTAACGTTGGTACGATCATGACGGTAGCTATATCTTGTACATGTGTGACGATCATGACCTAGGTATATCTTACATGTGTGACAATCATGACCTAGGTAGCTACAAACATGTGTGACGATATGACCTAGGTAGCTATATCTGTGTACATGTGTGACGATCATGACCTAGGTAGCTATGTCTGTGTACATGTGTGACAATCATTACCTAGGTAGCTATATCTGTGTACATTTGTGACAATCATTACCTAGGTAGCTATATCTGTGTACATGTGTGACGATCATGACCTAGTTAGCTATATCTGTGTACATGTGTAACAGTTATTAAGAATAATTAACATGCTGTTGCAAAACATGTTTTTAAACACTTTCAGGTAATTATTTACATTGCATTATAAGTTACGTACATGTTAACAGTTTATCAGTAATATAAATCTCATCATGAAAATTGACATTTCTTAAAATGGCTACGATAAAAGAGGTAGGCGCCCTATTCGAGTAAAAATGTTGTATTTTAAACTACAGACTTAAGTTTCTAAAATGATTGTTTCATTTTACGACTCCCAAAAACTATTTTAGTAAAATATAAAACTTATATGTTTTAGTAATGATATTTTTAATATATTGGTGAAACAACAGCAGCAGCCCAATTTCGTTTGGTCATTATGGGAGGTAGTTCTCTCCAAACGTTTGTACTCATATCAAGACATTCAACTGAATCAAGATAAGATTCACCATTATAGCCACCAACCACAACAATAATATTTCCAATGATAACTGCTGAACAACCATATCTTTTATGATTAAGTGAAGGTAGCATTTTTGTTTGTCCTGCTTTCACATCATACATCAAAACTTTATCTAATGTTTCATTTTTATCATTCACACCTCCAATCAAAATTGCATTACCTTTATAACTGACTATACCCGTATTTCGTATTGGATATGGAAGTGGAGCCAAGGTTTTACATTCGTTTCTACTGAGACTGTATGAATAAACAGTGTTTTTCATACCTTTTAATTCTTCAGACATTCCTCCACCAAATACTAAAACATCGTCGCCAATAATAATTGAGCCATGGCAAAATCTTCGCTCTGGTATTTGCGCCAATAATTTTGTCGTATGTGGAGGATTTAATTGAATACTGTAGATTGTATCAAAGGTTTCTCCACTATTAAATCCACCAATCATAATCACATTATCATTATCATAAATCATACTATGTCCATGACAATTTCTTGGTAACATGACATGAGATATTTTCCATTGCAATTTTCCATCTACATTTAAACTCTCGATGTTTCCAATGAATTGTTTACTATTGCAACCACCACTGACAAATATTTCTCGACCATGAACAAATGCAGCTGCTGCAGATCGTTCTTCATTCATTTTTGGTTCCAGTTGCCAACAATTTAAATCCCAGTTGAAAGACTCGACAGAATTCAAAAAATTCTTGCCATCATAACCTCCGCAAACAAAAATCTTAACTTTTCCTGTAAGAAAATTACACCTTTCTGTCGTTTCTGTTGTAAGAAACGTCATTTCATTACGACTTAACCTCACTTGATTCGCCATTTCATCACAATTCACTTTCATTTGCTTTTCAACATGAGTCACCATTTCATGATTCAACTTCACTAGCTCTTCAACATGCTTAACTCTGTCATCTTGACTCTTTTGAAACATCTCCACTCTTTTGGTCAACTCGTCAATCTCTTTCCTCATAAAACATGGATGAGATCTTCGATACTTAAATACAAGAATCATTTTGCATTCTTCACAATCGATGAGACGGAACTCACATTGTTCCCTTTCATGTTCTTCAATCTCGTTTTTATTGATGATTTCGTCACAACCTTCATTTCTACAAGATGTAGGTGAATAATCACAGTTTTCTTCATGACGTTGAAGAAATTGAAGCTTCATAATTTCAGGACAACCACGGTTGGCATTCACACAGCAAATATCAAAATCTTCTAACATTTCCCTAATGAACCTCACTGTCTTTAATGTCTCCTTAATGAGATGACATCGACATTCAGGACATTTATCAGAAGTTAACAAGTATCTTTCGATACAAGTGCGACAGAAATAATGTTCGTTTGGACATTGAACAGGATCTTTAAATATTTTAAAACATATAGGACACTCAAATCTTGGATGAACTTTATCGGCAAATCTCTCCTGTTCATATCCACCATACGAGTCATTTGTAGCCATTGTCGAAGACTTTTATAATTTACTGACAAAGTTTACATTGTATGTTCGTATTTCTGTTTCATGAAATAATGTTTCCATTTTCTTTATGCATATCTTCCATATTTTTATATATTCTTGAATGTCTTTGACAAGATGACGTCCTTGGGTATTTATTTTCTCAAAATATGTCTTGCTTTCTAAAACGATAGATGTCTACGATTTTGTGTTCTGTTATGGAAAGAAAATGGGTGGATGATTCATCACAAAGTTGTTTTCAAACTGTGATCTTTTGTATAGTTAGTTGCATGATTTCGGCTGGACAAAAGTTCATTATGATAAGTTTCTGCATAAAGTTATACTTCAATGATAATAATTGTTTGTTTAAAATCAGTTGAGAGAAAATTGTATCACATTTTATCATAAACTTGTCAAAATATTATGGCTTTATGATATTTTTTATTTAAGATTATTGTAATTCTGTTATATTCATTTCTTTGTACAATCGTCGCCAAATTTTTAGTAAATCACTTCAAACTGCGATGTTTTCAACCGTTTAATGTATTCAACATTTTATCAAGATGTATTCAACATTTTATCAACACATTATATAATAGCTGTTTATTTTTTAATTTTTGTGTCAAGAATGTTTAATTATTACCAAGAATTCGTATTCAAAAAGTCTAATGTTTCGATGTTTTAAGTTGGGTGAAGACCGTGGGGTTGGGTCCAGTTGGGTCACACTTTCTCTGACTGTGTAAAATAAGTACGTTGTGCGTACAAAAATCATTGATGATGTTACAAAACATGTTTTGGTTGTGGTAGAAATTTCTGTCCAAGTATTCTATCCAAAACTTGCCTAAGAACTGAAGAATATTAGAAGTTTTTCGGTAAAAAAAATCAATTGGCGTCAATTTTTAATATCTCAGGAATTATAAAGACTTTATAAAGTCACTTTACTGTTGTTGAAAAAACTAGTTGGTTCAAAAAACATAGTTTTCAATATTACTAGTTCAGAGAATGAATTCTTTAATAAATACAAAAAATTCAACCAACATTTGCCCATATAAGATATTAACATATACTTATAAATGTATGAATTTAATTTTGTTTAGGGTGGAGGAATCCATCCAGCTAATTAGTATACAGGTCAGTGGTAAATGTATCAATGTTCACTCAACAAATTTTGTAATAGAAACTTTGAACATTTTTAGGGAAAATGCACCGTAGAGTTATTGCGCATCGTTTAAATGCAAAACGTCGCACAGCAGACGTCTTAATCAATGAGAAAGTCGATTTCTCAGGATTAATTTTATCCAAAGATGTCCTCAAAGGGTTGAAAAGTGCTGGATTTGAAAGACCATCACCAATTCAACTGAAAGCTATTCCTATTGGTCGTTGTGGTGTAGGTGAGTGGATTGTATATAATGCTTGTTTTTCTGTTTCTTTGTTGACAATATTTTCATACATTCAGCTAAATTTTGCCATGTTTCATGTGAGCAGTGAGAGTGCTACAAGCCTTAGCAACTTGGAAATGGCACTGCATTGATAGTTAGATTTCATTGATAATAGTCAACAAATTGGAAACTTTTCCTTATTGAGCTTTTCATCAAACAATCCATTAAGATAACAGAGGTACTTTTAGACATCATTTCACCATCATTCAGTCCACCAATGTACATGTTACAAAGGGTCACCACCAACTTTGATGAAATTGCACACTTTGTAGTTTTGAATTGGATGGCTTCTTATAGCTTTTGGTGTGAAGGAAATGTAGTCTTAATGTAGGAAAAGCACTCACTATCAGAAAAGTAAAGTGAACTCAAAAGTTTTAGTTTCATAGTTCATGCAAAGGTTTTCAATTAAAATGACTTTCCATTTAAGCCTTGTAAATTCTGTTGTCTAAAAAATTAAAAATTTAAAAAAGATTTCTTTATAGATTTGATTGCACAAGCCAAATCTGGCACAGGGAAAACATGTGTCTTTAGTGTGATTGCTTTGGAAAGCATCAGTCTTACAATGATGTCTATACAAGTGTTGGTTCTTGTACCGACTCGAGAGATAGCTGTTCAAATCAAGGATGTAATGAACTCTATTGGTCAACATATGCAAGGACTTCATGTAAATGTTTTTATTGGTGGTTTGTCTATTGAAGAAAACAAGAACAAGTTGAAACTTTGTCAAATTGCTATTGGTACACCAGGTAGGTGGAGCAGTTGAATAATGATCAATTGCATATCATTTGAGAATGAATACGTATAGCTTTGGGCAGAAATATATATTATAATTTGGAATGTCAGTGCCAAGCAAAGTATTATACATAAGCAATCATACAAAAAAATACATTTAATATCATCAAGTAAGGTACAAGCTAGTGTTTCTTCTTAATTGTAGGATACTTTTGTGAAATCAATTTTCAATCATTTTTAGGACGGTCAAACATCTAATTGACAGCAAACTTTTGTCTACTTCTTCCATTCGATTTGTATTCTTGATGAGGCTGATAAACTTTTGGAGGAAAACTTTCAAGATCAGATCAAGTAGACCATTAAATATATGGATAATTTGATTTTCCATATATGATCATGATTTTTCTTTCATAATATGATGGTTGAAACTTGTTTTATAATTTGTAGTTGGATATTTTCAACACTTCCTGAAAGCAAGCAAGTGTTGGCTTTGTCTGCAACCTATCCAAACTATCTTAACAAGCATTTACAGAAATATATGAGAAATCCAACTTTTGTTTGTTTGAATGCCATGGACCCTGCACTAGAAGGTGAGTGTTGTAAGTTATATTTATAGTTTAAGTTTAGTGAAAATGAACATTTATATTGTATGTACTGACTATTAAAAGTACATGAAAGTTTTAGGGATTCATCATTATTTTGCACAATAGGTCATTCTCTCCCACATAAAACATTTGATGAAAAGGTTGTAGTATTGGTCATACCTAGTACTAGGCTCGCATTTACATGCAAACACTGGACTGTTGGTCTAGACAAATCATCTAAATCTTTATTCTGTATGTTACCACTCAATGTATGTTACTCATTCTATTAACTTGTGAAACTGTTGTCCAGTGTGTTGCATGTTTGCAGGCTTATTTGATATGTCATTTATAATTTACTAATCTGTGCATTTGTTATATTGTTGAATATTCTACTGTAGGTTAATCATTTACTGGTTATGTTGTCACAGATATCTTTCCATCAATGCCTTATCTTTTCTAACTATCAAATATATGCTAACAAAAACTACATTGTGGTCAACAATTTGAGGTAGTTCTTAATTTTTATGTATAAATTTATTTCATAGAGCAAAGAATTTGAGTAAACTTTATAAAATGGTTTTTCTACACATATTTCAGGTATGTTTTATGTAATTTTAGATATTGGTCAAACATCTTAGCTATTTGTCAACAAAGTAGTTTTCCAGATTTTGTTTTCATATCAAGACATTCAAGATGATATTTTCACCTATTTATCAAATAAATAACAAATAAGACATCCACATTTTTATGAAACATGAAGTTTTGTCATACTGTTTTACATGTTACATTATAAAACAAGTTTCTGCTTTTACTGACTGTCTGAATTGCATCACTTTATTAACTTTGACTTTACCATGGATAACAAGATTGGAAGTGGAGCCAAGTTTATTTTTTAATGAGAAAGGTTGTCAGCCAAAATAAAACATCGTGCAATGAGAATTGAGCCATGGTAAATGTCGTATTCGATATCAATAATTTTGTCGTACGTTAAGTGTTTCTATAATTCTAATACTTACCAGTTATATATATTCAATTATGATAAATCATACTATGTGCATTACACTTTCTTGGTAACATGACATGAGATATTTTCCATTGCAATTTTCCATCCACATTTAAACTTTCAATATTTCCTAACGGTTGTTTCCCATTCCAACCACCACAGAGAAATATTTCTCGATTATGAACAAATGCAGTTGCTCCAGATCGTTCTTCATTCATTTCAGGTTCCTGTTGCCAACAATTTGAATCCCAGTTGAAAGACTCGACAGAATTCAAACGATTCTCTCCATCTCTTCCTCCACAAACAAAAATCTTTACTTTCCCCGTAAGAAAATTATATCGTTCTGTCGTTTCTGTTGTAAGAAACGTCATTTCATTACGACTTAATCTCATTTGCTCTTCGACATGAATCATCATTTCATCACGATTCAACTTCATTTGCTCTTTAAACATCTTTTGAAACATCTCCAATCTTTTGGTCAACTCGTCAATCTCTTTCCTCAAGAAACATGAATGAGATCGTCTGTATCTGAACACAAGCATCATTTTGCATTCTTCACATTCAATGAGACGGAACTCACATCGTTCTCTTTCATGTTCTTCAATCTCGTTTTTATTAAGGACTTCGTTACAACCTTCATTTCTACAAGGTGTAGGTGAATAACCACAGTTCTTCTCATGACGTTCGAGAAATTGAAGCTTCACTATTTCATGACAACCACGGTTGGCATTCTTACAGCGAATATCATGATCTTCTAACATTTCGGTGAGAATTCTAGGTGCATCCTGCAATGTCTTCGACGTAATTTGACAATTACATTGAGGACATTTGTTAGAAGAAAGTAAAAATCTTTCGATGCAAGAACGACAGAAATGATGCTGATTTGGACATTGAACAGGATCCTTAAATATTTTGAAACATATGGGACATTCAAATCTTGGATGAACTTTATCGAGAAATCTCTCTTGTTCATATCCACCATATGAGTCATTTCTAGACATTGCCGAAGACTTTTGTAATTTATTGACCAAGTTTACATTGTATGTTTGTATTTCTATTTCATGAAATAATGTTTCCATTTTCTTTGAGCATATCTTCCATTTTTATCGATTCTTGAATGTCTTCGCAAAGACGTTTCCTTTGGCTTCTATTTTCTCAAAACATGTCTTGCTTTCTAAAACGATAGATGTCTACGATTTTATGTTCTGCTATGGAAAGAAAATGGGTGGATGATTCAACACAAAGTTGTTGCCAAAGTTGTTTTCAAGCAGTGATCTTTTGTAAAGTTTGATGCATGATTTCGGCTGAACAAAAGTTCATTTTGATACATTCCTGCATAAAATTATACTTAAAGGATAATAATTGTTTGTTTGAAATCAGTTGAGAGAAAATTGTTTTATATATTATCATGAACTTGTCAAGTTATTATGGCTTTATGAAATTTTTCATTTAAGATTATTGTTATTCAGTTATATTCTTTTCTTTTTACAATCGTCGCCAAATTTAGTTCAAACTGTGATTTTTCAGCCCTTTAATGTATTCAACATTTTATCAAAGTAATAAAAGTTTATTTTACAATAATTGTATCGAGAATGTTAAATTATTATCAAGAATTCGTGTACAAAGAGTCTAATGTTTCGATGTTTTAAGTTGGGTGAAGACCGTGGGGCTGGGTCCAGTTGGGTCACACTTTCTCTGACTGTGTAAAATAGGTACATGGCGTACAAAAATTATTAATGATGTTACAAAACATGTTTTGGTTGTGGTAAAAATTTCCGTCCACGTATTTTATCCAAGACATGCCTGAGAACTGAAGGATATTAGAAATTTTTCGGTAAAAAAAGTCAACGGGACGTCAATTTTTAATATCTCAGGAATTATAAAGACTGTATATAGTCACTTTACTGTTGTTAAAAAAAATAGTCGGTTGAAAAAACATACATTCCAATATTACTAGTTCAGAGAATGAAATCTTTAATAAATACAAAAAATTAACCAACATTTCCCGTATAAGATATTAACATATGTTTAAAAAAGTATGAATTTAATTTTGTTTGCGGTAGAGGGACCCATCCAGCTAATTGTATACAGGTCAGTGGTCAATATATCAATGTTCACTCAACAAATTTTGTAATAGAAATTTTGAACATTTTTAGGGAAAATGCACCGTAGAGTTATAGCACATCGTTTAAGTGCAAAACGTCGCACAGCAGACGTTTTAATCAATGAGAAAGTCGATTTCTCAGGGTTAATTTTATCCAAAGATGTCCTCAAAGGGTTGAAAAGTGCTGGATTTGAAAGACCATCACCAATTCAAATGAAAGCTATTCCTATTGGTCGTTGTGGTGTAGGTGTGTGGATTGTATATAATGCTTGTTTTTCTGTAGGATGTTTCTTTGTTGACAACAGTTTCATACATTCAGCTAAATTTTGCCATGTGTCATGTTGGCAGTGAGTTTGCTACAAGTCTTAGCAACTTGGAAATGGCACTGCATTGATAGTTAGATTTCATTGATAATAGTCAAAATATTGTAAACTTTTCCTTATTGAGCTTTTCATCAAACAATCCATTAAGATAACAGAAGTACTTTTAAACGTCATTTCACCATCAATCAATTCACCAATGTACATGTTACAAAGTGTCACCACCAAACTTTGATGAAATTGCACGCTTAGTAGTTTGGAATTGGATGGCTTCTTATAGCTTTTGGTGTTAAGGAAATGTAGTTTTAATGTAGGAAAAGCACTCACTATCAGGAAAGTAAAGTGAACTCAAAATTTTTAGTTTGATACTTCATGCAAAGGTTTTCAATTAAAATAACATTCCATTTAAGCCTTGTAAAGTCTGTGGTCTAAAAATTAAAGATTTTAAAAAGATTTTTTTATAGATTTGATTGCACAAGCAAAATCTGGCACAGGGAAAACATGTGTCTTTAGTGTGATTGCTTTGGAAAGCATCATTCTTACAATGATGTCAATACAAGTGTTGGTTCTTGTGCCGACTCGAGAGATAGCTGTTCAAATCAAGGATGTAATCAACTCTATTGGTCAACATATGCAAGGACTTCATGTAAATGTTTTTATTGGTGGTTTGTCTATTGAAGATGACAAGAACAAGTTGAAACTTTGTCAAATTGCTATTGGTACACCAGGTAGGTGGAGCAGTTAAATATTTATCAATTGCATATCATTTGGGAATGAATACGTATAGCTTTGGGCAGAAATATATTTTCTAATTTGGAATGTCAGCGCCAAGCAAAGTACTATACATAAGCAATCATACAAAAAAATACATTTAATATCATCAAGTAAGGTACAAGCTAGTGTTTCTTCTTAACCTCAGATACATTTGTGAAATCAATTTTTCAATCATCATTTAGGACGGTCAAACATCTAATTGACAGCAAACTTTTGTCTACTTCTTCCATTCGATTGCTTATTCTTGATGAGGCTGATAAACTTTTGGAGGAAAACTTTCAAGATCAGATCAAGTAAGACCATTAAATATATGGATAATTTGATTTTCCATATATGATCATTGATTTTTTCTTTCATAATATGATGGTTGAAACTTGTTTTATAATTTGTAGTTGGATATTTTCAACACTTCCTGAAAGCAAGCAAGTGTTGGCTTTGTCTGCAACCTATCCAAACTATCTTAACAAGCATTTACAGAAATATATGAGAAATCCAACTTTTGTTTGTTTAAATGCCATGGACCCTACACTAGAAGGTGAGTGTTGTAAGTCATATTTATAGTTTAAGTTTAGTGAAAATGAACATTGATATTGTATGTACTGACTTTTAAAAGTACATGAATATGTTTTTAGGGATTCATCATTGTTTTTGCACAATACCAAGTCATTCTCTCCTACATAAAACATTTGATGAAAAGGTTGGTAATATTATTCATACCTAGTTAGCTATTGGTTCACACACACATGCAAACACTGGACTGTTGGTGTAAACATATCATCTAAATCTTTATTCTGTATGTTACCACTCAATGTATGTTACTCATTCTATTAACTTGTGAAGCTGCTGTCTGATGTGTTGCATGTTTGCAGGCTTTTATGATATGTCATTTACAAGTTACCTCATCTGTGCATTTGTTAAATTGTTCAATGTTTTACTGTAGGTTAATCATTTACTGGTTATGTTGTCACAGATATCTTTCCATCAATGCCTTATCTTTTCTAACTATCAAGTAAGGTATGTATCTAACAAAAAACTACATTGTGTTCATTGCCGTCACAATTTGTATGGTGGTTCTTAATTTTTATGTATAAATTTATTTCATAGAGCAAAGAATTTGAGTGAAACTTTGGCTAAAAATGGATTTCCTTCTACACATATTTCAGGTAGTGTTTGCTATGTAATTTATAGATCTTGGTCAATTATCTTAGCTCAATTTGTCATTTAAAGTAATTTTCCTTATTTTGTTTTCGAAATCATGAACACCAAGATGCTTTCTGGGTATTTTCTAATAAAAAGATTTATCAAAGTAAATAACAAAGTAGAGAGGTCATGCCACTGTGTTTTATAAACATGATGCTTTGTCATACTTTGTTTAGTGTTAGTTTATAAAACAAGTTTCTCCACTTTTGTACTGGCTAGTCTGTTAATTGTCATCACTATGTTAATTTTGTTCTCTGTCATTGGATAAAACAAGATTGAAATACAGTCATGTTTATTTTTTTATGTTTATTTTTTTGAGAAAGGTAATCAAGGCCAAAATGAACGTCTTGATGCAATGAGGAAGTTGAAGGAGTTCAAATGTCGTATTTTGATATCAACAGATCTTGTAAGTGACGTTAACTGATTTCTATATTTTCTTGCTAGGATACTTGGACGTCAGTTATAGTAGAAATATTCTTAATTTTAAAGAAATCATCTGTATTCCATCTAGGGTAACTTGTCATTGTTATGATTACATTAGTATTAAAGATAGCATTTTGTATTACTAACAAGCGTAACTTGTCAATATTGTTATACGGTAGCATTACGTATAACAACCAAGGGGTAACTCGTTAATATTTTGATTTATATTAAAGATAGCATCTTGTATTATTTCCAAGAGTAACTCGTCAATGTTGTGATAAATTTTATTAATGATAGCATCCGGTATACCGTGTTACAACGTCACTGGTTAATGTTATGATTAATATCAGAGGTAACATCCCGAGAGATTGCATCTTGAATTATAGTGTAGAGTGAATCTCCCATTGAATCTTCTCTACCATTATAAGTAATTATAAGTAGTACTGGTATTATTAGAATGATTTGTTTGATTTAAAATTATCTTTAAACAGGAGCATTAACATTCAAAATTTTATGTGGAAATTCATTTGTACTGAGATGATCCCTTCGTTGCACCATCTCTCCCTTATCACAACATCTATCCCTTCATCACAACATCTATCCCCTCATCACAACATCTATCCCCTCATCACAACATCTCTCCCCTCATCACAACATCTCTCCCCTCATCACAACATATATCCCTTGATCAAAACATCTATCCATACTTTATCTTCTGTATCTATAGATGTCTCGTGGCATCGATGCTGAACGTGTGAACCTTGTGATTAACATGGATCTTCCACGTGACTCTGAGACATATTTACATAGAGTTGGGAGGGCTGGACGTTACGGTAGGTCACCATTTAAATTATTTATAGATAGCTAATTACAACAGTTGTCCATTATTTTTTTTTTGACGAGGATTGCGTTATTGAAAATGGCGATTTTACATACTGCTAAAATATTTGAGGATAGTAGATCTCAAGGTAGAAAGATTTGAACCTGGTTGGCTATTTTTACTTGCACAATGTCATGTTTCGATGTTTGACAATGATATTATTATTTTTTTGTTCACGACGTAACACGTTTTTCTACAACAAGAAAAAAGACAAATGTTGATCAATACGTATAAAATGACGTCGATAAAATGACAAATAAGCTTATGCTTGTACCCTATATACCCTTATATCAACACATGCCACCAATGCATTCTACTTACATTCCTATAAAATCCATTGTTACATACCTAACCCATCCGTTTATTAAAGAATAATTTGGTATCATGATGGCTCATCAGAAATACATTTGCCATTATCAAAGCCATGTATCGTATGATAAGCCTTCGGTTATGGGAACCAACTTGTCATCTATTTTTTCTTACTATTTTTAATGCGTACGCCAAACATCTTGCTAACAGAGGAAAAATTTCATTCATTATTGGGGATTATGTTTAGTTTTGAACGTTAAACAGGATCGTATGGCGTGGCCATAAATTTCGTGGCCGCAGGAAAAGAGGAATCAAGTTTGAAAGACATCGAAATTAAATGTGGAATAAACTTCGATCCTTTGCCAGGTAATGTTTATGTTTTAAAGAATAATATCATAGCATGATATGAATTTTTTATAATAATCTAAAATATATTTGCTTCCACATTTAGTATTTATATTATTAGTATTTAGAATTATTACTATCATTGTCATTATCATAATTATTATTAATATTTAGAAGATTTATCTGAGCTCATATGTGAAGATGCGTTTGCCGAATGTAGTTTGATGAAGTCAAAAGGCGAGATACCTTCATTAACTTCTACGGCTGCTACAAGCATAGTTGGAGAAGGGAAGGTGAAAGAAGATGATGTCCTTTGCTGTGAAACTACAAACCTTGTTCATAATGGCGAAACGAGTTCCACAATGACGAAAGAAAATTTAGTTGAAGGTTTGAATGGAGGAGCGAAGAATAAAATTCACGAGATTGTAGCTTTCACTGACATTGTTGTTGATAAAAGTTTTAAATGTGTTAACAATAATGAACAAAAGAAAAATGAAGAAAGGTTAACGGGAGTAATTGAAAATAATTCAGACAATAGCGAAAGTTCCACAACGGAAATCTTGAACTATGGCATTATTAAAGATGATGAGTTGGCTGAAAACAAGAACATTTACACATCTCAAGCTTCTGTTGTTGCTGGCGTTTGTCGTCAAGGAAATGGACAGACTGTCGAGGATCCAGGAATTATGGGTGATGTGAAAAACGAATTTGTTGACGTTAAGAGTGAAAATGTTGCTGTTGAAAATCAGGAAGGTACGACATCCAAAGTGAACAGTGTAGAAGGAAAAGAAATCAAAAGTCATCACAACATTGAAACAATATACGATACAGAAAACAAACTAAATAACTTTAAAAGTGCTGTGATTTATCCTTCAACGTCACAATTCATCTTTCATAAACAATGGGGTAATGGATTTTTACTGAGAAAACAAATTGGATGAATGTAAGATGTCGGAATCCTCCGTTTGTGATGATTGTGTATTATCAAGCGAAAATTGCGACTGGCGTGAAGAGTCACGTGATTCTTGTGAAGAGTCATGTGATTCTACTGAAGAGTCATGTGATTCTACTGAAGAATCATGTGATTTGAGTGAAGAGTCAAGTAGTGCGTGTGAAGAGTCGTATGAATCGTATGAAAATTTGCGTGGTTCGTGTAAAGACTCGCGTGTTTCGTGTGAAGTAGCACACGATTTGTGTGTAAAGCTGCGCGATTTGTGTGAAAAATCGAGCGATTTGCACGCGCCTATCTCATGCAGGTATTTTGATGATATGTTTGTAAAACATTTAAACGATCATGCAAACACAGGCCTTCATAAAGATTTAGAAAACGAAAAACCATTATCCTGTTTGGCAAAGAGAAGAAGCTTCCTCGATGAGGTTAATGAATTTGGCTCAACAGAATTCGTCTCTGGTTATGAGAGAGAAGTTGTAGAAATGAGAACTTCTGCTCCACAAGAATGTGTTGGTGCACAGTCCTGCAATTTAGAAACTAATAAAACAAATACGACAGTCAATTCCACCGATTCCCGCAACGTATGGAACCATGGCAACGAAACCATGTTTTATGGTGCCACCACTGATGACGTCACAGCTTACATGGCGCAGTTGCCCGTTGATTGGACAAACATGTGGTATAGAGCCTACGATAAACAAACCAATCACATAATGAAATACACGAAGTTTTATCATGAAAGTTATTGATGAGGGATATCTGGTATTTTAATCTGCTAAAATACCTACTCTGTTCTTAGTAGGTTCCGTGAGGATTTTGTATGGATGAAGATGGAAAAATTAAATTCATATTTATGTTACTTAAATATAACATGAATGTCAAATGAACTTGCTTGCCATTACGTCATTGACGAAGTGAAAACGACGTCAGTAATGTTGTGTTCCCCCCCTGTTGCTGTGTGTGATGCAGGCTGTGACAAGTCACAAGATGTTGTTTCCCTTGTATTGAAAGATTTTCAAAAAAAGTCATATTTGCGTATTGTTGCTTGTGTCACAATTTTAGGAAATAATTATAAGATTGCTAAACAAAAGAATATATTCATTATGTACATCAATTTATACTTATATATCGACAAACTACAAAAAAGAATCAAATGACGATTTTATTTTAAATGAAATCGGAATCAACTCCAGCAAACAGTACACAAAATATTTGAGAATAATATTGAACTTCTAAGTAGGATTGTTTTAAAAAGAACCTGTCTTTTTTCTTCAATAATGTTGTTTTAGCTTTATCTACATTTTAGTATAAAAGTCTTCATTTTACATTTACGTTGTATCTTGTTAAAGATAAAGTTCCTTCATTTGACTTATTTCGTACGATAGAATTGAGTTCGCACCATTCTTAGTTTATTTTGAAATTTAAATACCACGAAGGTTCAACTGACGATTACACTTTAGCACATGTCTTTGTTATTTACCTTGTCTCATTTTCCCTAATTTTTTATGCTTACATATCGTATTATGTCCTTATTGTCTTGTTTTTTTTGTACTATCAGATCCAACAGTATAGGAGTTACAATATAATGAGACGAGACATTTACAGAAATTTCTAAGAACTACGCTTGATACTCAAATACGAAATCAGGGTCCATGATAAGTAATTCCACCAAACGAATCAACCAAATCATTTTCTGTTCATTTGCAACAGTTGCTGATCTTACATAGTCTGGAATACGAACGCTTTTTCTTAGTATGTGTTACATCGTTAAAGTTCATTGTACCTGTTGCAGTCACGTCATGTTCTTCCTTCAACTCCTGAAACAGTTTTATGAATACCATGTCAACGTTTGTATTATTCTGGAAATGAACGATAAGTTAGTGATAGATCGTTTAGGGATGAAGGTTATGAACGGGTTTCTCTTGGTAAATAAATCTTTTAGAAATAATAGATAACGTTGTGCAAGGGTTTCTTTCGGTATCTAAATCTCTTCGCTGCCATTTATAGTGTACCTAAGTTAGACATTCATTAGTACGATGATGATTATGTGAACTTCTTTCTTACTCTGTATATTGAGCGGGTTTCTAATAAATATTCATTCTCCCTTAAAATAAAAAAACTTTGGGGCTACATGAAAGAAATGGTTGTTTTGACTTAAGTTGTAATCAAATCACTTTCAGATTGCGATCTTTTGTACATTTAATGTAAATTTTATTAATATTACATTTTTCCATAACTTTGCATAAAATGTTTTTTAATCATTACCGAGAATTGGTATTTAAAGAAATCAGTTGTTACGGTTTTTAACGTTGGGCGCGATCATGACCTAGGTAGTTATATCTGTGTACATGTGTGACGATCATGACCTAGGTAGTTATATCTGTGTACTTGTGTGACAATTAATAAAAATAATTAACATACTGTTGCAAAATATAGTTTTAGAAACTTTAAGATAATTATTTACATTGCATTATAAGTTACGTACATGTTAACAGTTTATCAGTAATATAAATCACATGAAAATTGACATTTCTTAAAATGGCTACGATAAAAGAGGTAGGCGCCTTGTTCGAGCAAAAACGCTGTACTTTAAACTACAGACTTAAGTTTCTAAAATGGTTGTTTCATTTTACGACCGGCAAAAATTATTTTAGTGAAGCATAAAACATGTATGTTTTAGTATTTAAATTTTTAATAAATTGGAGAAACAATTGCAGCAGAAAATTCTCGTTTGGTCAACATAGGAGGTAGTTCTCTCCAGATGTTTGTACTCATATCAAGACATTCAACGGAATTAAGATACGATTCCTCGTCAAACCCACCAACCACAACAATAATATTTCCAATGATAACTGCTGAACATGCACATCTTTTATGATTAAGTGAAGGAAGCATTGTAGTTTGTCCTGTTTTCACATCATACATCAAAACTTTATCTAGTCTTTCATCATTATCATTTACACCTCCAATCAAGATTGCATTACCTTTATAGCTAACTATACCCATGGCACTTACAGCATATGGAAGTGGAGCCAAGGTTTTGCATTCCTTTTTACTGAGACTGTATGAATAAACAGTGTTCTTAATATGTTTTAATCCAGCAGATATTCCCCCACCAAATACTAAAACATCGTCGCCAATGAGAATAGAGCCATGGTAAAATCTTGGCTCTGGTATTTGCGCCAATAATTTTGTCGTATGTGGAGGATTTAGTTGAATACTGTAGATTGTATCAAAGGCTTCGTTACTATTATATCCACCAATCATAATCACATTATCATTATGGTAAATCATACTATGTCCATAACAATGTCTTGGTAACATGATATGAGATATTTTCCATTGCAATTTTCCATCCACATTTATACTTTCAATATTTTCTAACAGCTGTTTCCTATTGGAACCACCACAGACAAATATTTCTCGACCATGAACAAATGCAGTTGCTCTAGATCGTAGTTCTTTCATTTTTGGTTCCAGTTTCCAACAATTTAAATCCCAGTTGAAAGACTCCACAGAATTTAAATTATACTTCCCATCATAACCTCCGCAAACAAAAATCTTTACTTTTCCCGTAAGAAAATTACATCTTTCTGTCGTTTCTGTTGTAAGAAACTTCATTTCATTACGACTTAACCTCACTTGCTCTTCAACATGCTTAACCCTGTCATCTTGACTCTTTTCAAACATCTCCAATCTTTTCGTTAACTCGTCAATTTCCTTCCTCATGAAACATGGATGAGAACGCCTATGGTTAAATACGAGAATCATTTTGCATTCTTCACAATCGATAAGACGGAACTCACATCGTTCACTTTCATGTTCTTCAATCTCGTTTCTATTAACGACTTCGTCACAACCTTCATTTCTACAAGGTGTAGGTGAATAACCACAGTTCTTCTGATGACGCTGGAGAAATTGAAGCTTCATAATTTCAGGACAACCACGGTTAACATTCTTACAGCGAATATCAACATCTTCTAACATTTCGGTGACAATTCTAGGTATATCCTGCAATGTCTCCGACGTGATTTGACAATTACATTGAGGACATTTGTTCGAAGTATGCAGACATCTTTCGATGCAAGAACGACAGAAATAATGCTGATTTGGACATTGAACAGGATCCTTAAATACTTTAAAACATATAGGACATTCAAATCTTGGATGAACTTTATCGGCAAATCTCTCCTGTTCATATCCACCTTTCGAGTCATTTGTAGCCATTGTTGAAGACTTTTATAATTTACTGACAAAGTTTACATTGTATGTTCGTATTTCTGTTTCATGAAATAATGTTTTCATTTTCTTTATGCATATCTTCCATCTTTTTATCGATTCTTGAATGTCTTTGACAAGATGACCTCCTCGGGTTTTTATTTTCCCAAAACATGTCTTGCTTTCTAAAACGATAGATGTCTACGAATTTGTCACGGAATATGAAAGCCGTTCCGGCCAAAAGGGTATCGAATTTAAAAGAGGGTATCGAGTCGCAAGTGTGCTACCAAGAATCACGTGCAACATGGTCGAGTTTTGAAAGATTAAAAACACTGTTCCGAGAAATTTTTCGACCCAAAATATTTCAACAAAAAAAAACTATGGAGAATATTCAACAAAAAATAACCTATAATATAAAACAAATTCCGAAGAAGCAAGACATCTTGAGATTGCAAAATATGAATCAAACAAGGCGAGAAGTAAGCTGTAAATTTTCAACTTTATTTCAAAGTCATCCTCAGACAGAATGATATTTAAAACCATACATACACATAAATTTTTATAACGCATGAAATAAGTAAACGGAAATAAGCAATAGAAATTAAATAGTGTGATATTTACAATGAGTTGGAAGAGGTGTAGTATTTCAAAAGGATGAATTGAAACTGCCGACCCGACTGGTAGAATGAGTGTGTTATAAATTAAGAAAAGAGTTGTAATTCTTTGCTAGCCTTAAGTCCCGTGTTGAGAAAAGGTTTGTTATGTTTGATGAGTAGTGCTTCAAGAAAAGCAAGAATGTGGTAATTGTTAGATTTGGTTGAGTGAAGTATTTTATAGTTGTTGAATACAAGGTTTTCTATAGGAGAGGGAGTTCTGGGAGGTGGAGGGAGATCATTGAGTTGTGAGAACTGGTTTTGTAGAGTCGCTTGGAATTGAGCGTTTTCGCACTCAGAGAAATGCTGGCCAACTGCACTAGAAGAAAATCTGTTCGCATGTTCTCTGACAGGCATCTTTGTGTCATGCCGATGTAGGTTTTACCACAGCCAGGGCAAGTTATTTCGTATATGAGATTACTTCGAGAAAGTGAAGAAAGTTTGTCCTTGTTGGAGACAAAATAGGACAGTTTTTTAGTGTCATAAATAGTAATAAATTTCACCGGTTGAGAAAGATATTTTTGTATTTTTTTAAAACAGGATTTTAAGAGGAAATCACCACGCATGCCAAGATAAGGAATACGAACCCAGATTTTAGGTAGATGATCATCTATAGAAGAGCGGTTGTCAATGGGAATAGAATCATTGTATTTGGATTTTAGTTTTTTAAACAAAAAGTTTTTAACGCTGTTAGGATAACCGTTCCAAGACATGTAAGATTTGATTATTTCAATTTGATTGTTGAAAAGTGTTTTATTGCTACAAATTTTGAAGGCACGGTGGTAAAGAGATTTTACCCATGCAATTTTACGATGAAAAGGTTTGAAACTATAGAAATGTGAGTACTGACCAGTGTGGGTGTCTTTTCGGTAAATGTCAGTTCCGTCAAACGAAATTTTTATATCTAGAAAGTGAATTATGCCATCGTGAAATGTATCAACTGTGAATGTGAGATTGCCATCAAAACTGTTAAATTTCGATAATACAGCAGAAATATTGGAGGGTTTGATCAAAACAAGCCGAATGTAGTTTGATGAAATCAAAAGGCGAGATACCTTCATTAACTTCTACAGCTGCTACAACCATAGTTGGAGAAGGGAAGGTGAAAGAAGATGATGTCGTTTGCTGTGAAACTACAAACCTTGTTCATAATGGCGAAACGAGTTCCACAATGACGAAAGAAAATTTAGTTAAAGGTATGAATGGAGGAATGAAGAATAAAATTCACGAGACTGTAGCTTTCACTGACATTGTTGTTGATAAAAGTTTTAAATGTGTTAACAATAATGAACAAAAGAAAAATAAAGAAAAGTTAACGCGAGTAATTGAAAATAATTCAGACAATAGCAAAAGTTCCACAACGGAAATCTTCAACTATGGCATTATTAAAGATGATGAGTTGGTTGAAAGCAAGAACATTTACACATCTCAAGCTTCTGTCGTTGCTGACGTTTGTCGTCAAGGAAACGGACAGACTGTCGAGGATCCAGGAATTATGGGTAATGTGAAAAACGAATTTGTTGACGTTGAGAGTGAAAATGTTGCTGTTGAAAATCAGGAAGCTACGACATCCAAAGTGAACAGTGTAGAAGGAAAAGAAATCAAAAGTCAGCACAACATTGAAACAATGTACAATACAGAAAACAAACTAAATAACTTTAAAAGTGCTATGATTTATCCTTCAACGTCACAAGTCATGTTTCCTAAACAATGGGGTAATGGATTTTTTACCGAGAAAAACAAATTGGATGAATGTGAGATGTCTGAATTCTCGGTTTGTGATGATTGTGAATCGTCAAGCCAAAATTGCACTGGCGTGAAGAGTCACGTGATTCGTGTGAAGTGTCAAATGATTTTACCGAAGAGTCATGTGATTCTACTGAAGAGTCATGTGATTCTACTGAAGAGTCATGTGATTCTACTGAAGAGTCATGTGATTCTACTGAAGAGTCATGTGATTCTACTGAAGAGTCATGTGATTCTACTGAAGAGTCAAGTAGTGCGTGTGAAGAGTCGTATGAATCGTATGAAAATTTGCGTGGTTCGTGTAAAGACTCGCGTGTTTCGTGTGAAGTAGCACAAGATTTGTGTGTAAAGCTGCGTGATTTGTGTGAAAAATCGAGCGATTTACATGCGCCTATCTCATGCAGGTATTTTGATGATATGTTTGTAAAACATTTAAACGATCATGCAAACACAGGCCTTCGTAAAGATTTAGAAAATGAAAAACCATTCTCCTGTTTGGCAAAGAGAACAAGCTTGCTCGATGAGGTTAATGAATTTAGCTCAACAGAATTCCTCTCTGGTTATGAGAGAGAAGATGTTGAAATGAGAACTTCTGCTCCTCAAGAATGTGTTGGTGCACAATCCTGCAATTTAGAAACTAATAAAACTAATACGACAGTCAATTCCACCGATTCCCGCAACGTATGGAACCATGGCAACGAAGCCATGTTTTATGGTGCCACCACTGATGACGTCACAGCTTACATGGCGCAGTTGCCCGTTGATTGGACAAACATGTGGTATAGAGCCTACGATAAACAAACCAATCACATAATGAAATACACGAAGTTTTATCATGAAAGTTATTGATGAGAGATATCTGGTATTTTAATCTGCTAAAATACCTACTCTGTTCTTAGTAGGTTCCGTGAAGATTTTGTATGGATGAAGATGGAAAAATTAAATTTATATTTATGTTACTTAAATATAACATGAATGTCAAATGAGCTTGCTTGCCATTACGTCATTGACAAAGTGAAAACGACGTCAGTAATGTTGTGTCCCCCCCCCCTGTTGCTGTGTGTGATGCAGGCTGTGACAAGTCACAAGTTGTTGTTTCCCTTCATTGAAAGATTTTCAAAAAAAAGTCATATTTGCGTATTGTTGTTTGTGTCAAAATTTTAGAAAATAATTATAAGATAGCTAAACAAAAGAATATATTCATTATGTACATCAATTTATACCTATATATCGACAAACTACAAAAAAGAATCAATTGACGATTTTATTTTAAATGAAATCGGAATCAACTCCAGCAAACAGTATACAAAATATTTGAGAATAATATTGAACTTCTAAGCACGATTGTTTTAAAGTAATACTTGGGAACATTAAAAAGAACCTGTCTTTTTTCTTCAATAATCTTGTTTTAGCTTTATCTACATTTTAGTATAAAAGTCTTCATTTTACATTTACATTGCATCTTGTTAAAGATAAAGTTCTTTCATTTGACTTATTTTGTACGATAGAATTGAGTTCGCACCATTCTTAATTTATTTTGAAATTTAAATACCACGAAGGTTCAACGATAGATTACGCTTTAGCACGTGTCCTTGTTTTTTACCTTGTCTTATTTTTCCTAATTTTTTATGCTTAAATATCGTATTATGTCCTTATTGTCGTGTTTTTTGGTACTATCAAATCCAACAGTATAGGAGTTACAATATAAATGAGACGAGACATTTACAGAAATTTCTAAGAACTACGCTTGATACTTAAATACGAAATCAGGGTCCATGATAAGAAATCGACCAAACGAATCAACCAAATCATTTTCTGTTCATTTGCAACAGCTGCTGATCTTACATAGTCTGGAATACGAACGCTTTTTCTTAGTAAGTGTTACATCGTTAAAGTTCTTTGTACCTGTTGCAGTCAAGTCATGTTCTTCCTTCAATGCGTGACACAGTTTTATGAATACCATGTCAACGTTTGTATTATTTTGGAAATGAAAGATAAGTTAGTGATGGATCGTTTAGGGATGAAGGTTATGAACGGGTTTCTCTTGGTAAATAGATCTTTTAGAAATAATAGATAAGGTTGTACAAGGGTTTCTTTCGGTAACTAAATCTCTTCGCTGCCATTTATAGTGTACCTAAGTTAGGCATTCATTAGTGCAATGATGATTATATGAACTTCTTTCTTACTCTGTTATTGAGCGGGTTTCTAATAAACATTCATTCTCGCTCAAAATAAAAAAACTTTGGGCTACATGAAAGAAATGTTGTTTTGACTTAAGTTGTAATCAAATCATATTCAGATTGCAATGTTTTGTACATTCAATGTATATTTTATTAATAATACAGTTTTCCATAACTGTGCATAAAATGTTTTTTAATCATTACCGAGAACTGGTATTCAAAGAAATTAAGTGTTACGTTTTTAACGTTGGGTGCGATCATGACCTAGATAGCTATATATGTGCACTTGTGTGACAGTTATTAAGAATAATTAACATGCTGTTGCATAATATGTTTTTAGAAACTTTAAGGTAATTGTATATATTGCAATATAAGTTACGTACATGTTAACAGTTTATCAATGAAAATTGAATGTTCTTAAAATGGCTACGATAAAAGAGGTAGGCGCCCTATTCGAGTAAAAACGTTGTATTTTAAACTACAGACTTACGTTTCTAAAATGATTGTTTCATTTTACGACTGCCAAAAATTATTTTAGTAAAACATAAAACATGTATGTTTTAATAATGAAATTTTTAATATATTGGTGAAACAACTGCGGCAGGAAAATTTCTTTTGGTCATCATAGAAGGTAGTTCTCTCCAAACGTTTATACTCATATCAAGACATTCAACTGAATCAAGATACGATTCACCATTATATCCTCCCACCACAACAATAATATTTCCAATGATAACTGCTGAACATGAACATCTTTCATGATTAAGTGAAGGAAGCATTTTAGTTTGTCCTGTTTTCACATCATACATCAAAACTTTATCTAATATTTTACCTTTATCATTTAAACCTCCAATCAAGATTGCATTACCTTTATAACTGACTATACCCATGGCACTTACAGGATATGGAAGTGGAGCCAAGGTTTTACATTCTTTTTTACTGAGACTGTATGAATAAACAGTGTTTTTGATATCTTTCAATTGTTCAGATGTTTCCCCACCAAATACCAAAACATCGTCGCCAATTAGAATTGAGCCATGGTAACGTCTTGGCTTTGGTATTCGCGCCAACAATTTTGTCGTAAGTGGAGGATTTAGTTGAATACTGTTGATTGTATCAAAGGTTTCGTTACTATTATATCCACCAATCATAATCACATAATCATTATGATAAATCATACTATGTCCATTACACTTTCTTGGTAACATGACAGGTGATATTTTCCATTGCAATTTTCCATCCACATTTAAACTTTCAATATTTCCTAACTGTTGTTTCCCATTCCAACCACCACAGACAAATATTTCTCGACCATGAACATATGCAGCTGCTAAAAATCGTTTTTCTGTCATTTGTGTTTCCTGCTGCCAACAATTTAAATCCCAGTTGAAAGACTCCACTGAATTGAAATAATTCTTGCCATCATAACCTCCGCAAACAAAAATCTTTACTTTTCCCGTAAGAAAATTACATCTTTCAGTCGTTTCTGTTGTAAGAAACGTCATTTCATTACGACTTAACCTCACTTGCTTTTCAACATGCTTCGCCATTTCATCACGATTCATCTTCATTTGCTTTTCAACATGCTTAACTCTGTCATCTTGACTCTTTTGAAATATCTCCAATCTTTTGGTCAACTCGTCAATCTCCTTCCTCAAGAAACATGGATGAGAACGCCTATGCTTGAATACGAGACTCTTTTTTCATTCTTCACAATCGATGAGACGGAACTCACATCGTTCTCTTTCATGTTCTTCAATCTCGTTTTTATTAAGGATTTCGTCACAACCTTCATTTCTACAAGGTGTAGGTGAATAACCACAGTTCTTCTCATGACGTTGAAGAAATTGAAGCTTCATAATTTCAGGACAACCACGGTTGGCATTCACACAGCGAATATCAAGATCTTCTAACATTTCCCTAATGAACCTCGCTGTCTTTAATGTCTCCTTAGTGAGATGACATCGACATTCAGGACATTTATCAGAAGTTAACAAGTATCTTTCGATACAAGTGCGACAGAAATAATGTTCGTTTGGACATTGAACAGGATCTTTAAATATCATTATACATATAGGACATTCAAATCTTGGATGAACTTTATCGGCAAATCTCTCTTGTTCATATCCACCATACGAGTCATTTGTAGCCATTTTCGAAGACTTTTATAATTTACTGACAAAGTTTACACTGTATGTTCGTATTTCTGTTTCATGAAATAAACTTTCCATTTTCTTTTTGTATATCTTCCATCTTTTTATCGATTCTTGAATGTCTTTGACAAGATGACCTCCTCGGGTTTTTATTTTCTCAAAACATGTCTTGCTTTCTAAAACGATAGATATCTACGATTTTATGTTCTGATATGGAAAGAAAATGGGTGGATGATTCATCACAAAGTTTTTGCCAAAGTTGTTTTCAAACTGTGATCTTTTGTAAAGTTTGATGCATGATTTCGGCTGGACAATAGTTCATAATGATACATTCCTGCATAAAGTTATACTTCAATGATAATAATTGCTTGTTTGAAATCAGTTGAGAAGAGAAAATTGTTTCATTTATTATCATGAACTTATCAAGTTATTATGGCTATATGATATTTTTTATTTAAGATTATTGTTATTCAGTTATATTCATTTCTTTACACAATCGTCGCCAAATTTTTGGTAAATCAGTTGAAACTGTGATCTTTTCAACCCTTTAATGTATTCAACATTTTATCAAAGTAATAAAAGTTTATTTTACAATAATTGTATCGAGAATGTTTAATTATTACCAAGAATTCGTATTCAAAGAGTCTAATGTTTTGATGTTTTAAGTTGGGTGAAGACCGTGGGGTTGGGTCCAGTTGGGTCACACTTTCTCTGACTGTGTAAAATAGGTACGTTCTGCGTACAAAAATTATTGATGATGTTACAAAACATGTTTTGGTTGTGGTAAAAATTTCCGTCCACGTATTTTATCCAATACATGCCTGAGAACTGAAGGATATTAGAAATTTTTCGGTAAAAAAAGTCAACGGGACGTCAATTTTTAATATCTCAAGAATTATAAAGACTTTATATGGACACTTTACTGTTGTTAAAAAAAATAGTCGGTTGAAAAAACATACATTCCAATATTACTAGTTCAGAGAATGAATTCTTTAATAAATACAGAAAATTAACCGCTCACAAACGTTCAATCCTTCAAGTATCTTGGCAGTACTGTCACCAGCGACTGCTCCATTGACAAAGAACTTGACAACCGCATACAGTGTGCCAGTTCGTCATTCGGCAGGCTATGGAAACGTCTGTGGTCTTCGCATGACATTAAAGTTACTACAAAGATCGCCGTGTATAATGCAGTGGTACTGTCGACTCTCTTGTATGGTGCCGAATCTTGGACGTTATACCGTAGACACGTCACACGTCTCCGTCAGCTACAACAACGTCACCTACGCGCAATCCTCCGCATTTGCTATCAACAAAGAGTAACGAATGACGAAGTTCTGACGAAATGCGAAAGAATTGTTTCGGTCGCTGAACGTCATTTACGGGCCAAAAAAGAGCTCCGTTGTCCCGCTGCTCAACTCGGACGGTACCAAGCTCCTTACGACATCCGACGACATCCGAGAACGGTGGACTGAGCACTTCACACAGCTTCTAAGCGAGACCAGCATCTATGATGAGGATGTCATCAACAACCTCCCTCAACGACCCATGATTGACACTCTTGGTGATGTGCCCACTCTCGAAGAAGTTGAAAATGCCATCAAACATATCAAGTGCAACAAAAGTGTGGGCCCTGATGGAATTCCACCAGAATTATTTGTGTGCGGAGGACCCTTGGTTGCAAAACATCTGCATGGCATAACTGAAAAGATCTGGTCCGATGAGACCATTCCTGCTGAACTCCGTGATGCAAACATTATCACCATCTTCAAGAAGAATGACCGCCATAACCCCAACAATTATCGAGGCATCAGTCTGTTGGCTGTAGCCGGGAAAATAATCGCTCTTGTGTTGCTAAACAGAATGCGCGATCCTATTGCCGAAGCAGTACTGCCAGAAACCCAGTGTGAATTCCGCCGAAATCGTGGAACGACTGATATGATATTCGCCCTTCGACAGCTCATGGAGAAATCGAGAGAACAGAACCAAAAGCTATACATGACTTTTGTTGACTTTACCAAAGCGTTTGATCTTGTGAACCGTGAGGCACTGTGGACCATCGTCGCAAAAATGGGCTGCCCACCAAAATTTGTCAATATCTTAAAGTTATTACATATCAACATGTGCGTCAAGATCTCGGTAGGCGGCGAGTTGACTCGTGACATTCAATACAACAATGGAGTGAAGCAAGGTTGTATACTTGCTCCCACCCTCTTTTCCCTCTTTGCGACTGCTCTCTTCACATATGCCTTTGAAAACGTACCTGAAGAAGGCATATACATACGATCCAGGATGGATGGCTCGCTCTACAACCTTCGTCGCCTCCAATCCAGCACCAAATGCACGCGGACACTGATGAGAGAATTTCAATATGCAGATGATTGCGTTTTTGTTGCCAACTCGGAGGAATCCCTTCAGCGCATGATGGATAGCTTCGCGGCTGCTACCAAATCCTTTGGCGTTATCATCAACACGAAGAAAACAGAAGTCATGTCTCTCTCGTACTCACCGATCACATCTCCGATCACTGTCAATGACACTCCGCTCGCAAACGTTCAATCCTTCAAGTATCTTGGCAGTACTGTCACCAGCGACTGCTCCATTGACAAAGAACTTGACAACCGCACATAGTGTGCCAGTTCGTCATTCGGCAGGCTGTGGAAACGTCTGTGGTCTTCGCATGACATTAAAGTTACTACAAAGATCGCTGTGTATAATGCAGTGGTACTGTCGACTCTCTTGTATGGTGCCGAATCTTGGACGTTATACCGTACACACGTCACACGTCTCCGTCAGCTACAACAACGTCACCTACGCGCAATCCTCCGCATTTCCTATCAACAAAGAGTAACGAATGACGAAGTTCTGACGAGAGCCAACTCCATGGACATTGAGATTACCCTCGCCAAAATGCAGCTAAGGTGGGCTGGTCATGTTGCTCGCATGGCAAACAATCGATTACCCAAACAGCTACTCTTTGGAGAGCTCGCTGAAGGAAAGAGACGTACTGGTCGTCCGCTCCTGCGTTGGAAAGACTCTCTCAAATACACTTTGAAAACATGTCAAATTTCAATAGATAATTGGCAACTCGAAGCGGCGGATCGATACGACTGGAGAGACAAGTCACGTAACGGTCTCAATAAGAAGGATGATTTGAGGCGGCGGAGCAACGCTGTAAAACGATCAAGACGTCACGCTACCAGGAACGCCTCCACTGTCGCAGACTCGGGAGAATTTCGTTGCCAACACTGCAACAGGACCTGCGCAAGCCGCATTGGCATGTTAAGTCACGAGCGCGCTTGTGGAAGTCAGTGAACTAAATGGACTTTTGCAGACAGCCATCGTCGTTTCGACGGGCAGCAATACATACATTTACTTTGTAAGTTTGTAAATGATGATCGTCCAGGTTAATAAAGTCCTGAGAAGGACTGTTTTTGATGTTGTTGACTGACGTTTCGACAACCTTAGCGGTAGTCATCTTCAGAGTCAAATGAGGAGTAAACGTCAGGTTAGCCGTATTTGTTGTCTGGTTCTTACGTCATTGTATTGTGTGTACAGGAAATGTGCAGGAAATGTGTATTTTCATTGTGGATTAGTGTGAAGTGAAATATTTTATTTTTAGTTGTGATGTGTGATTTAGGTGTGACGTTTTTAGTTGTAGTGTGTGGGTGTCAATTGTGTATTGTCATTGTGAATTAGTTTGAAGTGTAATGTTTTTAGTTGATCGTTTGTTTGTATTGTGAATAAGTCGTTTGTAAGGTGCCGGTAATTGCTGTGATCTGTTCAGGGGGGTTTGTTCCAAGTTGGTATACCAACTTTCTAATGTAAGCCGTTGTCTATAGTCAGTACTGTAAGTTATGCATTTTGCCGAGTCCCAGTCAATGTTGTGCTTTGTGATTCGGTGATGTTCGGCAATGTGATTAGTTTTGTCTTGTTTCTTAGTAGCTCGTTTGAGCTCAGTAAGTCTTATGTTTAAGTTCCTGCCAGTTTCCCCGATATAGGAGGCGTAGCAGTCGGAGCAGTTTATTTTGTAAACTGCACCTTTTCGTTCGTTGGGTTGTTCTTTGTCCTTTATGTTCGTTAGTACTTGTCGTAATGTTGTTAAAAAAAATAGTCGGTTGAAAAAACATACATTCCAATATTAATAGTTCAGAGAATGAATTCTTTAATAAATACAGAAAATTAACCAACATTTGATGTATAAGATATTAACATATGTTTAAAAAAGTATGAATTCAGTTTTGTTTGCGGTGGAGGAACCCATCCAGCTAATTAGTAAACAGGTCAGTGGTAAATGTATCAATGTTCACTCAACAAATTTTGTAATAGAAGGTTTGAACATTTTTGGGAAAATGCACCGCAGAGTTATTGCACATCGTTTAAGTGCAAAACGTCGTACAGCAGATGTCTTAATCAATGAGAAAATCGATTTCTCAGGGTTAATTTTATCCAAAGATGTCCTCAAAGGGTTGAAAAGTGCTGGATTTGAAACACCATCACCAATTCAACTGAAAGCTATTCCTATTGGTCGTTATGGTGTAGGTGAGTGGATTGTATATAATGCTTGTTTTTCTGTAGGATGTTTCTTTGTTGACAACAGTTTCATACATTCAGCTAAATTTTGCCATGTGTCATGTGGGCAGTGAGTTTGCTACAAGCCTTAGCAACTTGGAAATGGCACTGCATTGATAGTTAGATTTCATTGATAATAGTCAACTTATTGGAAACTTTTCCTTATTTAGCTTTACATCAAACAATCCATAAAGATAACAGAAGTACTTTTAAACATCATTTCACCATCATTCAGTTCACCAATGTACATGTTACAAATGTTCACCCCCAAATTTTGATGAAATTGCATGCTTAGTAGTTTTGAATTGGATGGCTTCTTATAGCTTTTGGTGTTAAGGAAATGTAGTCTTAATGTAGGAAAAGCACTCACTATCAGAAAAGTAAAGGAACTCAAAATTTTTAGTTTGATAGTTCATGCAAAATGACTTTCCATTTAACTCTTGTAAAGTCTGTTGTCTAAAAAATTAAAAATTTAAAAAAGATTTCTCTATAGATTTGATTGCACAAGCCAAATCTGGCACAGGGAAAACATGTGCCTTTAGTGTGATTGCTTTGGAAAGCATCATTCTTACAATGATGTCAATACAAGTGTTGGTTCTTGTGCCGACTCGAGAGATAGCTGTTCAAATCAAGGATGTAATGATCTCTATTGGTCAACATATGCAAGGACTTCATGAAAATGTTTTTATTGGTGGTTTGTCTATTGAAGAAGACAAGAACAAGTTGAAACTTTGTCAAATTGCTATTGGTACACCAGGTAGGTGGAGCAGTTAAATATTGATCAATTGCATATCATTTGGGAATGAATACGTATAGCTTTGGGCAGAAATATATATTATAATTTGGAATATCAGTGCCAAGCAAAGTATTATACCTAAGCAATCATACAAAAAAATACATTTAAAATCATCAAGTAAGGTACAAGATAGTGTTTCTTCTTTAACTTGTAGGATACATTTGTAAAATCAGTTTTTCAATTATTCTTTAGGACGGGTGAAACATCTAATTGACAGCAAACTTTTGTGTACTTCTTCCATTCGATTGCTTATTCTTGATGAGGCTGATAAACTATTGGAGGAAAACTTTCAAGATCAGATCAAGTAAGACCATTAAATATGTGGATAATTTGAATATCATTGATTTTTTTCTTTTATAATATGAGGGTTAAAACTTGTTTTATACTTTGTAGTTGGATATTTTCAACACTTCATGAAAGCAAGCAAGTGTTGGCTTTGTCTGCAACCTATCCAAACCATCTTAGCGAGCATTTACAGAAATATATGAGAAATCCAACTTTTGTTTGTTTAAATGCCATGGACCCTGCACTAGAAGGTGAGTAATGTAAGTCATATGTATAGTTTAAGTTTAGTGAAAATGAACATTGATATTGTATGTACTGATTTTTAAAAGTACATGAATATGTTTTAAGGGATTCATCATTATTTTTGCACAATACCAAGTCATTCTCTCCCACATAAAACATTTGATGAAAAGGTTGGTAGTATTATTCATACCTAGTTGGCTATAGGCTCACACACACACATGCAAACACTGGACTGTTGGTCTAGACATCTAAATCTTTATTCTGTATGTTACCACTCAATGTATGTTACTCATTCTATTAACTTGTGAAGCTGCTGTACAGTGTGTTGCATGTTTGCAGGCTTATTTGATATGACATTTATAATTTACCTTAATCTGTGCATTTGTTAAAGTGTTGAATATTCTACTGTAGGTTAATCATTTACTGGTTATGTTGTCACAGATATCCTTCCATCAATGCCTTATCTTTTCTAACTATCAAATAAGGTACGTATTTAAGAAAAGACTACATTGTGTTCATTGTGTTCCTTGGGTAATTTTTCTTATTTTGTTTTTGTAATCATGAACACCAAGATGCTTTCTGGGTATTTTCTAATAAAAATATTTACCAAAGTAAATAACAAAGTAGAGATGTAATGCCACTGTGTTTTAGAAACATGATGTTTTGTCATACTTGGTTAGTGTTAGTTTATAAAACAAGTTTCTCTACTTTTGCACTGGCTGGTCTGTTAATTGTCATCACTTTGTTAATTTTGTGCTCTGTCATTGGATAAACCAAGAATGAAATACAGTCATGTTTATTTTTTATGTTTGTTTTTTGAGAAAGGTGGTCAAGGCCAAAATGAACGTCTTGATGCAATGAGGAAGTTGAAGGAGTTCAAATGTCGTATTTTGATATCAACAGATCTTGTAAGTGACGTTAACTGATTTCTATTTTTGTCTTGCTTTGATACTTGGACGTCAGTTATAGTAGAAATATTCTTAGTATTAAAGATAGCATCTGTATTATTTCTAAGAGTAACTCGTCAATGTTGTGATAAATTTTATTAATGATAGCATCCCGTATACTGCGTTACAACGTCACTCGTTAATGTTATGATTAATATCAGAGGTAACATCCCGAGGGATTGCATCTTGAATTATAGTGTAGAGTGAATCTCCCATTGAATCTTCTCTACCATTATAAGTAATTATAAGTAGTACTGGTATTATTAGAATGATTTATTTGATTTAAAATTATCTTTAAACACGAGCATTAACATTAAGAAATATATGTGGAAATTCATTTGTACTAACAACATCTCTCCCCTCATCACAACATTTATCCCCTCATCACAACATCTCTCCTCATCACAACATCTCCCCCTCATCACAACATTTATCCCCTCATCACAACATCTCTCACCTCATCACAACATCTCTCCCCTTATCACAACATTTATCCCTTGATCAAAACATCTATCCATACTTTATCTTCTGTATCTATAGATGTCTCGTGGCATCGATGCTGAACGGGTGAACCTTGTGATTAACATGGCTCTTCCATGTGACTCTGAGACATATTTACATAGAGTTGGGAGGGCTGGACGTTACGGTAGGTCATCATTTAAATTATTTATAGATAGCTAATTGCAACAGTTGTCCATTATTTTTTTGACGAGGATGGCGTTACTGAAAATGGCGATTTTACATACTGCTAAAATATTTGAGGATAGTAGATCTCAAGGTAGAAAGATTTGAATCTGGTTGGCTATTTTTACTTTCACAATGTCATTTTTCGATGTTTACCAATGATATTATTTTTTTTGTTCACGACGTAACACGTTTTTGCACAACAACAAAATAGACAAATGTTGATCAATACGTATAAAATGACGTCGATAAAAAGACAAATAAGCTTATGCTTGTACCCTATGTACCCTTATATGAACCCATGCCACCAATCCATTCTACTTACATTCCTATAAAATCCATCGTTACCTACCTAACCCATCCGTCTATTAAAGAATAATTTGTTATCATGAGGGCTCATCAGAAATACATTTGCCATTATCAAAGCCACGTATCGTATGATAAGTCATCGACTATGGGAACCAACTTCTCATCTATTTTTTCATACTTTTTTAATGCGTACGCCAAACATCTTGCTAACAGAGGAAAAATTTCATTCATTATTGGGGATTATGTTTAGTTTTGAACGTTAAACAGGATCGTATGGCGTGGCCATAAATTTCGTGGCTGCAGGAAAAGAGGAATCAAGTTTGAAAGACATCGAAATTAATTGTGGAGTAAACTTCGATCCTTTGCCAGGTAATGTTTATGTTTTAAAGAATAATATCATAGCATGATATGAATTTTTTATAATAATCTAAAATATATTTGCTTCCACATTTAGTATTTATATTATTAGTATTTAGAATTATTACTATCATTGTCATTATCATAATTATTATTAATATTTAGAAGATTTATCTGAGCTCATATGTGAAGATGCGTTTGCCGAATGTAGTTTGATGAAGTCAAAAGGTGAGATACCTTCATTAACTTCTACGGCTGCTACAACCATAGTTGGAGAAGGGAAGGTGAAAGAAAATGATGTCCTTTGCTGTGAAACTACAAACCTTGTTCATAATGGCGAAACTAGTTCCACTATGACGAAAGAAAATTTAGTTGAAGGTTTGAATGAAGGAGCGAAGAATAAAATTCATGAGATTGTAGCTTTCACTGACATTGTTGTTGATAAAAGTTTTAAATGTGTTAACAATAATGAACAAAAGAAAAATGAAGAAAAGGTTAACGGGAGTAATTGAAAATAATTCAGACAATAGCGAAAGTTCCACAACGGAAATCTTGAATTATGGCATTATTAAAGATGATGAGTTGGCTGAAAACAAGAACATTTACACATCTCAAGCTTCTGTCGTTGCTGACGTTTGTCGTCAAGGAAACGGACAGACTGTCGAGGATCCAGGAATTATGGGTAATGTGAAAAACGAATTTGTTGACGTTAAGAGTGAAAATGTTGCTGTTAAAAATCAGGAAGCTACGACATCCAAAGTGAACAGTGTAGAAGGAAAAGAAATCAAAAGTCAACACAACATTGAAACAATATACGATACAGAAAACAAACTAAATAACTTTAAAAGTGCTATGATTTATCCTTCAACGTCACAAGTCATCTTTCATAAACAATGGGGTAATGGATTTTTTACTGAGAAAAACAAATTGGATAAATGTAAGATGTCGGAATCCTCCGTTTGGGATGATTGTGAATTGTCAAGCCAAAATTGCGTCGGGCGTGAAGAGTCACGTGATTCTTTTGAAATGTCAAATGATTCTTGTGAAATGTCAAATGATTCTACCGAAGAGTCATGTGATTCTACTGAAGAATCATGTGATTTGAGTGAAGAGTCAAGTAGTGCGTGTGAAGAGTCGTATGAATCGTATGAAGATTTGCGTGGTTCGTGTAAAGACTCGCGTGATTCGTGTGAAGTAGCACACGATTTGTGTGTAAAGCTGCGCGATTTTTGTGAAAAATCGAGCGATTTACATGCGCCTATCTCATGCAGGTATTTTGATGATATGTTTGTAAAACATTTAAACGATCATGCAAACACAGGCCTTCGTAAAGATTTAGAAAATGAAAAACCATTCTCCTGTTTGGCAAAGAGAACAAGCTTGCTCGATGAGGTTAATGAATTTAGCTCAACAGAATTCCTCTCTGGTTATGAGAGAGAAGATGTTGAAATGAGAACTTCTGCTCCTCAAGAATGTGTTGGTGCACAATCCTGCAATTTAGAAACTAATAAAACTAATACGACAGTCAATTCCACCGATTCCCGCAACGTATGGAACCATGGCAACGAAGCCATGTTTTATGGTGCCACCACTGATGACGTCACAGCTTACATGACGCAGTTGCCCGTTGATTGGACAAAGATGTGGTATAGAGCCTACGATAAACAAACCAATCACATAATGAAATACACGAAGTTTTATCATGAAAGTTATTGATGAGGGATATCTGGTATTTTAATCGGTTAAAATACCTACTCTGTTCTTAGTAGGTTCCGTGAGGATTTTGTATGGATGAAGATGGAAAAATTAAATTTATATTTATGTTACTTAAATATAACATGAATGTCAAATGAACTTGCTTGCCTTTACGTCAGTGACGAAGTGAAAATGACGTCAGTAATGTTGTGTCCCCCTGTTGCTGTGTGTGATGCAGGCTGTGACAAGTCACAAGATGTTGTTTCCTTTTATTGAAAGATTTTCAAAAAAAAGTCATATTTGCGTATTGTTGTTTGTGTGACAATTTTAGAAAATAATTATAAGATAGCTAAACAAAAGAATATATTCATTATGTACATCAATTTATACTTATATATCGACAAACTACAAAAAAGAATCAAATGACGATTTTATTTTAAATGAAATCGGAATCAACTCCAGCAAACAGTATACAAAATATTTGAGAATAATATTGAACTTCTAAGCAGGATTGTTTTAAAGTAATACTTGGGAGCATTAAAAAGAACCTGTCTTTTTTCTTCAATAATCTTGTTTTAGCTTTATCTATATTTTAGTATAAAAGTCTTCATTTTACATTTACGTTGTATCTTGTTAAAGATAAAGTTCTTTCATTTGACTTATTTCGTACGATAGTATTGAGTTCGCACCATTCTTAGTTTATTTTGAAATTTAAATATCACGAAGGTTCAACTGACGATTACACTTTAGCACGTGTCCTTGTTATTTACCTTGTCTCATTTTTCCTAATTTTTTATGCTTACATATCGTATTATGCCCTTATTGTCGTGTTTTTTGGTACTATCAGATCCAACAGTATAGGAGTTACAATATAATGAGACGAGACATTTACAGAAATTTCTAAGAACTACGCTTGATACTCAAATACGAAATCAGGGTCCATGTTAAGTAATTCAACCAAACGAATCAACCAAATCATTTTCTGTTCATTTGCAACAGCTGCTGATCTTACATAGTCTGGAATACGAACGCTTTTTCTTAGTAAGTGTTACATCGTTAAAGTTCATTGTACCTGTTGCAGTCATGTCATGTTCTTCCTTCAACGCGTGACACAGTTTTATGAATACCATGTCAACGTTTGTATTATTCTGGAAATGAAAGATAAGTTAGTGATGGATCGTTTAGGGATGAAGGTTATGAACGTGTTTCTCTTGGTAAATAAATCTTTTAGAAATAATAGATAAGGTTGTGCAAGGGTTTCTTTCGGTATCTAAATCTCTTCGCTGCCATTTATAGTGTACCTAAGTTAGGCATTCATTAGTGCGATGATGATTATGTGAACTTCTTTCTTATTCTGTATATTGAGCGGGTTTTTAATAAACATTCATTCTCGCTCAAAATAAAAAAAACTTGAGGCTACATGAAAGAAATGGTTGTTTTGATTTAAGTTGTAATCAAATCACTTTCAGATTGCGATTTTTGTACATTTAATGTATATTTTATTAATAATACAGTTTTCCATAACTGTGCATAAAATGTTTTTTAATCATTACCGATAACTGGTATTTAAAAAAATCAATTGTTACGGTTTTTAACGTTGGGTGTGATCATGACCTAGGTAGCTATATCTGTGTACATGTGTGACGATCATGACCTAGGTAGCTATATCTGTGTACATGTGTGACAATCATGACCTAGGTAGCTATATCTGTGTACATGTGTGACGATCATGACCTAGGTAGCTATATCTGTGTACATGTGTGACGATCATGACCTAGGTAGCTATATCTGTGTACTTGTGTGACAATCATGACCTAGGTAGCTATATCTGTGTACATGTGTGACGATCATGACCTAGGTAGCTATATCTGTGTACATGTGTGACGATCATGACCTAGGTAGCTATATCTGTGTACATGTGTGACGATCATGACCTAGGTAGTTATATCTGTGTACTTGTGTGACGATCATGACCTAGGTAGCTATATCTGTGTACATGTGTGACAATCATGACCTAGGTAGCTATATCTGTGTACATGTGTGACGATCATGACCTAGGTAGCTATATCTGTGTACATGTGTGACGATCATGACCTAGGTAGCTAAATCTGTGTACTTGTGTGACAATCATGACCTAGGTAGCTATATCTGTGTACATGTGTGACGATCATGACCTAGGTAGCTATATCTGTGTACATGTGTGACAATCATGACCTAGGTAGCTATATCTGTGTACATGTGTGACGATCATGACCTAGGTAGCTATATCTGTGTACATGTGTGACGATCATGACCTAGGTTGCTATATCTGTGTACATGTGTGACAATCATGACCTAGGTAGCTATATCTGTGTACATGTGTGACAATCATGACCTAGGTAGCTATATCTGTGTACATGTGTGACGATCATGACCTAGGTAGCTATATCTGTGTACATGTGTGACGATCATGACCTAGGTAGCTATATCTGTGTACATGTGTGACAATCATGACCTAGGTAGCTATATCTGTGTACATATGTGACAATCATGACCTAGGTAGCTATATGTGTGTACATATGTGACGATCATGACCTAGGTAGCTATTCTGTGTACATGTGTGACAATCATGACCTAGGTAGCTACATCTGTGTACTTGTGTAACGATCATGACCTAGGTTGCTATATCTGTGTACATGTGTGACAATCATGACCTAGGTTATATCTGTGTACATGTGTCGATCATGACCTATATCTGTGTACATGTGTGACGATCATGACCTAGGTAGCTATATCTGTGTACTTGTGTGACGATCATGACCTAGGTAGCTATATCTGTGTACATGTGTGACGATCATGACCTAGGTAGCTATATCTGTGTACATGTGTGACGATCATGACCTAGGTAGCTATATCTGTGTACATGTGTGACGATCATGACCTCGGTAGCTATATCTGTGTACATGTATGACGATCATGACCTAGGTTGCTATATCTGTGTACATGTGTGACGATCATGACCTAGGTAGCTATATCTGTGTACATGTGTGACAGTTATTAAGAATATTTAACATACTGTTGTAAAATATGTTTTTAGAAACTTTAAGGTAATTATTTACATTGCATTAAAAGTTACGTACATGTTAACAGTTTATCAGTAATATAAATCTCATCATGAAAATTGACATTTCTTAAAATGGCTACGAGAAAAGAGGTAGGCGCCCTATTCGAGCAAAAACGTTGTACTTTAAACTACAGACTTAAGTTTCTAAAATGGTTGTTTCATTTTACGACTGCCAAAATTTATTTTAGTAAAACATAAAACATGTATGTTTTAGTAATGAAATTTTTAATAAATTGGTGAAACAACAGCAGTAGGAGCGCTTCGCTTGGTCAACATAGGAGGTAGTTCTCTCCAAACGTTTGTACTCATATCAAGACATTCAACTGAATCAAGATACGATTCACCATCATATCCACCAACCACAACAATAATATTTCCAATGATAACTGCTGAACATCCATATCTTTTATGATTAAGTGAAGGAAGCATTTTAGTTTGTCCTGTTTTTACATCATACATCAAAACTTTATCTAAGTATTCACGTTTATCATTTAAACCCCCAATCAAGATTGCATTACCTTTATAACTGACTATACCCATGGCACTTACAGGATATGGAAGTGGAGCCAAGGTCTTACATTCCTTTTTACTGAGACTGTATGAATAAACAGTGTTTTTGATATCTTTCTCGTTTTCAGATATTCCCCCACCAAATACTAAAACATCGTCGTCAATGAAAATTGAGCCATGGTAACGTCTTGGCTCTGGTATTAGCTCCAATAATTTCGTCGTATGTGGAGGATTTAGTTGAATACTGTAGATTGTATCAAAGGCTTCGTTTCTGTTATATCCACCAATCATAATCACATTATCATTATGGTAAATCATACTATGTCCATAACACTTTCTTGGTAACATGACAGGAGATATTTTCCATTGCAATTTTCCATCCTTATTTAAACTTTCAATATTTTCTAACGGTTGTTTCCCATTCCAACCACCACAGACAAATATTTCTCCACCATGAACAAATGCAGCTGCTGCAGATCGTTTTTCTTTCGTTTGTGGTTCCTTTTGCCAATAATTTAAAACCCAGTTGAAAGACTCGACAGAATTAAAATTATTGTTGCCATCATAACCTCCACAAACAAAAATCTTTACTTTTCCCGTAAGAAAATTACATCTTTCTGTCGTTTCTGTTGTAAGAAACGTCATTTCATTATGACTTAATCTCATTTGCTCTTCTACATGACTCGCCATTTCATCACGATTCAACTTCATTTGCTTTTCTACATGAGTCACTATTTCATTGCGAGCCAACTTCATTTGCTCTTCAACATGAGTCACCATTTCATCACGATTTAACTTCATTTGCTTTTCAACATGAGTCACCATTTCATGATTCAACCTAACTCGCTCTTCAACATGCTTTGCCCTGTCATCTTGACTTTTTTGAAACATCTCCAATCTTTTGGTCAACTCGTTAATCTCTTTCCTCATAAAACATGGATGAGATCCTCGATACTTAAATACTAGAAACATTTTGCATTCTTCACAATCGATGAGACGGAACTCACATCGTTCCCTTTCATGTTCTTCAATCTCGTTTTTATTAAGGACTTCGTTACAACCTTCATTTCTACAAGGTGTAGGTGAATAACCACAGTTCTTCTCATGACGTTCGAGAAATTGAAGCTTCATAATTTCAGGACAACCACGGTTAACATTCGTACAGCGAATATCATGATCTTCTAACATTTCGGTGACAATTCTAGGTGCATCCTGCAATGTCTTCGACGTGATTTGACAATTACATTGAGGACATTTGTTAGAAGAAAGTAAGCATCTTTCGATGCAAGAACGACAGAAATGATGCTGATTTGGACAATGAACAGGATCCTTAAATATTTTGAAACATATGGGACATTCAAATCTTGAATGAACTTTATCGAGAAATCTCTCTTGTTCATATCCACCATACGAGTCTTTTGTAGCCATTGTCGAAGATTTTTATAATTTACTGACCAAGCTTACATTGTATGTTCGTATTTCTATTTCATGAAATAATGTTTTCATTTTCTTTATGCATATCTTCCATCTTTTATCGATTCTTGAATGTGTATGCCAAGATGACCTCCTCGGATTTCTATTTTCTCAAAACATGTCTTGCTTTCTAAAACGATAGATGTCTACGATTTTATGTTCTGTTATGGAAAGAAAATGGGTGGATGATTCATCACAAAGTTGTTGCCAAAGTTGTTTTCAAGCTGTGATATTTTTTAAAGTTTTATGCATGATTTCGGCTGGACAATAGTTCATTTTGATACATTCCTGCATAAAATTATACTTCAATGATAATAATTATTTGCTTAAAATCATTCGAGAGAAAATTGTTTCATATTTTATCATAAACTTGTTAAGTTATTATGGCTTTATGATATTTTTTATTTAAGATTATTGTTATTCAGTTATATTTATTTTTTTGTACAATCGTCGCCAAATTTTTAGTAAATCAGTTCAAATTGTGATCTTTTCAACCCTTTAATGTATTCAACATTTTATCAATGTAATAAAAGTTTATTTTACAATAATTGTATCGAGAATGTTTAATTATTACCAAGAATTCGTATTCAAAGAGTCTAATGTTTCGATGTTTTAAGTTGGGTGAAGACCGTGGGGTTGGGTCCAGTTGGGTCACACTTTCTCTGACTGTGTAAAATAGGTACGTACGCGTACAAAAATTATTGATGTTGTTACAAAACATGTTTTGGTTGTGGTAAAATTTCCGTCCACGTATTTTATCCAAAACATGCCTGAGAACTGAAGGATATTAGAAATTTTTCGGTAAAAAAAGTCAACGGGACGTCAATTTTTAATATCTCAAGAATTATGAAGACTGTATATAGTCACTTTACTCTTGTTAAAAAAAATAGTCGGTTGAAAAAACATACATTCCAATATTACTAGTTCAGAGAATGAAATCTTTAATAAATACAAAAAATTAACCAGCATTTCCCGTATAAGATATTAACATATGTTTAAAAAAGTATGAATTTAATTTTGTTTGCGGTGGAGGGACCCATCCAGCTAATTGTATACAGGTCAGTGGTCAATGTATCAATGTATCACTCAACAAATTTTCTAATAGAAACTTTGAACATTATTAGGGAAAATGCACCGTAGAGTTATAGCACATCGTTTAAATGCAAAACGTCGCACAGCAGACGTTTTAATCAATGAGAAAGTCGATTTCTCAGGGTTAATTTTATCCAAAGATGTCCTCAAAGGGTTGAAAAGTGCTGGATTTGAAAGACCATCACCAATTCAAATGAAAGCTATTCCTATTGGTCGTTGTGGTGTAGGTGAGTGGATTGTATATAATGCTTGTTTTTCTGTTGGATGTTTCTTTGTTGACAACAGTTCATACATTCAGCTAAATTTTGCCATGTGTCATGTGAACAGTGAGTGTGCTACAAGCCTTAGCAACTTGGAAATGGCACTGCATTGATAGTTAGATTTCATTGATAATAGTCAACCTATTGTAAACTTTTCCTTATTGAGTTTTTCATCAAATAATCCATTAAGATAAACAGAGGTACTTTAAAACATCATTTCACTATCATTCAGTTCACCAATGTACATGTTACAAAGGGTCACTACCAAGCTTGGATGAAATTGCACACTTAGTAGTTTTGAATTGGATGGCTTCTTATAGCTTTTGGTGTTAAGGAAATGTAGTCTTAATGTAGGAAAAGCACTCACTACCAGAAAAGTAAAGGAACTCAAAATTTTTAGTTTGATAGTTCATGCAAAGGTTTTCATTTAAAATGACTTTGCATTTAAGTCTTGTAAAGTATGTTTTCTAAAAAATTACAAATTTTTGACTTTCTTTATAGATTTGATTGCACAAGCAAAATCTGGCACAGGGAAAACATGTGTCTTTAGTGTGATTGCTTTGGAAAGCATCATTCTTACAATGATGTCAATACAAGTGTTGGTTCTTGTGCCGACTCGAGAGATAGCTGTTCAAATCAAGGATGTAATGAACTCTATTGGTCAACATATGCAAGGACTTCATGTAAATGTTTTTATTGGTGGTTTGTCTATTGAAGATGACAAGAACAAGTTGAAACTTTGTCAAATTGCTATTGGTACACCAGGTAGGTGGAGCAGTTAAATATTGATCAATTGCATATCATTTGGGAATGAATACGTATAGCTTTGGGCAGAAATATATATTATAATTTGGAATGTCAGTACCTAGCAAAGTACTATACATAAGCAATCATACAAAAAAATACATTTAATATCATCAAGTAAGGTACAAGCTAGTGTTTCTTCTTAACCTCGTCAGATACATTTGCGAAATCAATTTTTCAATCATCATTTAGGACGGGTCAAACATCTAATTGACAGCAAACTTTTGTCTACTTCTTCCATTCGATTGCTTATTCTTGATGAGGCTGATAAACTATTGGAGGAAAACTTTCAAGATCAGATCAAGTAAGACCATTAAATATATGAATAATTTGAATATCATTGATTTTTTCTTTTATAATATGATGGTTGAAACTTGTTTTATAATTTGTAGTTGGATATTTTCAACACTTCCTGAAAGCAAGCAACTGTTGGCTTTGTCTGCAACCTATCCAAACTATCTTAGCGAGCATTTACAGAAATATATGAGAAATCCAACTTTTGTTTGTTTAAATGCCATGGACCCTGCACTAGAAGGTGAGTGTTGTAAGTCATATTTATAGTTTAAGTTTAGTGAAAATGAACATTTATATTGTATGTACTGATTTTTAAAAGTACATGAATATGTTTTAAGGGATTCATCATTATTTTTGCACAATACCAAGTCATTCTCTCCCACATAAAACATTTGATGAAAAGGTTGGTAGTATTGGTCATACCTAGTTGGCTATAGGCTCGCACACACGACTGTTGGTCTAGACATATCATCTAAATCTTTATTCTGTATGTTACCACTCAATGTATGTTACTCATTCTATTAACTTGTGAAACTGCTGTCCAGTGTGTTGCATGTTTGCAGGCTTATTTGATATGTCATTTATAATTTACCTTAATCTGTGCATTTGTTAAATTGTTGAATATTCTACTGTAGGTTAATCATTTACTGGTTATGTTGTCCCAGATATCTTTCCATCAATGCCTTATCTTTTCTAACTATCAAATAAGGTATGTATCTAACAAAAAACTACATTGTGTTCATTGCTGTCACAATTTGTATGGTGGTTCTTAATTTTTATGTATAAATTTATTTCATAGAGCAAAGAATTTGAGTGAAACTTTGGCTAAAAATGGATTTCCTTCTACACATATTTCAGGTAGTGTTTGCTATGTAATTTATAGATCTTGGTCAATTATCTTAGCTCAATTTGTCATTTAAAGTAATTTTCCTTATTTTGTTTTCGAAATTATGAACACCAAGATGCTTTCTGGGTATTTTCTAATAAAAATATTTATCAAAGTAGAGAGGTCATGCCACTGTGTTTTAGAAACATGATGTTTTGTCATACTTTGTTTGGTGTTAGTTTATAAAACAAGTTTCTCTGCTTTTGTACTGGCTGGTCTGTTAATTGTCATCACTATGTTAATTTTGTTCTCTGTCATTGGATAAAACAAGATTGAAATACAGTCATGTTTATTTTTTTATGTTTATTTTTTTGAGAAAGGTGGTCAAGGCCAAAATGAACGTCTTGATGCAATGAGGAAGTTGAAGGAGTTCAAATGTCGTATTTTGATATCAACAGATCTTGTAAGTGACGTTAACTGATTTCTATATTTTCTTGCTTGGATACTTGGATGTCAGTTATAGTAGAAATATTCTTAATTTTAAAGAAATCGTCTGTATTCCATCTAGGGTAACTTTTCAATGTTGTGATTACATTAGTATTAAAGCTAGCATCTTGTATTACTAACAAGGGTAACTTGTCAATATTGTGATACGGAAGCATTATGTATAACAACCAAGGGGTAACTCTTTAATGTTTTGATTTATATTAAAGATAGCATTTTGTATTATTTCCAAAAAAGTAACTTGTCAATGTTGTGATAAATTTTATTAATGATAGCATCCAGTATACCGCGCTACAACGTTACTCGTTAATGTTATGATTAATATCAGAGGTAACATCCCGAGAGATTGTATCTTTAATTATAATGTAGAGTGAATCTCCCATTGAAACTTCTCTACCATTATAAGTAATTATAAGTAGTACTGGTATTATTAGAATGATTTGTTTGATTTAAAATTATCTTTAAACAGGAGCATTAACATTAAAAAATATATGTGGAAATTCATTTGTACTGAGATGATCCCCTCGTTGCACCATCTCTCCCCTCGTTGCACCATCTCTCCCCTCATCACAATATTCATCCCCTCATCACAACATTTATCCTATAATCACAACATTTATCCCCTCATCACAACATCTCTCCCCTCATCACGACATCTCTCCCCTCATCACAACATTTATCCCTTGATCAAAACATCTATCCATACTTTATCTTCTTTATCTATAGATGTCTCGTGGCATCGATGCTGAACGTGTGAACCTTGTGATTAACATGGATCTTCCACGTGACTCTGAGACATATTTACATAGAGTTGGGAGAACTGGACGTTACGGTAGGTCACCATTTAAATTTATTACAGATAACTAATTGTTACAGTCGTCCATGCGTTTTTTGACGAGGATGGCGTTATTGAAAATGGCGATTTTACATACTATTAAAATATTTGCGGATAGTTGATCTCAAGGTAGAATGATTTGAACCTGGTTGGCTGTTTTTACTTGCACAATGTCATGTTTCAGTGTTTGACAATGATATTATTTTTTGTTCACGACGTAACACGTTTTTACACAACAAGAAAAAAGACAAATGTTGATCAATATGTATAAAATGACGTCGATAAAATGACAAATAAGCTTATGCTTGTACCCTATGTACCCTTATATCAACCCATGCCACCAATCCATTCTACTTACATTCCTATAAAATCCATTGTTACATACCTAACCCATCCGTCTATTAAAGAATAATTTGTTATCATGATGTCTCATCAGAAATACATTTGCCATTATGAAAGTCATCGATTATGGGAACCAACTTCTCATCTATTTTTTCATACTTTTTTTAATACGTACGTCGAACATCTTCCCAACAGAGGAAAAATTTCATTCACTGTTGGGGATTATGTTTAGTTTTGAACGTTAAACAGGGTCGTATGGCGTGGCCATAAATTTCGTGGCCGCAGGAAAAGAAGAATCAAGTTTGAAAGACATCGAAATTAAATGTGGAATAAATTTCGATCCTTTGCCAGGTAATGTTTATGTTTTAAAGAATAATATCATAGCATGATATGAATTTTTTATAATAATCTAAAATATATTTGCTTCCACATTTAGTATTTATATTATTAGTATTTAGAATTATTACTATCATTGTCATTATCATAATTATTATTAATATTTAGAAGATTTATCTGAGCTCATATGTGAAGATGCGTTTGCCGAATGTAGTTTGATGAAGACAAAAGGCGAGATGCCTTCATTAACTTCTACGGCTGCTACAAGCATAGTTGGAGAAGGGAAGGTGAAAGAAGATGATGTCCTTTGCTGTGAAACTACAAACCTTGTTCATAATGGCGAAACGAGTCCCACAATGACGAAACAAAATTTAGTTGAAGGTTTGAATGAAGGAGCGAAGAATAAAATTCACGAGATTGTAGCTTTCACTGACATTGTTGTTGATAAAAGTTTTAATTGTGTTAACAATAATGAACAAAAGAAAAATAAAGAAAGGTTAACGCGAGTAATTGAAAATAATTCAGACAATAGCGAAAGTTCCACAACGGAAATCTTGAACTATGGCATTATTAAATATGATGAGTTGGCTGAAAACAAGAACATTTACACATCTCAAGCTTCTGTCGTTGCTGACGTTTGTCGTCAAGGAAACGGACAGACTGTTGAGGATCCAGGAATTATGGGTAATGTGAAAAACGAATTTGTTGACGTTAAGAGTGAAAATGTTTCTGTTGAAAATCAGGAAGCTACGACATACAAAGTGAACAGTGTAGAAGGAAAAGAAATGAAAAGTCATCACAACATTGAAACAATATACGATACAGAAAACAAACTAAATAACTTTAAAAGTGGTATGATTTATCCTTCAACGTTACAAGTCATCTTTCATAAACAATGGGGTAATGGATTTTTTACTGAGAGAAACAAATTGGATGAATGTGAGATGTCGGAATCCTCCGTTTGTGATGATTGTGAATTGTCAAGCCAAAATTGCGACTGGCGTGAAGAGTCACGTGATTCTTGTGAAGGGTCAAATGATTCTACCGAAGAGTCATGTGATTCTACTGAAGAGTCATGTGATTCTACTGAAGAGTCATGTGATTTGAGTGAAGAGTCAAGTAGTGCGTGTGAAGAGTCGTATGAATCGTATGAAAATTTGCGTGGTTCGTGTAAAGACTCGCGTGAATCGTGTGAAGTAGCACATGATTTGTGTGTAAAGCTGCGCGATTTGTGTGAAAAATCGAGCGATTTGCACGCGCCTATCTCATGCAGGTATTTTGATGATATGTTTGTAAAACATTTAAACGATCATGCAAACAAAGGCCTTCATAAAGATTTAGAAAATGAAAAACCATTATCCTGTTTGGCAAAGAGAACAAGCTTGCTCAATGAGGTTAATGAATTTGGTTCAACAGAATTCGTCTTTGGTTATGAGAGAGAAGTTGTAGAAATGAGAACTTCTGCTCCACAAGAATGTGTTGGTGCACAATCCTGCAATTTAGAAACTAATAAAACAAATACGACAGTCAATTCCACCGATTCCCGCAACGTATGGAACCATGGCAACGAAACCATGTTTTATGGTGCCACCACTGATGACGTCACAGCTTACATGGCGCAATTGCCCGTTGATTGGACAAACATGTGGTATAGAGCCTACGATAAACAAACCAATCACATAATGAAATACACGAAGTTTTATCATGAAAGTTATTGACGAGAGATATCTGGTATTTTAATCGGCTAAAATACATACTCTGTTTTTAGTAGGTTCCGTGAGGATTTTGTATGGATGAAGATGGAAAAATTAAATTTATATTTATGTTACTTAAATATAACATGAATGTCAAATAAACTTGCTTGCCATTACGTCATTGACGAATTAAAAACGAAGTCAGTAATGTTGTTTCCCCCCCCCTGTTGCTGTGTGTGATGCTGGCTGTGACAATTCACAAGATGTTGCTTCCCTTTTATTGAAAGATTTTCAAAAAAAAGTCATATTTGCATATTGTTGTTTGTGTCACATTTTTAGAAAATAATTCTAAGATAGCTAAACAAAAGAATATATTCATTATGTACATCAATTTATACTTATATATCGACAAACTCCAAAAAAGAATCAAATGACGATTTTGTTTTAAATGAAATCGGAATCAACTCCAGCAAACAGTATACAAAATATTTGAGAATAATATTGAAGTTCTAAGCAGGATTGTTTTAAAGTAATACTTGGGAGCATTAAAAAGAACCTGTCTTTTTTCTTCAATAATCTTGTTTTAGCTTTATCTACATTTTAGTATAAAAGTCTTCATTTTACATTTACATTGTATCTTGTTAAAGATAAAGTTCTTTCATTTGACTTATTTCGTACGATAGAATTGAGTTCGCACCATTCTTAGTTTATTTTGAAATTTAAATACCACGAAGGTTCAACTGACGATTACACTTTAGCACGTGTCCTTGTTTTTTACCTTGTCTCATTTTTCCTAATTTTTTATGCTTACATATCGTATTATGTCCATATTGTCGTGTTTTTTGGTACTATCAGATTCAACAGTATAGGAGTTACAATATGATGAGACGAGACATATAGAGAAATTTCTAAGAACTACGCTTGATACTCCAATACGAAATCAGGGTCCATGATAAGTAATTCGACCAAACGAACCAACCAAATCATTTTCTGTTCAAATGCAACAGCTGCTGATCTTACATAGTCTGCAATACGAACGCTTTTTCTTAGTAAGTGTTACATCGTTAAAGTTCATTGTACCTGTTGCATTCACGTCATGTTCTTCCTTCAACGCCTGACACAGTTTTATGAATACCATGTCAACGTTTGTATTATTCTGGAAATGAAAGATAAGTTAGTGATGGGTCGTTTAGAGATGAAGGTTATGAACGGGTTTCTCTTGGTAAATAAATCTTTTAGAAATAATAGATAAGGTTGTGCAAGGGTTTCTTTGGTACCTAAATCTCTTCGCTGCCATTTATAGTGTACCTAAGTTAGGCATTCATTAGTGCAATGATGATTATATGAACTTCTTTCTTACTCTGTATATTGAGCGGGTTTTTAATAAACATTCATTCTCGCTTGTCAATTTTCTATGAAAATGTATGTTAAACAGGATGCATTTTGCGAGCCTGGATTCAAGCCAATACAAGAATAACAACTTTTAGCAAAAAGAATAAGTCCTTTTTGCGTTGTCGTCGGTGGAGTTTTTGGTAATGCAGTGCTTCATTACCGTATTTCAATAACACAGAATTAAATCTCGCCATCATTAAATAGTGAATCAATTTACCTTTGAAGATGTTTCTACGACATCAACTATGTCCGGATAATGCGATGCAAACTTTCTCGCCTGTTCTTCGGTAACTTCTCGTTGTCGCTCGGCGACGTCAAGTTTTGTTCCTACTAAAATCATTCTTATGCTTTTGTTTGCGTACCTTCTGACGTCCTCTATCCAATCCCTTAGACAAGCCAGTGACTCTAATTGTGTGATGTCGTAGGTCAAAATGAGGCCGTTTGCATCTCTGTAGTAACTTTGTGTGATTGTTCGATAACGCTCTTGCCCAGCTGTGTCCCAGATTTCAAGCTAAGTGTCAACGAAACATGTTATTTAATTTGCTCATTGAAACAAGGAAGTTTTTTCATGGAAGTATTTTTTATATATTCTACTCACAGTAAGTTTACATACTTTACATCAACTACTAACAATTTCCTTTGTTAAAAACCTAATGCAAAGTATAAGCTTGAACTATTATATTCGCTTGTGCTAAAATCAATTCGACCTAAAGTGGAAAACTTCAAAATGGTGTGTCATTTTGTCAAACAAAACTTAACAAAAGTCTAGTACGGTTGCTGTCGCTTGGTCTTCAGTTAAATCATGTTTTGATGTGAGATTTATGACCTTCCAGGTTTGATCTAGAATAATCCTTTGAGACGTTTTTTTTGTGCAAACCAATTTAATTTCGTCTACCATTACATTGCTCAAAAGTAATTTCTACAAGAAATGTGCTTATGCTGTCGTACGAGTCTACAAATTATTCCATTCCAATATACTTGGAACGCATTTGAAATTTTGTTTAAGTTTTGTTCGAGAACATTCAATGGAAAGAGTTGAAGTTGTAATCACAGCACAATTGCATTCCGGTCAAGAAAAAATTACGTTCCAAAGCATTCTACCCACAGCTGTAGTGTCATATCGAGAAATTTAAAAAAAAATCCATTTGACTTGTCTATGGTGTTGTTGTCGAATCTATGAACTGTTTATTTAAATTTTCAACGAAGGCTAAAACGTCAACTTTATTAGATAATGATGAGATCACAAGACCGAAACCTATTCCAAAATATCAGTACCTTTACGTTAGGTTCGTCATCAACGCGTAGAATCTTTGTATAGTTGCAAATTCCCAACGTACTTCTCCTTTCTCGATAACTTTCTTGTGTATATCTCATCATCAAAGACGTCTTTCCAACGCCAGCATTGCCTACAAAGGCGATCTTGAATTTTAATTCGGACTTTATCTTGCCTTGATGTGGACGCATTTGCTCATGTACTCTTTAAACGTTTTTGCAGCTGTATATTGTTCGTTGTGTCTTGCCTGTTCTTTTACTGGAATGACTAGCATGTTCTTCATAATCTTATGTACTTAAGTACTTTGATATATGATACTTTCGTGACACTGTAAAGCTGATGTAAATAAAAAAACCCTCCCGCTGTTTTGGGTCGGGTGTTGTCGTCCCACATTCACGTGTTGGTTGCACCTTTTTTTGTAATTTACTTTTTTTTCCCGTAATTCGAAGATGTAAAGCTCGTGACCAAATCCATCCATTTTTTACTATGTTGTGTTTTACTACATTTGGTACCGGTAAATATTCCGTATGTACGTCTCGGCTTGTTGCCAAATGGATTAAAAGTAATGCGTGCGTTGGCGGAAATCTTTTCTACCACCATTTTTGTTACTGGTACAAGAATTATGAATGAAAAACGGAAAGTTGCAAATTAGTTGTCTTATGATTGTCAACAGAATTATTAATAATTGCTTATTTACTTTTGCGGTACTTTGTTCAATATTTAAATGTGCATTCTCCAAGAAAAAACATTACAGTTTAAGAACTTTGACACTTAATGTTTGTTTTTGGCTTTTACGTTGCAGCTTGTCGCAAGTTCGATGTGAATTTGCGCAGAAATTTTTTGTTAATAATTTGCGTATACCGCGCACAGTGGCACTGCGTTTAGTCGTTCCCAGTACTAAATAAAACGCGCTGATGATAGCAATAAGAGATAGGAACTGGTAAATTCTGTCAGTTTGGGAAGTAGAAAACGAAACATATCGACAAAAATACGCTTTATTTTGAAAAACATGGAGATGAACAACTTTTTATCATCTATATTCTGTTCAGAAAGCTGTGAATCAACTGCCACTCAAAGGTATCGTGAATTTTACGCTTAGAAAGCTCATTTGAAGCTCGATCGAAATTGTACATTCAGTGACTCATCACATTTACGATGTACGATTTAAATACAAACTTACTTATTTAGGAGTCTTTTGGAGTTTGGCAATCTACAAGAACATCTCGAGAAGATCTTAGCCGAACACAAAAACGAAAGCAAAATAAGTAAGGATTAAGTAATGAAATGGTGTGCTTGAAACAACAACATTTGTCATACAAACACAAAAACGAAATCAAAATAAGTAAGGAATAAGTGATGAAATGGGTGTGCTTGAAACAACAACATCTGTCATACAGCTCCTTTTGATTTTGAAGTTTATAGTGAGCAAGAAAGGGCCAATTTGGATGGAAGAATTGGGCCAGATGTTGTTAAAATTGATGTGCATGGCCGCTGTGGGAATATGGAAGTGTCAGAAAACTTAGAGGTAAATATCAATTTAGGAAATAAGTTGTTGCTATGCGTGAGAGCGTGCATAGGACAGTTCTTAAAGTGGGATATGAAAAATTTTTCTCGTAGCTTGACAGTGAAAGTAATTTTAGCAGCCTCAGAGCAAACGTCTGTATATGTCGAGGTAAAGTTCCTTTTTTGTACATCTTTTTTACATTCAACGAGAATTGTCATTTTTTTCAATGTTTATGTAGTAAGATCTTTTAATTTATTTTCAAGGAAAGTGGATGTTCGAAGTATTACTTGGAACAAGGGGAATTATGCAGCTTGGGTGGGCTACAGTGAATTGTCAATTCACCAATGAGGTAGGATGTCCAGTATATACTTACGATAAACTTATGATGCTTTTTCAATAAGCTCATTTGCATGAAAAACTCCTTGCTCCTTTCTGTATTTAGGAAGGTGTTGGAGACACTTCAGACTCGTATGCATATGATGGTCATCGTGTAAGGAAATGGAACTTGAGTGCGTCTGCTTATGGAGAAGTGAGTTATAAATATGCCTTGTTTTTTTTCTATCCTTTTATCTTTAATGAATTTATGTAATATGAATCTTTGATCGTAAGGAATGGATGGCTGGGGATGTCATAGGATGTGCATTTGATGTTGACAATGGGGTAATTTCATATTACAGGTACATATATCTTCTTGTTGCTGTTTGAGCTAGTACACCGTATTCAATAAAATATCTCAGTGTCCATTGTATGTGAGCTATTGTTTTTGCATTTGTACACCATAATTTCACACAAACAGCAAAGCTCAAGATGTCACTTGTAACACAAGAGTATTGTGTTTTTAGGAATGGTGTTAGTATGGGTGTGGCATATTCAGATGTACCTCGAGGTGCTGGTATTGCATATTTTCCTGCTGTCAGTCTCTCATATTGTGAATGTTGTCAACTTAATTTTGGTGCAACACCTTTCATGTATCCTTCTGCTATCCTTATGTGATCTTTATGTTATCCTTATGTTATACTAATGTTATCCTTATGTGATCTTTATGTTATCCTTATGTTATACTAATGTTTTTCTTATATGGTCAGTTTAAAGTCAATGAACAGAAACAAAGATTTTCTTTAACATTAAAGTTTTCCTGTCGATGGTTTTAAACCGTTGCAGGATCCTCCAAAAATGGAGCTTGGACAAGCAAAAGAATTATTTGAATTTCTAGATCGTCTTTTACCTTCAGTGAGTGTTTTTCTCTGTCAGCCTATAAAATAGAGTTTCATTTTCTAATTCATTACTGACATTATGTTGGCATTGATGTATCTTGTCATTTTTTAGCCAGAGAGGATCCCTCACCTTCCCCCAAGCCTGAGCGGAAGATCTGGTACCTTGGCATTACTTACGAGCTCTCATGTGTTTGAAAAACTAGCACCTTTATTGGTATGTATTGTAGTGTGCGAATTAGTTGAGAAAAAACATGTGCAATTTTTTCGACAAAAAATGTAATTTAGCATTTGTTGTAACAACTTGGAAAAGTTTTTGCAAATATGTTGAGTTTATTTTTACCTGGTTTTCAGTTTTTCATTCCTTCTCTTCGCTTATATAATTACCAGCAATTCAATCTTATCAACTTTGCCATAAATTTGACAATAGAAAATTAGTGATAAACCCTCCCCCCCCCCCTCCCCCCACATTTTTTGAACTTGTAACTCATGTCCAGTTGTTGGTTTCTTTGGCATTTTGTTCATTTGCCATGTTGATGAAAATTACATTTGTAATTTTCTGTTACTCACTTGCAGGTTGAAGCGTACATTGTTGAAGGTTTGCTCATACCATTTTTACTCAACTCTTGTTCGAGCACAGTTGACCCAAGTGAATTCCATCCCGGTGTAAAGAGAATGCTTGACCTAATGTGGACTTGCATGGAAGATTTTGAACTTCATCCTTGTCTCAAACACTTGTTTTATGGTCTTCTTAAAGTTTACTGGCATCGACCTGTTTTGGCTGACTTTAAAACTCAGGTATGGCTTGCATTTGTTTCTTTCTAGTACTGTGGTAGAAAAGTACACAAGGTTACTTTCAATTATTTTATCTCTCAAAACATATGTGTTTTTCTAAACTTGACACTCTTTCATTGGTAGAGAGAATCGCTGTCATTAATGCTCAGCACTCTTCATCATGAACGGACTAGAGCATTTTGGCTCAACATGAAAAAATATCCTTTGAAACATGTTTGATTCTTTGCATTGTTTACCTATATCTTTGTCTTCATGTTTATACATCATACTGTCATCAATTATAGAAGTGTAGGCTATATCCTGCAGTCTTGAAGAGAAGTGTATGCCATACTGTCATCAACTATAGAAGTGTAGGCTATATCCTGCAGTCTTGAAGAGAAGTGTATGCTATACTGACATCAACTATAGAGAAGTGTAGGCTATATCCTGCAGTCTTGAAGAGAAGTGTATGCTATACTGTCATCAACTATAGAAGTGTAGGCTATATCCTGCAGTCTTGAAGAGAAGTGTATGCTATACTGACATCAACTATAAATAAGTGTAGGCTATATCCTGCAGTCTTGAAGAGAAGTGTATGCTATACTGTCATCAACTATAGAAGTGTAGGCTATATCCTGCAGTCTTGAAGAGAAGTGTAGGCTATACTGTCATAAACTATAGAAGTGTAGGCTATATCCGCAGTCTTGAAGAGAAGTGTATGCTATACTGTCATCAACTATAGAAGTGTAGGCTATATCCTGCAGTCTTGAAGAGAAGTGTATGCTATACTGTCATCAACCATAGAAGTTTAGGCTATATCCTGCAGTCATAAAGAGAAGTGTATGCTATACTGTCATCAACTATAGAGAAATGTATGCTATATCCTGCAGTCTTGAAGAGAAGTGTATGCTATACTGTCATCAACTATAGAGAAGGGGATGCTATATCCTGCTGTCTTGAAGAGAAGTGTATGCTATACTGTCATCAACTATAGAGAAGTGTTTGCTTTTTCGTCAGTCTCAACCATTGAGAAGTGTATGATTTGTTGTCATCAGTCCTAAGGATGTTGTATACTTTACTGACTCATTATAGAGAAGTGAATGCTATCTCTTAATAAGTCATGAAAAAATGTCATTTCAATAATCACAATCCACCATTTCTTCCTTAACTTTTTCTACTTTTCCTCTGAAATTTTGTTATTTTATGCATATTCGACCACCTGATGATTCTGTGTTGCTTGAACTGTTTCCCCTGGCAATTTATGAAGAAAAGGAAGTATGTAGATTTAAAAGTCACTACAACTTTGGCGCATTTTTAAATTCAATAACAAGCAAGGTAGTGAGGAAATTTAGTGGTTTTCCCTGCGGTCATGAAAACGTGCCAAACTATTTCATTCTGCCATTTTATTTCAGACTTATGTGTAGTAAAAACTGGACATTCCCCCCTGTTTATAGGCGTCGATTTTTGCTGAAGATGCGAGCGTTGAGGATAAAGAAACATGCCTGAAAGATTGTGAAAAACTTCAGAAGAAAGTTCAAGGTAGTTTAAGTATACTTGTAAGGAAAAAACAGTTGCGTTGAACGACCTTGTTCTCTCAATAATTATAACTTTGGAGAGTTTTTTATTTGTTATATTTTTGTGTAAAATGTATTTCATTTTTATAGTTTTAGAAAATATTCACGTTGAAATGTGCAAAGTTTTGTTACAAGATGAACGACCAGAGGTGTAATTTTGTTCTTTACTTTGGCATCTTTATTCACGCAGCTTAACTATAACTTTTATTTTAAGCCTTAACTCCTTTATCTTCTATCTTTATCTCATAACTTTGTGTTGATGTCAAAACTTACCTCGAAGTAACATTTCTTATTATTTTTCAACTTTTATAGAACTCAACGTCCACAAGATCTTCCTTCTTGGAGAAATTCAGAAAATATCTTCAAGATAACATGGTTGTCGCCCTTAGTGTGAGTCTTAGTCAGTTTATCAAAATCATCCGTGACTTAGGCATGTTTCAAACGTAAAGTCAAATGTATTAAAGACAAAAGAAAACGAGATAAAATCCTCATATAAGATTTTGTTTTGAAATGGATATGTATCAAGATTGATGGGATCAATTTCGTGGCATTATTAATTGTTTTACTACCTTATTCTCTTGTTCAGGGGGGAGAGGAAGAAGTAACTGTCTATCTTCAATGCTTGATAAACATTTAATAACTCCTATCTCCCTTAACTCCTACGATGCCAATTTTTCAGCAAAATTATCATTCTTTTCTTTAGGAAATTAATTCCATTCATTGCTTTTTAAGTGATTGAACACAAAAATATTTGCCTTGTTGAAGTAAAAAACGGGCTGGCTTCTCTACTGAAGTCAATACCATTTGTTTTGATGTGTCACACTAATCAATTAGTTGACCCTGCTCAAAAAATTGTCTTAAATCACTTTTCTATTATTTAGTCTCATCCGCCCAGTTCGTGTTCCGGACCCGTTCTCACGTGTTTCTTTCACCGCTATATGCAAGCGATCAAATGGCATTGGAATAAACGATGTGAAGAGAGTGGATCTGATATTACGTCTGAGAGTAAGTGCTCCCCATAACATTTTTCATCCCTTTTTATCATTTAGTATCCCTAACATGTAAATGATGTTTTCTATTTTTTATTATGTTGATAAACCGGTTTATCAATTTTTGTATCATAGACAACCTTACATATTTGTAGCTGTTGATTGTCCAGGTTAGTGCAAGGACTGAGAAGGATTGTTTTTGTATTGACTGACTTCGCAGCCAAATGACTTTGAAGACAATTACTGTTGAGGTTGTCGAAACTTCAATCCACATCAACACCAGCAGTTCTTCTCTGGACTGCACTAAACTGGACAATCTACGACTAAAAACATGTAACGTTACTCAAGGCACAAAATTGTTCTGTTCATTTTGTACCCATAATCATTATTGATAATCTTATGTACCCCTTCATATCGTTTAATACCCCCATTACTAAGATAATGTTATCTGCCGTTTCATTTGGTGTTCTACCTCCATATTTATCCATTTATATCCCTAAGTCCTCCCATCACACAGATAAACTTATTTAATTTTTATTCTAGATCTCTTTGTTCCCGTCAATGCATTTGTCGACAAGAGTATTAACTATTTTGAACTTTCAAGGTTGTGTAAAGTTTATAAGTGTTGCACCGTTTCTACATTTCACAACTTTTCTACGTTCAATCTAACACGAACTTTTTTTTGATTGATAGAATCGGTGGTATTACTTCACATTTAAGGAAATCACATTCAGGTATGGTCGTGTTTGCTTGCAGACAGTTGTGTTTAATTGCAGGCTGTAATTAGTTGTGTTTGCGTGCTTCCTGTGATGTTTTGCTAGTGGTATAACTGGCTGGGGCCGGTTGCACGAAGCCTGGAGAGCTTTATCCATTGGATGGCAAAAATTTTCAAAATTGCAAAAAAAGGGTGTTATATTTTTCTTAAGACAAAGAAATTTCGTATTCTTCGAAACAATACTTCATTTCAGTGATTGCTCAAGTCGAATCTTACATTTTTTGCTTTTAAAAAGGTTTTATAAAAGTTTGAAAAATTGCTATCCGATGGATAACGTTATCCAGGCTTCAAGCAACCGGCCCCAGGAGTGTTAGACGTAAGCTCAATATAATGTTTAAGAAGTACACACACACATTGATACAGTTGATTTCATCTCTAAATTCATTTTTTAACAATCTTCTGCCTGTAAACACAGAAATATTTTCATAGCAGGACTAAATGAACACACTGCATGATTAGGCCGAAGGCATACTGCAGTTCAGAGGATCATAAAGTGGCAGGACTAAATGAACACACTGCATGGTTAGGCCAAAGGCATACTGCAGTTCAGAGGATCATAAAGTGGCAGGACTAAATGAACACACTGCATGATTAGGCCAAAGGCATACTGCAGTTCAGAGGATCATAAAGTGGCAGGACTAAATGAACACACTGCATGGTTAGGCCAAAGGAATACTGCAGTTCAGAGGATCATAAAGTGTAATTTTTTCCTTCACAGATAGACTACGACATGTAACTGAGAGAAAAAGCGAAACGAATCTCGGCAGTAGTTTTGATGAAGCTTCCTGCAATTCGGGATGTAGCTCAAAGTTGGACATGTCATTGATCGAAGCCGTCGACACGCTCATAATGTTGTATTTTTTTGGTGTCCATCGACAGTTCAGTAAGGTATTTAATCAAGGGTGGAAAAATTTTTTCCTTTGACCAAAAAGAAAGGAAAAAAGGTTTCTGCCGCTTAGTGAGATATTATTTATTTTTTTCTACTAACTTAAAATATTTTAAGTCTAAAAGATAATGTATTTTTTCGAAACTCAAAGTGAAACTTTCTCCAGGCTGTGTCATGAAATTTCAAAATTTTCTGGGACCAGCGGTCTCATAAGTCAATGTATCTTCCCTTATACGAACTGCTTAACTATGAGCCTGCGGACAACTCCCTTTTTTCAGCTTGAATTGTTGTAAATAATGTAAATAATGTACAAAGTTTAAATTCCATGAACATTCTTGTACTACATTTTTCTAACCTCTAGTCATCAACATTGCAATCATTTTCTAAGTGTGCACATTTTGTTGATAAGAAAAATGGGTCCTAAGCAATATTTACTGCGGCTTGTTCGTGTTCACTGTTGTCATGATTCAACTGAAGTGCTGACTACTGACCTAAGGTTTAACTGAAGTGCTGACTAATGACCTTAGGTTTAACTGAAGTGCGGACTAATGATATTATTTTCCCATTGTTAGGTTCGTAGTGTTCGCGATAATCTTCATCAAAATATCAAAGCTCTACGAGAAACGGAAAACAAGATCACGAAATGTCCAAAGAATGTATGTAGTTTAAAATTATCGAATTTGTATGCTTTCGATTATAATAATTCAATGATGAGATGCTTATGTGAACTCACTTGTTCAGAGGAGTACCATAAAATTCTAAATAGGAAGTGCATCATCCAGCCCAGTTTCCCTTGATCGAGATCTTGTTTGCAGGCAAAGTACATCAGTTATTCCCCATTGTTTTTGCTGGCCAACGTCCAATAACTGCAAAATCTTGTTGTAGAATGGTTTTCAACGTCATTGTTTACTAGCGAAATTACATTCATGTAGCTTGAACTTTTTTACGTTCCAACTATCGGTACATAAACAATTTACTGTACATATTCACAAACAGTTATATTGTTAACAAAACTCAAACTCGTTCTTAGAAATCAGACGTTCTTGTGGAACTCGAAAGGTCTTGTAAAGTATTTGCTAAAGAGACGAAAAACTGCACTCGTCAGATGTTTTGGGTTAGATCGTTGATATTTACTTCAGAGAAGCAAAAAGATGTCCATTGGATGTTAAAAACAGCTCTTAAGACTTTACAAGCAGCACAAGAAGACAGCACCATGCTTGATTTTGTTCCCGAATTTTACATCGAAGCTGTTTGCAGTAGTTATTCCGCGCTAAGAAATCTCTTTTCTCCTACGGTGCCCTTTGGAGATCTTCCAGGTACAATGAGAGATTCTTGTGTACTTTACGGTATTGAAGTTACCTCATTTAGCTCTACCCTTGCGAAATTGTTTTTTTTCAAATATGACAAGCAGTTTATTGCTTTTTATTTACTGTCACGCAAAAATGGCAACTATTTCCGTGGAATGATAGGTTGAGTATAAAATATAGTAAAAAAAGAAGTAAAATAGTTATGTCACGCTAGTACATGCACAAGAAACACGTGGATAGGACGTGATTTGAACTCTAGCAGGTTACCATTACGTTGCCCTACCTGTTAAGCTACCAAGCGAACAAGGCATATGCGCACGGGATGTAGGGGCCGGGGGGGACTACCCCACAAGAAAGTTTGAAGATTGAAAAGTTGGACCAATTTTAAATTTAAGTCGGGCGAAAAATTGGCTGAACCTTAATGCCCTCCCTCCCCGAAATGACAGTTCCCGTACGCCTATGAAACAGGGGATTGGAGACGAGTCACATCTCTCTTAAACGGAGACATTGTCGCTGCGACTGTAGTGTTATTCTTAATCAATAATGGCAGCGTGTTTTGACCAAAAGCTGAAAATGTTTCGTCAGCTACATTAGACTTACGTGGAACGTTATTTTGCTCCATCTCCTTGATTGCTATATAGATTTTGATGATGAGAATCGTTAATAATTGTAAAATCTATTTATGTTTCATCATTTAACGTTTGTTTAAAGATGGCGAAGATCTTCTCAATGGAATGGCGTCGTTCTTTGCCGAGAATTTTTGTGAATCCAAGATTGTGAATCCAGATCTTCGTGATACTCTCATTCAAGGCTTAGTGACTTTCTCTTGTTATCCCGATTGTGTAAAGGCTTTAGAGCAACTCCCTCAATCAACGTGAGTAAATATTTTAAATAGATTTACAGTCAGGGGATGAACGGTGTGACGCATGTGTAATGAGGGATTTTACCAGGATAGAGATGCATGATGTGGATTGTACCAAAACAGTCAGGGGATGAACGGTGTGACGTATGTGTAATGAGGGATTTTACCAGAATAGAGATGTATGATGTGGATTGTACCAAAACAGTCAGGGGATGAACGGTGTGACGTATGTGTAATGAGGGATTTTACCAGGATAGAGATGTATGATGTGGATTGTACCAAAACAGTCAGGGGATGAACGGTGTGACGTATGTGTGATGAGGGATTTTACCAGGATAGAGATGTATGATGTGGATTGTACCAAAATACTGCAAAGCAATTTCTTTTGTCAAATACAGGAATTTCTGATCGAATATAATAAGAATGGAGTACTCATTTGATGCAAAATATCTTTATCTAACCAACAATATCTCAAGATTTGATTACTGCGAGCTTGCTTTTTGCCAGTGCTCGTTCTATTAGGACGCTGAAGTAAACTATTCAACATCAACATTTATTTTTTTTGCAAATTTAAAATCGAGATCTTCCAAATACAACAGAGACTTGAATTCTTGATGGTTTTATGACTATGTAAAGAAACACATGCACAATGATATATGTGTAACTGTCTGATGGAAAACTATCTTTTTCACCTCAAAGCTTTGCGTTTATTGTATTTTTACTGGAAAACTATCTTTTTCACCTCAAAGCTTTGCGTTTATTGTATTTTTACTGGAAAACTATCTTTTTCACCTCAAAGCTTTGCGTTTATTGCATTTTACTGAAAACTATCTTTTTCACCTCAAAGCTTTGCGTTTGTTGCATTTTTACTGGAAAACTATCTTTTTCACCTCAAAGCTTTGCGTTTGTTGCATTTTACTGAAAACTATCTTTTCACCTCAAAGCTTTGCGTTTGTTGCATTTTACTGAAAACTATCTTTTCACCTCAAAGCTTTGCGTTTATTGCATTTTACTGAAAACTATCTTTTCACCTCAAAGCTTTGCGTTTATTGCATTTTACTGAAAACTATCTTTTCACCTCAAAGCTTTGCGTTTATTGCATTTTACTGAAAACTATCTTTTTCACCTCAGCTTTGCGTTTATTGCATTTTACTGAAAACTATCTTTTCACCTCAAAGCTTTGCGTTTATTGCATTTTACTGGAACTATCTTTTCACCTCAAAGCTTTGCGTTTATTGCATTTTACTGAAAACTATCTTTTCACCTCAAAGCTTTGCATTGCATTTTACTGAAAACTATCTTTTTCACCTCAAAGCTTTGCGTTTATTGCATTTTTACTGGAAAACTATCTTTTTCACCTCAAAGCTTTGCGTTTGTTGCATTTTACTGAAAACTATCTTTTCACCTCAAAGCTTTGCGTTTATTGCATTTTACTGAAAACTATCTTTTCACCTCAAAGCTTTATTATTATATTTTACTGGAAAACTATCTTTTTCACCTCAAAGCTTTGCGTTTATTGCATTTTTACTGGAAAACTATCTTTTTCACCTCAAAGCTTTGCGTTTATTGCATTTTTACTGGAAAACTATCTTTTTCACCTCAAAGCTTTGCGTTTATTGCATTTTTACTGGAAAACTATCTTTTTCACCTCAAAGCTTTGCGTTTATTGTATTTTTACTGGAAAACTATCTTTTTCACCTCAAAGCTTTGCGTTTATTATATTTCTACATTTCGATTACGTTTTAGTCAAGATAGTGTCGTGAGAACACTAATGGCCGCCTACGAAAAAAGAACTTGGGTTCAGACAACTTGGATTTTAATAAGATTCTGGAAGGTTTGCCTTTAAACATTTATACGTAGATGTCTTTATTGGCACCAGTCTCCTGCGCTGTTTATTGTGAAAATGTTTGTGAAAATGACTAATTACTTCAAGTTTATGATTAATATCAATTTTTTTTGAACAATTTCAAATGGAAGTGTACGAACGCACTGCATCTATTGAAAATTGAAAATAATGAAAGCTTGAAATTATGACGTTTGATTTTGCGAAGTATTTTGTTGACGAAAATTTTTTACCTTTACTATTTTTATTTCTCCTTCAGAGCTGTGGTTTGGTTTCAATTATTCTCTTCAAAGCTGGGATCACATAACAGGCATCTCTGATCACGGTTTACAGCGTGTGAACCTTCAGCCTCCATGTCCTTCGGCTGTGTTTCAACGTGTTCTAGCGAAGTTATGTATCGAAGATAAAGATTTGTCCTGTGGATTTTTAAACGGCGTCTTGAATCAACTCAACTGGGCTTTCTCCGAATTTATCGGCATGCTTCAACAGGTTAGTTTGTTAAGTCAGGGCAATTATCCTGAATGGAAGGTGTTCTAGAGATACTGAATCTTGCTAATTGAAAGGGTGTATTGTTGTGTTGCATATTACCACGTGTTGTACCAATGTGTACCATCTCACCCTATAAGGATATGCTACTTCTGTTTTGTCGACTGGAAATTCATCAATGGCTGCTTTGCTACACAACTCACCCATGTTGAATGATGGGTAATGCCACAGATCAATTTTCTTACTTCTTTTACTGAAGGAGGAAGGATTTATGTTTGATTTTAGATTCAGTCTTTATCCAGCATAGCCGTGGAGAATCGTCAGTTGAAAACCTGTATTGTCTGCTTTGAGTTGACTGTGGGTTTACTAAGGGTACGTGTATATAACTATGGGTAAAGTGATGATAATACGCCAATGTACAATTTGGGTGAGCTTGTTTTTTTCTCAGGTATTGGAGATGGTATGTGCCGTCGCTCCGGATTTGTTTACGGACTGGGAAAGTTTTCCTTCCGCTGAACTCAACATATCACGGTTATTTCAGTTGGTGACACAAGCGTTTAATCGTCTAACCACCAGTGCAAATATCTTTGACAATGTCACAAGACTCCATTTGCCAGGTTGACGTTTTGTCGAGTTGAATATATTACATAAAAAGTTTATTAATTGGAACTTACTGAATTCTAGGATTCGATTGTGTTGATCGTTTCCCGCTTCTCAGTGCGTTGGCTGGTATCATGTTGGCTTTGTTGAAACGATCAAGTGAAGCAAGGTGAGTATCTAATTTGTTTTTGGCGAGAATTCCTTTTACCATTATTGAGGGGAAGGGAAAGGGACTTTTCTAATAGTTTATGACCGAGCCAGGTATAGTCACTCCCAAAGAACTACAAGGAGATCCAGTTGATTGTTATGAACTTTATAAGTTGGTCGAGTTGACTGTGCAAGTTTCCAGTCATAAATATTTTGCATGTTGTCAGTCTTCTTTAGCTTGTTTTTTTCCAGCAAATGCATTTTAAAACTCGTTACCCCAATGACCGTTTGGCGTTCTAGAACTTATAAAGTAAATGGTTTGAACCCGGGAGTATCGTTACATGTTTGTAAATGTAGATCGTCAGGTTGGTATAGTCCTGAAAAGGACTGTTTTTGTTGTTGTTGACTACAAACAACATTAACAGTCCTTCTCAGGACTATACCAACCTGGACGATCTACATTTACAAACTAGAACTTATAGTTGCAATGTTATGGTGTCGAGTGTCTCCAATGATCTCTACCATGACATTTGTACTCTTTGAACATAGAGTGACATTTTGGTACTTTTCAAAGCTGCAATGTTCGTATGTCAATAGCGGTCTCTCTTTGTCCTTTAACGACGCTAACTGTTGTGGCAGTTATATCCAGGAAGTGACATTTTACTAAAATTTTTATATAGCATTAAATGCGCATGTTCAGTGTTATTTGCTGAGCCAGGTTTCCAATTGGAATCATTCAAGTTGTTATTTGACCGTCAGAGCAACGGTGGAAAAGCTGTTTCTCGATTGTCATTTAGTCAATGTAAGTATGTAAATCTAGTTTCACGATATGAACCTGCAGATCAAAGAAATTTTAACGTCTATTTCTCAGACAAAGTTGTGAGCGAAGTCGAACTTCAAGAATTAGAGGAATTAAGTGCGATCCTGGCTACTTATAAGGATAAAGTTCATTTACAACGACAAGTAAGTGAAAATTGTGGGCGCTTTTCGTGTGGTGATGGTATAAAATAAAAAAAGAAGTGTGTGAAAAGTGTGTTGTTTGTTAGGTACAACAAAATGTGTGTGAAAAGTTTGTTGTTTGTTACGTACAACAAAATGTGAGTGAAAAGTGTGTTGTTTGTTACATACAACGAAATTTGAGTGAAAAGTGTGTTGTTTGTTACATACAACGAAAAGTGTGTGAAAAGTGTGTTGTTTGTTACATACAACACGAAAGTCAAGAAGTGAGTGAAAAGTGTGTTGTTTGTTACATACAACACGAAAGTCAGAAGTGAGTGAAAAGTGTGTTGTTTGTTACATACAACACGAAAGTCAAGAAGTGAGTGAAAAGTGTGTTGTTTGTTACATACAACACGAAAGTCAAGAAGTGAGTGAAAAGTGTGTTGTTTGTTACATACAACACGAAAGTCAAGAAGTGAGTGAAAAGTGTGTTGTTTGTTACATACAACGAGAAGTGAAGTGATTCAAAAGTGTGTTGTTTATGATAATGTGCTATGAAAATTGAGAGAAATGTGTATCTTATGTGATCACGCGTCCCTAAATGTAAGCTCTAACATTTTCGCGGTCTACAGGCATCCTATGACAGCGATGAATTATGTACAATATGTTATGCTATGCCACAAAATGCTGTGTTTGTTCCATGTGGTCATAAATCATGCAGGTGCCGTATTTTGACTTTTCATTTATAAATCTTGGCTTCATTTTTACATCCACACAAAACACTTTTACAGACTGTGTTTAGTTTCATCCCTAATTATGTTAATTATGTTTAAATATACACATGCTCTTGGTATGCTTTAGGGCATGCATCTCAAGACATTTGCTGAACAGTAAAGTTTGCTTCTTTGCAAAGAAGTTGTGGATAGGTTTGAAATTGTTGGTCTAAACGAGTCGACGAAAGAAGACGATGTCGGTTCTTAAACTATTTTGACTCATGGATCAATCCATGCTGATTGTCAAGAAACTCCTATCATCTACTAAAGTCTTGAAAAGACTGATTTCTTGCAGAATTAGCGGGAAAATGACTATCGAAAAATCACTTCATTTTATGTTAAAGATATAAAGCAAATCAATAATGTATATACACTTAAAATTACTTAAACAAAGTAATGAAGACGTAGAAGACCGTCAGCTGACTACATGTTACGCAGGCGACGTTTGGTAATGTTTTGTACTTTGAAAAAAATCATTGCCAAATTACTTGGTAAATAATCAATTTTTTACGAAGATGGCAGGCTTTTTGAAGGTTTTCAAAGACTGGATAAACTTTCAAAAGGACGTGTATAACAGTTTGGGGAAATTTGAAATCTTCCGAAGGCTTTTACGTGAAGGAAATGTTCGCGTCGGGACTTTGGTTGGAGCAGACAAGTATGGCAACGAATATTTCGAAAACAACTCGTATTTTATGGGAAGAAATCGATTTGTGAAATTTCCGTACAAGGATCATCGTTTATCCTTTGATGCAAGTGAAATTCCTCCCGAATGGCATCGGTGGATGCACTACATGACCGATGATCCGCCAAATAAAGTTGTGCCCGAACAACGAAAATGGATGGCTGATCATACAGTTAATCTTTCAGGGACAAATAAACGTTATGTGCCTTACAGTACCACAAGACCGAAGATAGAAGCATGGTCACCTCCAAAACTTAAGTAAATGTTTCTCAACTGTTGATTTAAAACAAGAACTGCGGAATTTATTTTGGAAAAGACCACAAAAAATTGCTTTTTGATAAGCATCTTTTATGTAACGGATGTTGCACTCCAAGCCATTTGTAAAATGCTTCTGAGATTGAAAATAAATATATATATTTATATGCCTGTTTTTGCACAGAATCTCCTTGTATTGTTTTAATCTTTCCTTGCATCCCCCGTCTTTAGTTGTGATTTCATAACGTAATATAATTTTTGTGTTGTTCAGCAGGGGATTGATATATATAGTTAAAAACATATTCTCGTACGTCCCCCGTCTATCAGTAACATTTATATTTCTGCCGGGGGGTGGTCGAAAGTAAAAACCTGTTGCTACGATCTCCCTAATATTTTGGAAGTCGCTCAATGGTCGCTCATGGACACGTTGCAATAAATTAAATACTTTACAACACAACCAGAAAAGGCTTTGCTGTATTTTATTTGAATATCGGTGGAAGAAGAAAGAAACGAAGATTTAGAAACATGAAAGCTTTAATTTTAGTCGGTGGTTACGGCACTAGACTTCGGCCATTGACGCTGTCTCAACCAAAACCTTTGGTTGAATTTTGCAACAAACCGATGATGTTACATCAAGTTGAAGCCTTAGTACAGGTATTTTACGGTATTCGAAATTGTTTGTGTCGTGAAGCTCTTTTATAGCAGTAAAAGACAAAGAACTCGTTCTTTGCATATTTATGTCCTGTCCTGTCGCCCTAGTTAAACGTACATAGGCAGACGTCGTCACAAAGCATTGTTGTTATCATCTTTGCTGAAAGTTGCGCAGATTGAATAGAACTGTTGTGTTTCTCAAAGTACTTTGTTATTTCTATACTGCAACACTGTATGTATCAGTATGTGGTACAATCCACTGAATAAGCTATATTAGGATTGTACGAAAGGGCAACTCCATTTAAATTTTTATTCTAGAGTTTTATTCCAGTAAGTGGATTGTCTCTTGATCAATAGGAACAATGAAATGGCTTATCACAGCCAGTAATATAATTAAATATAGTGTGCCAAGTTGCACCTTGAAATAATGGCTCTTTGGTACATTCCTGCTAAGGAAAGCTAATTCACCCCCCCTCCCCTCCCCTCCTAAGTAGATTTTTCATGACTGGTAAACAATTTAGAAACATGCCATTGTTTTCTTCTTTTAAACTTGTTATCACCTTTACTTATTTGTGTATGGTGTTATTTTGAAGGCTGGTGTTACACATATAATTCTTGCTGTCAGTTACCGAGCAGAAATGTTAGAGAAAGAAATGACGCATCATGGCAAGAGGGTACGAGAGTTTCATATTTTGTATTTCTTATTGAAAGAGTGTTTGCCGATCTTTTTAATCACCTGAGTTTTTCATGGAAACATGTCATTTCTATGTGGTACATGTCTCAGATTAAAATTGGAAAAAAAGGGGAAGTAATGCATTGAAAGATTTGCTTGCACTATTGCATGCAAAGAGTACACTATGAGCACCATACCATCAATTTTCCCATCTATATTGTGTTATTGAGTTAAGTTATAGAGTTAAAATTTTGATGCCATAGTGCTGAAGTAGACCTTGTATTTGAGGAAAATGTTTTAAGGTTGGACTATGTGAGTTTTTTGAAAGTTTATTGTGTTTTTGAAGGGGATTGTTTCATGCATTTTAGCTTGGTATTAAAATCACGTTATCATTGGAAGACGAACCTCTTGGGACAGGTCAGTGCTCAATTTTGTACTGTCAATTCTTTGAAATGTATTTGATCATTTTGACTTACTGTCAGCTGGGCCATTGGCACTTGCAAGAAAGTACTTGGAGGAGGGAAATGAACCTTTCTACGTCCTGAATAGTGATGTAATGTGCTCATTTCCTTTTGCCCAAATGGAAAAGTTTCACAAGAATCATGGCAAAGAAGGGACCATAATGGTACATGGAATACTTTTAGTTATGACAATAAATTTCTTGGGGTTTAAATTGTTGATATTTTAGGTCACAAAAGTGGAAGAACCATCTAAATATGGTGTTGTGGTTTACGATCCGAACTGTGGAAAAATATCGAAATTTGTTGAGAAACCACAGGTTTTTGTGGGCAATCGTATCAATGCAGGCATTTACATGTTCAATCCTAGTATATTGAATAGAATTACGGTGAGATGTTAGAATATTATTGCTTATCATATACAGTTTGTCCATTTTTATGAAAAGGATAAAAACCCTTTCTGTAACATAGCTGTATGTTAGGTTAGTATTGGACTTGCTAAGTTAATGTCTATTTCTTCATATCAGCTTAAACCAACGTCAATTGAGAAAGAAATATTTCCAGCTATGGCCTCCGAAAGCTCTCTTTACGCCATGGATTTGGAAGGTTTGTCTGAAATGACAATATATAATCGTTTTGCCTGTGAATAACTGAATATTGTTATTATAAAAGTGCGCTTGATATGAAACTGAACAAGAACTGTTTACGCTAAAGATTATGTGTAAACAATAACACATATATTATAAAGGGATAAAAGTATAGCTATGGATAGCAAATAATAATGGTCTTTTAAGTAACTTATACAGTGGAATCTCAACCTACGACGCCTCTCAGAAGCTTACGTTACTTCTGCGTCTTTGCCATACACAAATACATTATGCTAAGGGCTCCGCTTTGGGCAGTTTCGTCTGTACTTCGTTGTCGGAAGCGGGAATCTATTTTTCATCCTTTGACATTTTGTTTTACATTGCTAAGGATTCTGGATGGACGTTGGCCAACCGAAAGATTTCCTCACTGGAATGTGCATGTATCTTCAACATTTGAAAGAGAAATCTTCAGAAAGTCTGTACAAAGGCCCCGGAGTGATAGGAAATGTTTTAGTGGTGAGTGGACAACGGTTCTTTCGTAACCTTCGCGCTTCGTTGTCATTTTTTGTTGAAGTATATTTAGCATTTAAAATAAGCGACAAATTTTTACGATAAACATGTTTCGACTTACATTAAGTCATCTTCAGTATGAGAATGAGTTAAGTATTTACAATGCGGAATTTATAATAGGATACAATGTAAAATAAATAATTTGAAGTATATTTACAAATTATGTATTCGAGAAGAACTCAAACACTATGAAGAAATGTATACGTAGAAAGATAAGGCTCTCAGTTACCGCAACCCATGAAGTTGTTCAGATTTCTCATTCTTCGTGTCAATTTACAGACTTTGGGATCGATGCTATAGAGATTGTCGATTAACCTTTTATTGGACACTTTTGCTCACGAGAAACAAAAACGAAACCAAATAAAAATAAATTTACAAAAACGTTCGTCTCCTTGAAGATTAAATTAAGGCGAGTGTACGGCCAAATTAAAACCAACCTCATTTGCAAGTGCGTGTGTTCTTTTTAGGACCCTTCTTCTCAGATTGGTAAGAACTGTCGTATTGGTCCGAATGTTGTGATTGGTCCAGACGTTAATGTAGAGGATGGTAAGAAAACACTGACTATTCATCGAAATTTTATGAGAATTTCACTTTGGCTAGTAGTAACTTTTCAAATTTCTTTTTCATCTTTGATTTCTATAGTTGATTTTTAGAAGTTTTTTTTTTATCGAGATTTTAAATGAAAGTCAGCTTGTTTTATGTTCTTCGATTGCTATTTATCGTAGTTATTTAATGAAATCTGTTGTCGTTATAGGAGTGTGTTTGACAAGATGCGTTTTATTGAAAAACTCCACGATAAAATCTCATTCCTGGGTCAGTTCGTCCATAATCGGATGGAGATCGGTCGTCGGCCATTGGGTAAGTGTATGATAAGGGAAGGCTGGTGTGAAAGGGGAGTATGAAGCTACACCTAAACTACACCTCTTCTTTCGGAAAATAATACGCGCTGTGCGTTTTTAAAACACCCCACTTGCAATTAGGTATATGGTTACAGAATAATTTAATTACAAACATCTGTTATGCCCTACAAGGAGAACATAGAACGGTACTATGAGAAATCGTAAAATGTGCCTTTGTCAAAAGGCGTTTTTTCTATTTGAAACGACGTTTTAATTGGTAAAGAATGAAAGAGATTATTTCGTTAAGTTGATCAGATTAACGTTCACATTTGTGTACTTAAGGATCGGACTGTTTTGACTCACACAAACACACGCCTTTGAACACACCTTCATTTGATGAGAAATCAAAGCAACGTGTTGCATCAGATAAACACATCTCCAGCTTGTTTTCTCTAATTTTTACGTCGTTTTGTACATAAACACACTTACGAAACAAAAAATTATTTACATTATTGACATGTTTCCATTATATTCAAATCAATAGCTGTTAAAATCATGAAGACATAATGTTTAAATTAAAAGACACTAAGTCTATCCACCTGTTTTTTCATCATAATCTGATCGTATCTTTCATCAAGTTGTCCCTCATCTTTTCAAAGGATGCTACGATCGCTTTGCATCCCACTGAGAAGTGAGAAATTCTAGTCCATGTACACACCATACACAGTACCAACAGCTAGTATACTGGAGTTTTCATACGCTGCCGTTGCAAAGTTGTCTTTTTCTCCATCCCAAACACAACGACTCACAACGTGCAATCCTTGATTTCTCAATTCACCGATTGTAACAAAGCACACAATCTTGTATCTCTTGTATTTCTGCTGTTTTACGCGTTCTTCAATAAGTCGCGACAAGTTTTTACAAAGTTCACGACATCGTCCAGATTCATAGATCGTATCACCAAGAGTCGATAAGGTCTGCTCAATGATAGTTTTCACTGTGGACACTTCGAAGCGTCGATCAGGCTCAGTTTTGTAGGTGTTTTGATAAATACGCTTTGGTTTCCCCATTGAATGGACTGGATGCCTTCCCGAAGATATGGACATATCTACGCTAGGTGCTGGATCATCACAGTACGATAGGCTCATGGCTGTAGACCTAGATCTCTGCCTTTGTTTCAATTCCATCAATGTTTTCGAGTCGAAAAGTGAAATACTAGGTCGCGTTTTTGCTGTCATTTTTGTCGAAGTTAGAGTCTGTGAAAAGCTATTTGCCATGTACAAGCGCAGTGACGTTTTTTAAACGACCTTTCTCATTGAACTGTTGTTTGTTTTTGACTTTTGAGGGAACTGTAACGTGAAACTCACGTGGGAATGAATTTCCGATTGAGTATCGATTTCCGATTTGTACATTGATGTTGAAAATATATATATAGATGTACATTGATGTTGACTTTTATAGAAAATGTGCTGAGCAAGTGTGTGAACTGGAAAGGCTGTCCTTATGCTTAAAAAGAGTTTACTTCGTGTGTTGCAGGAATAGATTATTTGACAATTATAATCTATTCAATGCGTTTTCCAGCTGCATAGTTTCGTGGGACAAATGTATTCTGCGTTGTTGAAAACAAGCAGAAAATTCATGTTAGAACAATGAGTTAGACTCATTGGCACCTGCAATTTTTTGTCCTGTATTGTATATTTCAGAGCATTATCGTTATATATTTAGAAATTTTATCTATATTTTCTAAATGAATGAACGGAGCAAAATTTGCAGAGCAGGATTTGATTTGCGGCTTTGTCGTTGTCAGGTATTTCATATAAATCTCGTTCTTTTAGGTTCGTATGGAAGGCGTGTCTGTGTTAGGAGAAGATGTCATTGTGAAAGATGAAGTCTACATCAATGGTGGACGTATACTTCCCCATAAGTCCATAGGAGAATCTTGTCCTGAACCCAAGATCATAATGTAGCGTTCATTGTCCGGAATGAACTGAAACATATCTTCGATATGGTATAATATTGCACAATGACATTCTTGTTCTTCATGAGTTTAGTAATACTCCGTTCACACAGTCAGATTATCCATTGAATTTATGTCGATAAATTTCTGTGTTTTGAAGGATTTGCGGGCGATTTTTCTTGTTAGACATGATAACTGTCACTGTAAATCCTTCAAAACTGCAAATTGACCAAGCGTAAAATTGACTCTCAAACGATCGCTTTGAACTGAACAATTGAAAATTGGCGTTTCACATTATTATGCTCTCGAGTTTCATTTGAAATACCTAAATTGTACGCTTGTTAAAATTATTTTAAAATTTATTGCAACAAATGTAAATTATTGCAACGAAAAAGCTAATTGCAATTTAATATTTGGACTGAAAAATTCTTATATCGTTTTATGTGTTGATTTCCAACCAAATAAACCATAATTTATATTAAATTTGATGTAATACGTTTTTGAAATTATGTTTGTGAAATCCCCTTACTATTTCGAAACTTGGAAATTATGTCATCATACGTCATTTACTAAAAAGCAATGCCGGGGAATTCCGGAAATCCGGCGGATAAAATAGAAGCTTCGGTGTCGTTTGACTAGTGCTGTTGTGTGGAGTCGAAAACGAAACCTCTGGTTAACGGTGTTGAATTTGTATTTTTTTTCCTCTTGAATATCTGGTGAGTGTTTGAAATGCTTGTATATTGTTACATTATGTGTAGCAGAACATGCAATTTCTTTTCAGAGTATATTGAACAGGAAAATATGAAAAATGTGTTACTGCATTATTCGAGCAATGACGAACGAAATACTTTTTACCTTATTTTGTCTGAATGAATGACTCGGTTTTCCTACTTTTGAGATGAGTTTGAGTCATTTCTACAATTGCCACTCATGAATAAAGGGTTTGCAATTTTCATAATAAATTCGGCTTCGTAGTTTCATTTTCGGGCGTCTAATGACGTCACTGCAATTTTTCGTGTACATCAAATGATTTTGCTTAAAAACTTTGATTTTTAAGAAGTGAGGATGCAACGAACGGTGCTTAAATAAAATTTTATAGTCTTTGTAAGCGTTTTGAAAATGTTATTGGCTTTCTTTCAAGTATCAACTAATTATGTCTGACATGGAAGATGCGGAATTTCTTGAATGCCCAGAAGATACGACAGTTATCACTGAGGAGAAAGATACCAGTGTTGAAGTCATTGGCTATGAGGTTAAGAATGGTGACAGAGAGGATATAGTGCAGGTAGGACTTTCATGTACAATTTATGATGTAAGAAGTCAATACTTATGTATTGTTTATTCATTTGGAGCTCACCATGGCTTCTTTGAAGTATTCATAGCTAAAAATTTTTATGATGAAATATTTTTATGTGTGATTTCAAATCATTTGTAGACTATCAAAGCTTTAAAAAATGTGAAAAGTGCCATAAAGTATCAAGATGAGCAATCTTTGCAAGATGCATTGGACAAAATCAAGGAACGGCCATATATAGGTGTGTAAGTTTATTGTATCAGAAGGTATTCTCCACAGCAGTGCTAATCATTTGGTATCCCTTCCATAGGACTTATTCTTTTAACATGCATCAAGAAATTTATTTTTCTGTTTTATTTAAATCAGATGCCGAGTTCCAAGAGCAAATTACAATGCTAAAAAGTATTTCTGAATCTGAAGAGTATGCTGATTTTCGTGAAGTGGTGAATGATGCAATTAGTATGTTAATTTATTTTCATTTTACGTTTAAAGTTTTTTGGTTCAAAGATGTATTTTCTAGTTACCATGTTGTCACAACATTACATGAAGTATGTAGTATTAATTAGTAAACTTGTGTCATGGTTATAAGAATAGCTGATTTCTCAAAATATACATTAAATACAAGATGTTCTTGAAGTCTTTGGCACATATTCAGTTGAATTACATGTTGAATCAACTGTAAATGTTATTGTTTGTATATTTAAGTCATCATTCACAATTAAAAGATAGATTTGTTTTTGCTACAGCTCAACTGAATGATGCACAAGAAACATCAAAAGGAAAGAAGACATCGCTCAGTCGCTCAATCGAAATTTTGAAAGAAGTCTTGCCAATTTTTACCGAGGCTTGTTCTAGTTATGTGGAGAAGGTGGAACCATCCCCTCAAATCAACCTGATCTTGAGAGAACTTGATGGTCTTCGCATCAAGCTAAAGGAATGCGAAAAGGTAGAGGTTGGTGATGTTGAGGCAGCCAAGAAGTATGAAAAAAAAGGAGAGGTGCTGCTTGGTAAGAAGATTTTGATGCAAAGTTACAATTTTAGAATTTTTGTTACAGAGAAATTTTGTTTCATCTTTTTCTTATCTGTTTTTTGTAGAGGATGCTGTGAAACACGGACTCGAAGATGTGAAAAGAATTGAGAAAAAAATCAAACAAGAAAAAGATGCCGATATGTTGAAATATTTTCAAGAAACCAGGAAAGAAACCAATAGCAGAATGGATTTTCTTACAAACGATTTTGATAATATGAAAAACAATTGCGCCGAAGATATTCAACTGACAGGTATTAAAGAGAACTTTGCTTTTGTTGACATGCAGAGGTGTGCCAACTTGGCTCTCAAGATTTGGAGGGGAGGGGGGACTTAATTTTCCAGGCAAATGATGGCAGCCTTTAATTTGCCCTATATAAAAAGATTGCAGAATTTAACTGCAAAACAAAAAGGTGTGGTGTAATTTTTTTAGTTGTAACTGGTGAAATTGCTGTCTTTTGAAATTGCTGAAATTTCAAAAGTTTTTTTATGAAATTAATGATGCTATATTTTCGTAAAATTCAAAGGTCATAGCTTAAACCCTTTCTTGAACGATGAGTTAAGTTTTGTCTTACAAAACTCCCAAGGTTTTAAACTTTAGGTTTTCGGGAGACCTACGTCTCTGTTTTAATATTTATTGACGAGGACTGATTTCTGGGAACTGATTTACAAGTAACTGATTTTAGAAAATGCACTTTGCGTGGAGGCTGAGTGTACATTGATAGCTCGCAGGAAGTTTGAGGAAAAAGATAAAGAACTCGATGAGCTAATTTTGGCCGACAAAAAAGAAGAAGAGCGATTGCGTGAAAAGCTTCAAAAACTTATCAAGAAACGAGAAGAGTTAGAGGAAGACAGAGAAGTAAGAAAAGCTGTTCAACAAAAAGCAGAAGAGGTGGGCAAAACTAAAATATGAAGTTCCTTTTATTAATGTTGTATTTATTAACTGGAGACTGCATTCACTCATATCTTGGGATTTTAAAGGTGCACGCTGGGGCAGAGAAAGAGTTGAATGAACTCCTTTCTAAGTTAAACGAACTTTTGCCGAAAGTAAACACGGCCAGTGTCGTTCTTAAACAGACCAAAGGTAACGGTGTGAAGTTTATTTTATCTCAGTATTTACGTTTTTTTTTAATTTTCTGTTTGCTTTTCTTACTTCATCAAGACGTTTGCAATATGCTTTTCGACAAAGCTGTTGAAAGCAAGAATATACAAAATCGTAATTTGGACCTCGTCTTGCTGCAGACGATGGAAAATCGTCACATTGCGTTGATTGCACAAGGAGTTAACTTCCTCAGTATACAAGAAAGGGAAAAAGAAACTGTGGAAATGATCAAAGAAAAGGTACATAAAAAAGAAATATGAGTTTGTCCGGGGGGGAGGGTTGTGAAAACATACCTTTGATAAAAATGCTTTTCCGGCACATTTGCTTCATTCAGTCTCAGGTTCCTGGCTTATTGGCCACTTAATGTATTGGTTTAATGTATTACGAAAATTTTATTTCCTACGTACTACAGAACAGGCGTTTTGGTGACATTACCTTTCATTGGTTATAACTAATGAATGTTTGTTTACAGTTGAAGAAGAAGAAAGGAAAACTGAACGAGGCTGTCAAACATCACTGGGCTAGCGAAGCGAAGAAATTACGTGAAAAAATTGATAGACTCTCAAAAGACATGGAACTGAGCAAGAAAAACGAACAGAAAGTTGCAGAAAAGTTAGATGTTTTGACAGAAAAAATCTCTGAAGTGGAAATGAAACTGGACGAATCTTGTGTAAAATATGTTACTTTGAAACAGAGATGTGAGTTTATATATATTTACGTATGTATTTATACAAACACCTTACAAAAAGCAAGTTGCCCGACGAATATTTTTATAGATTTTAAGTAAACGAATCCTAGATAATTTAGCTCAACGCCAGTTAGACTTAAAGTAAATTGCTCACTGCCATGTGAAGAATGAGGTCACTCGGGCCATGAAAAAAGACGTATCGTCTCTTGAACTCAAAAAAACCAATTTAAAAACTAGCATTGAAAAGTAGCGTGTTTAGTTTCACTGACTATCCAGCAACATTGTTTGTTGGTAAACGTCGTTTTGTAAAGCAGTTTAAAGAATGCCCACCTGGCTACATTGTATCAACACGGGACAATCGCAACCGTCATTTTAGAGGCTGACTGGGATTCATTCATTTAACATTTATATTTATAATTGTTCATCTATGGGGAAACTTTCTTTTTTTTTGTACTTATATGTAAGTAGACGTTGGTAATGTTGAAATTGTTAGAAAGCTTGTAAGAAAAAGGGGAGATCTGATGTTTGGCAAAAGGAGTTTGTTGTTTGAAAAGTCGTATTTCATTTTTGAGCTGAAAAAAATTAACTAAATTTTATTCAGATTCCTCAGTTTTCCATCCATAGAAATAATACATAGGTTTGTTGTATATACTTCAGTGAAGGAACTTTTGGACATTGGTCAACTTTTCCATATTTTGGCATCAATTTTACCGTACTCAAAGTGAAATTTTTTTTCATTTCAGATGAGGAATACAAACAAAGTAATGATGAGGATGGAGGCTTCTCCCTCACTTCTATGTCTTCATTTTGAAAGTATGAAAAAGTAAGACCATAATAATCAAGTTCACTGTTATTATTCACGCACGTGATGAAGAAACAGTATATAGTCTCCTAATAAATGACTTCATCAGTTGTTTGAAAGTTTATAGAACTGTATAAAAGCATATTATGTTAGATCCTGGCGTTATTTTATTGTTTTGTGATTAGGAATTGTTCAATACATCCGTAAACGTTTGTAATCATTTTGTGCTGTAGTGAAAAATTTGCCAATTACCATCAGTATTCAAATTTTGGTCTGTATGATGTACGACCTTAATTGTGATTTGCTCATATTCAAATTTCTTGAAAGTGTTTGGTCCTTTAGGAAATTTTTTCAGTTTATTTCAAGCTTTCCACCAATGTATTTGTGTTTCTTGACACAAGTTCTATTTCTGTGCGTGCAAAATCAATTCAATAAACACAACAAGCATCAAATAGTGGTAATATATGTAATTTTGTGTAGGCGTCTATGACGGGTGATCACCGCCAAAATTAGAACATGACATTCGGCAATGCGTACATGACATTCGGCAATGCGTACATGACATTTGGCAATGCGTACATGACATTCGGCAATGCGTACATGACATTCGGCAATGCGAACATGACATTCGGCAATGCGAACATGAGCCATATGAACACACGGTGATTATGTACAGCAGATATGCGTAACATGAGTAATGCGCACACAAAGTTCTTTGTGTCAGCTGTAATGGAGAAAGAACGATATAATACTTCATGTCCTGATTAAGAATAAAAATAAGTTGACAGTAAAATTGGAAACTTGGCTTCAAACACTATTGTAATACTTATTTTGTAAGTTTTTCCGGTTGTATTGATATCATGCTGTCGCCATGAGATTGTCGTATTATAACTTGTAGAAAACGTTGGTTGGATTTTGGCTCTTTCTTTGCTTTTTCTTAAAATAGTGTCATTTAATTGCTCTAATTTTGTTAAATTTGACCTTTTTGAAAATTGATTTGGCTATGGACATGCGCAATGCCTGCCCACCCGGATGAATATATTAATACAAATAGTTAGAATTAAAAACTCGAAAGCAGTTTTATGAAAAAGGTAAGTTTGTATTTGTTAAATTAACATTTAAAAATAATACAAGCGATTAATACCTTATTTATGTAATGTTTCATCTTTTACAGTGTTTCGTTCGAACTAAAATTTTATGTTTCTATTGAACAGGAAGATACTAGAAAGATAGTCATTAATCATTTACAACAGTCTGAAAAAAATTGAGCACATCTTAGGAAAAAATTCTGAGGAGCCCCCGACTATGATTGCTTATCGTTTAGAGTTGATCATCTTCAACATGTTTTACTTTGTTCTGATACAATAAGTATACCTGCTCAAGTTCATCAGTTGTTAAGCATGGTTTTTGAAATACTGAAATCATTTGAAGATGGTGAGAATGGTGAATATGTTGCACCAACTGTGAAAACTGGTGGGCGTGGACGCCCAGCATACTATATCACAAAGGATCACCTTCATTTTTTGGTCTCATCGGGGTTCAATGTACCACAAATTGCGTCATTATTAAATGTTGGAAAACGAACTATAGAAAGAAAGCTTCACGAGTTCAACATTTCTTTGAACACTACATTTTCATTCATAAGTAATGATGATTTAGACGCTGTTGTTAGAGATATTGTCAATGAATTTCCAAATTTCCAGATTGACAAAACATGGAAAATGAGAAAAATGAAAACAGCCAGTGCTGTTGCTAGAACGTTGGGGGTGTTTATTGATATATTCACTTGTGCTTGACTAATTTCCTATGAAAAAAGAGCAGTGCTGTTGCTAGAACGTTGGGGGATGTTCATTCATATATTCACTTGTGCTTGACTAATTCCTATGAAAAAAGAGCAGTGCTGTTGCTAGAACGTTGGGGATGTTTATTCATATATTCACTTGTGCTTGACTAATTTCCTTTGAAAAAAGAGCAGTGCTGTTGTTAGAACGTTGGGGGTGTTCATTCATATATTCACTTGTGCTTGACTAATTTCCTATGAAAAAGAGCAGTGCTGTTGCTAGAACGTTGGGGATGTTCATTCATATATTCACTTGTGCTTGACTAATTCCTATGAAAAAGAGCAGTGCTTTTGCTAGAACGTTGGGGGATGTTTATTCATATATTCACTTGTGCTTGACTAATTTCCTAAGAAAAAAGAGCAGTGCTGTTGCTAGAACGTTGGGGGTGTTTATTCATATATTCACTTGTGCTTGACTAATTTCCTATGAAAAAAGAGCAGTGCTTTTGCTAGAACGTTGGGGGATGTTTATTCATATATTCACTTGTGCTTGACTAATTTCCTATGAAAAAAGAGCAGTGCTGTTGTTAGAACGTTGGGGGTGTTCATTCATATATTCACTTGTGCTTGACTAATTTCCTATGAAAAAGAGCAGTGCTGTTGCTAGAACGTTGGGGTGTTCATTCATATATTCACTTGTGCTTGACTAATTTCCTATGAAAAAAGAGCAGTTCTGTTGCTAGAACGTTGGGGGGGGGATGTTCATTCATATATTCACTTGTGCTTGACTAATTCCTATGAAAAAGAGCAGTGCTTTGCTAGAACGTTGGGGGATGTTTATTCATATATTCACTTGTGCTTGACTAATTTCTTAAGAAAAAAGAGCAGTGCTGTTGCTAGAACGTTGGGGGTGTTTATTCATATATTCACTTGTGCTTGACTAATTTCCTATGAAAAAAGAGCAGTGCTTTCGCTAGAACGTTGGGGGGGATGTTCATTCATATATTCACTTGTGCTTGACTAATTCCTATGAAAAAAGAGCAGTGCTGTTGGTAGAACGTAGGGGGGATGTTTATTCATATATTCACATGTGCTTGACTAATTCCTATGAAAAAAGAGCAGTGCTGTTGCTAGAACGTTGGGGGATGTTCATTCATATATTCACTTGTGCTTGACTAATTCCTATGAAAAAAGAGCAGTGCTTTTGCTAGAACGTTGGAGGGGAGATGTTTATTCATATATTCACTTGTGCTTGACTAATTTCCTAAGAAAAAAGAGCAGTGCTGTTGCTAGAACGTTGGGGGGGTGTTTATTCACATATTCACTTGTGCTTGACTAATTTCCTATGAAAAAAGAGCAGTGCTTTCGCTAGAACGTTGGGGGTGTTCATTCATATATTCACTTGTGCTTGACTAATTTCCTATGAAAAAAGAGCAGTGCTGTTGCTAGAACGTTGGGGGATGTTCATTCATATATTCACTTGTGCTTGACTAATTCCTATAAAAAAGAGCAGTGCTGTTGCTAGAACGTAGGGGGTTATTCATATATTCACATGTGCTTGACTAATTTCCTATGAAAAAAGAGCAGTGCTGTTGCTAGAACGTTGGGGGGGTGTTCATTCATATATTCACTTGTGCTTGACTAATTTCCTATGAAAAAGAGCAGTGCTGTTGCTAGAACGTAGGGGGGGATGTTTATTCATATATTCACATGTGCTTGACTAATTCCTATGAAAAAAGAGCAGTGCTGTTGCTAGAACGTGGGGGTTATTCATATATTCACTTGTGCTTGACTAATTTCCTATGAAAAAAGAGCAGTGCTGCCTGAAGAACAATTTGAGGTGGAACAAACGCAGGGATTTAGTTACGAAGCTTAGTTTTATTTAATCCTCATCCTTGCTTTATCTGTTCAGATCTTCAATATTTATATCAAGAGAACTGCTGAAATATTTGGTGTTACACATACGAGAGAGATTTATGAAAAAGCCATTGAGGTTCTTGGTGATGACCAGGCTCGGTAAGAAACAGTTTTGTATGGGAACTTGTGTATATATTTGGCATACAATTGTGAGATGGTCTTTCGTCTAAATGACAGAGAAATGTGCACTCGCTTCGCTGAACTCGAACGTAAACTTGGAGAAGTAGATCGCGCGCGTGTTCTGTACATGCATGCTTCACAAATGGCCGATCCAAGGGTAATTATTCAAGACATATATAACTTTGAGCGTCGTGGCAAAATAAACCCGCAATTTGCTTTATTTTAGACGACAGCATCCTTTTTGAAGACTTGGCATGACTTTGAGGTTCATCATGGTAACGAAGACATCTTTCGTGAGATGCTACGCATTAAAAGGAGCGTACAGGCCATGTATAATACGCAGGTGTTGATGAAATGGCATGTGCAATTACACACTTGTTTTTGTAAGATATTTTATTTGATAATTATACGGACATGCATGTATGCGTTCACCTAATCTTTCTCATTTTTTCACATGTAAGTTAACTTCATGTCCGCTCAAATGCTTGCTGCATCTCAAGCAATGTCTGATGAGTTATACGACTATGCGAGGAAAACTTAAGTGTATTGAATCTACTCACATCACACTTCTTTCCCTTTTCACCACAGCCGCTAAATATTTTTTGTTGACAAATGTAGATGTACTTATTTACTTATACAGATGCAGCGACTGGTGTGTCTGCGGACGACATGGAGAATTTGGAAAAACAAGCTCGAGCAATGGCTGAACAAGCGAAAAAGAATCAAGTGAAGCCGAAACGTGATGTTCTTTTTGTCAAGTAATTAATGGATCGCGGCTTATTGCTTTAGCAAGTACTTTTGTCTCATGGATTAACCTATGCTGCTTTTAATTGACACCCCCTGGGTGATTTAGTTAAAATTCACTGTACTGAGTCTTATTTGTGTTAATTTAATTTGTGTTAAAGGCGAAGCAACTGATGAGGACAATTTAGAAGCAAGAATAGCGAATCCTGAAGAGATCTCAATTGATGAAGACGATGAAGACGAAGATGCAAAGATTGAAGGTGAATTTGTGACAGCTCACGCTCTTTTATGTCATTATGATCAGATCGAAATAACAGAAAGCGCGGAAATATGAAACTTGACATCAGAAGAAATTTTAAAAGTGTATTTTTGTACAATCATCTCTTATGTAGAAGTTCAACTTGAACAACAAATGGTGCCTTCAAAGGTATAAGTATGACTTTGTATATTCAACCTCATAGCTATTTTCATAAATCACTATAATTTATTGTGCAAATCATGATCTTTAATCCTCTTCATGTTATCGTACTATTTCAGGTTTTTGGAAGCCTTATAAAAGACGACTAGATTTCGTTGATGGATAATAAGTTGTACAGTCATGAAACATTCTTGCTTTGGTTGCGTCTTTGGAGCTTAACTTCATCGTTGTTTGAAAAGTTTGTTTTTCGTCATGTATCACTTTTTGAAGGAGGAAACTTCAGCACAGTGAAGACATTCAAATGAGTCAGAATGCTTTTGTATGATTTTGCATTTACATAAACCCTCGACATTCGCTTCCGTATTGGTGGATATCCAATAACAGATAAGGTACTTTTGGACCAATCAAGGTATAGTGCCAGTCTACCAAATTTTTCTCGCGCCAAGCAATAAATATGTTGTGACGCAGAATATGAAATTATATTATTCTGTATTACCATTCGAGTTACAAGGTGATGAGACCAATTCATTTAAAAATGAACAGCTTTAGAGTTTATTACAATGAAAGCACTTCATTTGAATCAATTCTGTTTACAAATTTTGCAAGATTAAATCAAGAAAATGTGATAACAAAAGTAAGATGTAATGAATACATTTGATTCCAAACGGCAGTTTCAAACTTATTGTATGTGATTATGTTGTTAATTCCATATAACTTGTGTGAGCAAAGTTACAGAATCTTCCTTCGTTGTGTTAATTTCACCCAAGTTTAACACTAGCCACATTAAATGTTTTGTAGTCATCACATTCTCTTTCATATTTTAGACTGATTAATTGGCATCTATATTAGGAAAGGGAGTGTTCTTATAACTCTTAGCACATAAAAATTATAATATAGTGCAGGTTTAGCCAACATAATAATTATTAGCTGAATTAGGATATGTAATTTTATCTTAGCTTACTTTTCAGTAACATAAGTTGTGTTATTTTATCTTACCAACTTAACAAATATAAATGAATGAATGAATGAGTCACGTCTCCTTTGAAATAATATTTCTGCATTACACACTCAACAGGATCATTGTAAAACGTTTTCTATAAATGGCAATCGTTACAAGTGACATGGTTTTAGTAATCACATTGACACTAGCACAACTTTTATCATATTTTTGCTTAAAAATACGATTGAGGGCACGCTTAGTTTGCTTTTGAGAATTTAAAGTACAAAGAAAAAGTTATTTTTACGACTGCGTAAAGCGACTGCCTAGTGTGTTTCAGCCCTAAGAGGTTAATTGTGTGTAATTACGTGGGAGTTAATGACGACAAGTGTGAATCTGCTATCGTACCAACAGACGCAAAGCTGAAAACGATTTATATTAAAATCGGCTTTTTCAAACTGCGGTGAATAAATCAGACCTAAAAATATGTAAACATTGCATTATATTGTTGACTTAGACACAAACTTTTGAAGTTGAAAGTGTGTTAGATATCGTTGGAAGAATGGTGAAAATGGATTAGTTGTTATAGAAATATTTGTGTTAAAACAAGATACATAGTTTTTGTAACAACAGTTTTTGCCATTGGTGATGCTTAGTGACTGAATTACAATAGTACACGTTCACAAGTATTTGTAATTGTAGTGAACCCTTCTGAACCTTCGTCGCCAGTTGAATGACAAAATTAAGGTGTGAAAAGACATTTAAGTGTTGAAAGGTTTGCGTCGACTTGTTGTATGATTTAATGATTGAGGACTTGATTCTAGAAAGTTGCTGCGAGTTGCTGTTGCTTAATGTAAGCATGACGATAGTATGGATATAGTTGTGGGTTTCATGTTTTCTTCTGCAATATTCACTGATTGTGCTTTAGTTTTAATTGGTATGTAGAGCGAAAATTGAGTTTTCTTAAAACTAAATATTAATTTTGAGAAATAGAATAGAAAGCATCGTGTTAGGTTTCCTTGACAGACCAGGAATTAATGAACCAGTTTACTGATTTCGCTACTTAAAATTATTTGATTGAGTTTGAAGACAATCGCCAATATTAAATGCATTTAAAAATACAGTGCATGACAAAAGAAAAAACGATTATTCCCGACCATGTCTTATCTTGCTTTGCTCTTTTTATTAAAATTTTCACTTTTGCAATAAAGAGGTTATAGTGAAATTCCCACATGAGCTGATGCACAATAAATGAGATATATGATTCTTATTTTGCAACTAATCTTTTGAGATTTACTAAATAATAGAATTTACCCACGCCAGCATTGATAGAATATTCTTTGGTATCAGACCCCCAGTATGTCTGACGTGAATAACATCAATTCCTACCAACTTTGTTTATCAGCCTTGTATTTGCTTGTTTTGTCTCCATTTGATATTGAAAACATGCCATTCGATAATTACAAGCCTGATATTTTCAAACTGAAAGAATACCGTTATATAGACATAGTAGTTCACACACAATAGCGTGTTGAAGTTCGATTATCTATTTGTAATAACTTTATACTTCATTTACAAATTTGCATTATGAATAATTGCTGGCATGGTGCTATATACCTTTAAGCGAATACCTTTAGGCTATAGAAAATGCTTTGAGTGGATAACTTTATGCCTGAATTTAGAAAATAAAGATATATGTGTATGATTTATGCAGAAATAATAAAAAAACGATTTTGGTAAAGCAGGAAAAAAATTCATTGATAGAGTTGCAATGACCTAGATTATCACATTTAACATGTATTGATGGCGTTAGTATGTGGGTCTTGAATTGTATCATTTATTTGTGATCCAGTACTTGAATTTACCATGAGTTTCTATGGTAGTTAATCCGTGTAAATGGCTTTACTGACCATTTAATTTATGTAGTTAAAAATCGTAATATGGAGTTGCAGTTGCTTGCGTACAAAAATGACAAAGCTAAAGAGCTTGGAACGCACAGGGTTAAAATATGGCAGATGTTCTTCAATTATGATTTAGGAAATTTGACCTAATTAAACCCCTATTTTTGATATCTTCCTGTAGACGTACGTGTACAACAAATGAATTATTGCATACGAAAGCTATAAGTAGAAACAAAAAGTTTTTAACAGAAGGAAAAAGACGTTATTGTTTGGGAAACGTGATAGAATTGTCGTCAATGAAATGTGTATTGAGCGGTAAAGATTGGGTTTTTGTTTGTGTGCATGATTTATCTAGAAATGTTTCAAGCTGTGACTTTTGTTGCCCGCATAACTGCTTCACGTTTCTTTCAAAATACATATGTAATATTCTCTCGTGGCAGCTCTCTATAAAAAGAGGCCAAAAGCTGTCTTCAATCATCATTCATCATCCTGCTGTTGGAACCAGAAGAAAACAAGAAAAAGTTAATATGAAAATAACCTATCTTGTCATTGCTCTTGGATTGCTTTGCACTTTTGCTTACGCTCAAGCGAAACATGAAGATGGGGTTATGAAAGGTAATGATGCAAAGCTCATATATTAAATACTTTATCTATCATCAACCATTTCTCTTGACCAGCTTTTGTACATGATTAAAGAAAGAATGATGGTTTCTTTATTTAGAATACGATGAAGAAACCGCCCCAGTGGAAACTGTCAAGGAAGAATTTGTAGAAAATGATGATGAAAATCCAGAAGAAGAAAGTGATGATGAAACTGACCCCGAACATGACTTAGAACAAAGTGATGATCGTGAACTCACAGAGAACAAGTAAGTTAACTTTATCTACTACGTTTACGTTCCTGACATCGAAATGCTTCGTTTTGTATGCTATAGTTGACCTTGACATTTAGTCTCTGCCATGAAAGTTGAGGAACGCGAACAGGGCCGTCCTTATAACGTTTATCAGGGGGAAGATGTAATCCTTTCAAACGACTGGCCATCGTACCAGTACCGAATACACTATAGAACAAAACCTCGACAATTTCAAGGTCTACTAAATGACGCCCCTCCGGTGTTTACTGTAACGCTGTTCGAACTGTTCATTTCTTGCTCTTATGTTATTCTCGATTTATATGAAAATGTTAGTCTCTTATTTACGCTTTATCCAAATCAACCGCAATGTTGATGTTTAGTCGTCAAAGATATTTTTCTGCCGACTAATATAATACTTTTACTGCATTTAAAAGTAAAGTTTTTGGGGTGTGTGACCCTTTCCTTACACGTACATTGTGTTTTGTAGTAGTGATGTGAAAGCTGATCCAAGTGTAGAAAAACGCTCGACTCTCTTTCGTTGTCGTCGTATTTGGCGTCCACGTCGTCGTATTTGGCGTCGCCGTCATCGTCGTTGGGGCATCGCTGTGTAGAAAAACGCTCGCATTTTTGGCGGCGTCGCCATTATTATTATAGACTTCGTCATATTATTTGGCATCGTCGTCGTAGTTTGACTCGCCGTCGTCATGTTTGGGGCTAATATGGCAAAAACCCGTAAGGATCCTGTGGAATGTGTAGCAATTAATAAGAAACATTCATTTGCTTCTAGACGTACTTTAAATTGGCATTGTTGTATGATTTGTCTGTAGAAAATAGATGTTTGCATTGATTATTGACTTTGTGTTTCTTCATCGTCTTTTTTTATTTATTTCAATAATAAGACGTTTGGTTGTTTCTCAACAATCCTACATAGAATTACAATGTCTTTGTGGTTGTGTCATATAAATAAAAAAGTTCACTCACATATCATATCATCTGTGTAGAAATAAGACGAGTAAGTGAGATTATCGTCAACATGTTTGTATAAAGAATTTTTTTATCACTACTATCAAAGATGTAATCCATTGCTCATTCAAGAAAATTTCTTAAAAAAGCTACACTGTAGTTGGCAAAAGCGTTCGGCGTTTTTGCCAGTTAAGGATTTGTTTTGACTATATGATATGTCGTTGGGTGTTTCCATGTAGAAGGCTTTGGCAAAATTAAATCAAAGCAATAAATAAAAAAGATATATAGTGCGTTCGTAGGAAGATATTTAAAGACTTTACCACGCTTTATACCACGCTAGATACTTTACAAAGATATCAAGTGCCTTTACATAAATCTGTAAATTTTCATCACATCCGTAAATTTTTCATTTCATTAAAAACATTCACTCGTGGAGAGAATATTTGCACAAAAACGAACAAGAATCATAAAGCTTGTCTCTTAGTTTTTAATATTTATCAATAAATTAATTGAAGATATGATCTTCGCACTTTGAGTGAGTTATTATACGTATAAGCTTTGATTTATTGCTTTTTATGTACTTTCAAAGTCATTTTTCATTTATCTTGTTAGAACTGGTATACACTTCGAAGTTTCTTTTGTTTTAGTTTCCATTTTTCAAGTCCTAGCGTATAAAATATCTAAAAAATTTTAATTGCATAGCACAGTTTTAGTTTTTAAAAAAGCATTTAAAAAAAATTAGCGCAACTCAAGAAATGCATCAAAACGTCAAACTTTTCTGAGAAAAAGTAATAATTTGTAGCTAAAACCTCTTATTACATTATTCATGTTGGACGAATCATGACTTTCTTTACTTCTTACGTTTTATTTGTATAGAAACTATAAAAAAGCTTTGGATGTAATGAAACAAGCAACTGCAAGGCCATCCAGCAGAACTAGCTTTTATGATGAGGTATGTATGGGACATTGTAGGATATCCGGCAATCTGAGGTGATGTATTTTTAAGCATGTCACACCAAGGGATATTTTTAAGGATTTTACACTGCGAGGCCACAAACCTCAAAAGGACCTGTGAAGCTTGAGTCACGTGACAGAGGGTCCGGAAATACCTTTCTACAGTGTAATTTTTAAAACTGCAATTTTGTAAATGCTACGTATTTTATGTGTTTGTAGAGCAATTATATAACGACATTAATCAACTTGTTATGAAATAAGCATTCTCACTTCAAGCGTACTATATATTATGCGCAATGAAGTATTTGAATTACTAGTATGCGTATATGTTAAAATATGCCTTGAATCACACTAGTTACTGCATTTCTTCTTTTGTTTAATTTAGACAGAATCTGTTCAAAAACGTCTCCATAAATCACTGAAGGTTTGGTCAATGTATGCTGATTTGGAGGAGAGTTTAAAGACATTTGAGGTAACCAGTGGATAGCCTTTATCAAACACGAACATCTATGTACATGCAATGATAGTTTAGGAACATTTTAGGTGACTGATGGATAGTTTTTGCCAAATGAGGATATCTATGTATATGCAATGATAGTTTAGGAACATTTGAGGTGAACAATGGATAGCCTTTATAAAACACAGACATCTAGTTATATGGATAATTTAGGAACATTTGAGGTGGCCAATGGATAGTTTTTGCCAAACACAGACATGTATATGGAACAATTATATCTTTATTTCTACAGTCGACCAAAGCCGTTTACGATCGCATTTTGGATTTAAAAATTGCCAACCCTCAGATTATCATTAACTTTGCGTTATTTTTGGAGGAACATCATTATTTTGAAGAATCCTTTAAGGTAATTCAATGGTTAAATACTAAAATTCGTGAACCATCTCACTAGGTTATAGTATTACTTTAGGTTTGTTTTGGTAAATGCATTTCCATGAAATTTTTATTATTGTCAGGTGTTCGAACGTGGCGTTGCATTGTTTAAATGGCCTAATGTTTTTGATGTTTGGAACACGTACTTGATGAAGTTTATCAAACGATATGTGAGCTTGTTGTTTTGTTGTTTATTTATTAAAAAATTACAACTTAGATTATTTCATTGCCACACAGTTAGTGTGTTGTGAAACCTTGGTAAATCTTAAAATGTTTTCTTTCAAATTTTGCACATCAAGGGTGGAACAAAACTTGAGCGTATTCGTGATTTATTCGAACAAGCTTTGGAAAAATGTCCAGCAAAGTTTGCTAAAGGTTCAACAGAAACATTTTCTTTAAGTTAATATTTTCATCATACAGCAACTTCGATTACCTCTACGTTGACAAACTCCCTTTCATCTTTCTTTAGCTTTTTATCTGATGTACGCACGTCTCGAAGAGGATCACGGTCTTGCCCGTCATGCAATGGCCATTTACGACAGAGCAACAAGAGCAGTGCTGCCTGAAGAACAATTTGAGGTGGAACAGACGCAGGGATTTAGTTACGAAGCTTAGTTTCATTTCATCTTCATTTTTATATCAAGAGAGCTGCTGAAATATTTGATGTTACACATACGAGAGAGATTTATGAAAAAGCCATTGAGTTTCTTGGTGATGACCAGGCTCGGTAGGAGACAGTTTTGTATGGGAACTTGTGTATATATTTGGCATACAATTGTGACATGGTCTTTTGTCTAAATGACAGAGAGATGTGCACTCGCTTTGCTGAACTTGAACGTAAACTTGGAGAAATAGATCGCGCACGTGTTCTGTACATGCATGCTTCACAAATGGCCGATCCAAGGGTAATTATTCAAGACATATATAACTTTGAGCGTCGTGGCAAAATAAACCTGCAATTTGCTTTTGAAGACTTGGCATGACTTTGAGGTTCATCATGGTAACGAAGACACTTTTCGTGAGATGCTACGCATTAAAAGGAGCGTACAGGCCATGTATAATACGCAGGTGTTGATGAAATGGCATGTGCAATTACACACTTGTTTTTTAAGCTATTTATTTGATAATTATACGGACATGCATATATGCGTTCACCTAATCTTTCTCATTTTTTCACATGTAAGTTAGCTTCATGTCCGCTCAAATGCTTGCTGCATCTCAAGCAATGTGTGGTGAGTTATACGACTATCCGAGGAAAATTGAATCTACTCACATCACACTTCTTTCCTCTTTCACCACAGCCGCTAAATATTTTTTGTTGACAAATGTAGATGTACTTATTTACTTATACAGATGCGGCGACTGGTATGTCTACGGACGACATAGAGAATTTGAAAAAACAAGCTCGAGCAATGGCTGAACAAGCGAAAAAGAATGAAGTGAAGCCGAAACGTGATGTTCTTTTTGTGAAGTAATTAATGGATCGCGGCTTATTGCTTTAGCAAGTACTTTTGTCTCATGGATTAACCTATGCTGCTTTTAATTGACATCCCCTGGGTGATTTAGTTAAAATTCACTGTACTGAGTCTTATTTGTGTTAATTTAATTTGTCTTAAAAGCGAAGCAACTGATGAGGACAATTTAGAAGCGTTGGCAGGAATAGCGAATCCTGAAGAGATGTCAATTGATGAAGACGATGAAGACGAAGATGCAAAGATTGAAGGTGAATTTGTGACAGCTCGCGCTCTTTTATGTCATTATGATCAGATCGAAATAACAGAAAGCGCGGAAATATGAAACTTGACATCAGAAGAAATTTTAAAAGTGTATTTTTGTACAATCATCTCTTATGTAGAAGTTCAACTTGAACAACAAATGGTGCCTTCAAAGGTATAAGTATGACTTTGTATATTCAACCTCATAGCTATTTTCATAAATCACTATAATTTATTGTGCAAATCATGATCTTTAATCCTCTTCATGTTATCGTACTATTTCAGGTTTTTGGAAGCCTTATAAAAGACGACTAGATTTCGTTGATGGATAATAAGTTGTACAGTCATGGAACATTCTTGATTTGGTTGCGTCTTTGGAGCTTAACTTCATCGTTATTTGAAAAGTTTGTTTTTTGTCATGTATCACTTTTTGAAGGAGACTTCACCACAGTCAAGACATTCAAATGAGTCAGAATGCTTTTGTATGATTTTGCATTTACATAAACCTCGACATTCGCTTCCGTATTTGTGGATATCCAATAACAGATAAGGTACTTTTGGACCAATCAAGGTATAGTGCCAGTCTACCAAATTTTTCTCGCGCCAAGCAATAAATATGTTGTGACGCAGAATTTGAAATTATATTATTCTGTATTACCATTCGAGTTACAAGGTGATGAGACCAATTAATTAAAAAATGAACAGCTTTAGAGTTTATTACAATGAAAGCACTTCATTTGAATCAATTCTGTTTACAAATTTTGCAAGATTAAATCCCAAAAATGTGATAACAAAAGTAAGATGTAATGAATACATTTGATTCCAAACGGTAGTTTCAAACTTATTGTACGTTGTTATGTCGTTAATTCCACATAATTTGTGTGAACAAAGTTACAGAATCTTTCTTCGTTTTGTTAATTTCACCCAAGTTTAACACTAGCCACATTAAATGTTTTGTAGTCATCACATTCTCTTTCATATTTTAGACTGATTAATTGGCATCTATATTAGCAAAGCGAGTGTTCTTATAACTCTTAGCACATAATAATTATAATATAGTGCAGGTTTTCTCAACATAATAAATATTAGCTGAATTAGGATATGTAATTTTATCTTAGCTTACTTTTCAGTAACATAAGTTGTGTTATTTTATCTTATCAACTTAACAAATATGAATGAATGAATGAATGAGTCACGTCTCCTTTGAAATAACATTTCTGCATTACACACTCAACAGAATCATTGTAAAACGTTTTCTATAAATGGCAATCGTTACAAGTGACATTGTTTTAGTAATCACATTGACACTAGCACAACTTTTCTCATATTTTTGCTTAAAAATACGATTGAGGGCACGCTTAGTTTGCTTTTTAGAATTTAAAGTACAAAGAAAAAGTTATTTTTATGACTGCGTAAAGCGACTGCCTAGTGTGTTTCAGCCCTAAGAGGTTAATTGTGTGTAATTACGTGGAGTTAATGACGACACGTGTGAATCTACTATCGTACCAACAGACGCAAAGCGGAAGACGATTCATATTAAAATCGGCTTTTACAAACTGCGGTGAATGAATCAGACCTAAAAGTCTGTAAACATTGCAATATATTGTTGACTTACACACAAACTATTTGAAGTTGAGAGTGCGTTAGATATCGTTGGAAGAATGGTGAAAATGGATTAATTGTTATAGAAATATTTGTGTTAAAACAAGATACATAGTTTTTGTAACAACAGTTTTTCCCATTGGTGATGCTTAATGACTGAATTACAATAGTACACGTTCACAAGTATTTGTAATTGTAGTGAACCCTTCTGAACCTTCGTCGCCAGTTGAATGACAAAATTAGGGTGTGAAAAGACATTTAGGTGTTGAAAGGTTTGCGTCGACTTGTTGTATGATTTAATGATTCTAAAAAGTGTCTGCGAGTTACTGTTGTTTAATGTAAGCATGGCGATAGTATGGATATAGTTGTGGGTTTCATGTTTTCTTCTGCAATATTCACTGATTGTGCTTTAGTTTTAATTGGTATGTAGAGCGAAAATTGAGTTTTCTTAAAACTAAATATTAATTTTGAGAAATAGAATAGAAAGCATCGTGTTAGGTTTCCTTGACAAACCAGGAATTAAAATACAAATACTAAGAATTGTTTACTGATTTCGCTACTTAAAATTATATGAGTGAGTTTGAAGACAATCGCCAATATTAAATGCATTTAAAAATACAGTGCATGACGAAAGAAAAAACGATTATTCCCGACCATGTTTCATTTGCTTTGCTCTTTTTATTAAAATTTTCACTTTTAAAATAAAGAGGCTATTTAGCAGTGAAATTCCCACGAGAGCTAATGCACAATAAATGAGATATATGATTCTTATTTTGCAACTAATCTTTTGGGATTCACTAAATAATAGAATTTACCCACGCCAGCTGGAGTCCATAAAAGCATTGATAGAATATTCTTTTGTATCAGACCCCCAGTATGTCTGACGTGAATAACATCAATTCTTACCAACTTTGTTTATCAGCCTTGTAATTGCTTGTTTTGTCTCCATTTGATATTGAAAAAAAAAGATAAAAAATAAAGATAATGATTTATTATGATTTATGCAGAAATAATGAAAGAACGATTTTGGTAAAGCAGGAAAAAAATAAAAAGATAAAAAATGAAGATAATGATTTATAATGATTTATGCAGAAATAATGAAAGAACGATTTTGGTAAAGCAGGAAAAAAATTCAATGATAGAGTTGCAATGACCTAGATTATCACATGTAACATGTATTGATGGCGTTAGTATGTGGGTCTTGAATTGTATCATTTATTCGTGATCCAGTACTTGAATTTGTCATGAGTTTCTATGGTAGTTAGATCGTGTAAATGGCTTTACTGACCATTTTATGTAGTTAAAAATCGTAATATGCAGTTGCAGTTGCTTGCGTACAAAAATGACAAAGCTAAAGAGCTTGGAACGCACAGCGTTAAAATATGGCAGATGTTTATCAATTATGATTTAGGAAATTTGACCTAATTAAACCCATATTTTGGACATCTTCCCGTAGACGTACGTGTACAACAAATGAAATATTGCATACGAAAGTTATAAGTAGAAACAAAAAGTTTTTAACATGAGCAAAAGGATGTTATTGTTTTGGAAACGTGATAGAATTGTCGTCAATGAAATGTGTATTGAGCGGTAGAGATTGGGTTTTTTCGTTTTATGTGTTTTCCGACATCTTTTGGTTTCACCTGGATTTAACTCCATCGACAGTCTATACATGGTATTTTTGTAAAAGTCTTAAAGTGCCCGTAAGAGCTGCAGAAAATAGCACAGAAAAGATTTATACGTCGAAGCCAATTGTGCCAAAGTGAAACCAGGAGAGATTCAGAAAGTATATGGAAAGTTAGACGTTTTCTTTGTTAGTACATAAAAACATGGTAAAAACATTTCCCTGAGATGTTTAGTGAGTATAATGTCGCAGTTTTGCATAAAAAAGACAAAATTGCCGGATGCTTAATCTTTACAGCACGACATGTCTGCAGATAAAACAGACGACAACGACTAACAATGTTTATTGACTTAATTTAAAATAATTAACTTGTGATAATGAAAACGTTACCGGTATTAAAAGCAACAAGATGAAGGCAACTGTAAATAGAATAACGAATAAAGATGTATGTATGCATGATTTATCTAGAAATGTTTTCAAGCTGTGACTTTTGTTGCCTGCATAAATGCTTCACGTTTCTTACAAACTACGACATTTAAAATAAACGACAAATTTTTTTGAAGCAGACATGTTTCGGCATACTTTATGCCATCTTCAGTGCGAAGTGAATAAATATAGGAAGTTTACATGATAATAAGTTATAGTGATAAAAGGAAAAGTGGCCGGTGGTCTCCCCAATGTATCTGGAATTACATCCAGCACAAGAAAATTCATAAACCACGTTCGATTTTAAAAGAGTGGGAATGGGATCTTTGAAATTAAAGTGATTTTTAATTTTAAAAGATGAAAAAACTAGTTTGATGTCTAAGTCTGTGCAGTAGCGTTTTATTAAGTTGTGTAATTTCCGTTCCGTGATTTGTGAAATGTAGCCCAATGTAGGGTAGTTTGAAGAAGTAAGTCTCGAGTTGTGTGGGTTTATCACTATAACTTATTATCATGTAAACTTCCTATATTTATTCACTTTGCACTGAAGATGGCATAAAGTATGCCGAAACATGTTTGCTTTAAAAAAATTTGTCGTTTATTTTAATTGTCTTATAACCATTGTGTACATATGTAATATTCTTTCGTGGCAGCTCTCTATAAAAAGAGGTCAAAAGCTGTTTCAATCATCATTCATCATACTGCTGTTGGAACCAGAAGAAAACAAGAAAAAAGTTAATCATGAAAATAACCTATCTTGTCATCGCTCTTGGATTGCTTTGCACTTTTGCTTACGCTCAAGCGAAACTTGAAGATGGGGTTATGAAAGTTAATGGTGCAAAGCTCATATATTAAATACTTTATCTATCATCAACCATTTCTCTTGACCATATTTTGTACATGATTAAAGAATGATGGTTTCTTCATTTAGAATCTGATGAAAAAACCGCCCCAGTGGAAACTGTCGAGGAAGAATTAGTAGAAAATGATGATGAAAATCCAGAAGAAGAAAATGATGATGAAAATCCAGAAGAAAAAATGATGATGAAAATCCAGAGGAAGAAAATGATGATGAAAATCCAAAAGAAGAAAGTGATGATGAAACTGACCCCGAACATGACTTAGAACAAAGTGATGATCGTGAAGTCACAGAGAACAAGTAAGTTAATTCTATCTACTACATTTACGTTCCTGACATCGAAATGCTTCGTTTTGTATGCTATAGTTGACCTTGACATTTAGTCTCATCCTTCAAAGTTGATGAACGCGAACAGGGCCGTCCTTATAACGTTTATCAAGGGGAGATGTAATCCGTTCAAACGACTGGCAATCGAACCAGTACCGAATACACTATAGAACAAAACCTCGACAATTTTCAAGGTCTACTAAATGACGCCCCTTCGGTGTTTACTGTAAAGCTGTTCGAGCTGTTCATTTCTTGCTCTTATGTTATTCTCGATTTATATGAAAATGTTAGTCTCTTCTTTTTTACGCTTTATCCAAATCAACCGTAATGTTGATGTTTAGTCGTCAAAGATATTTTTTCTGCCCACTAATATAATACTTTTACCGACTGCATTTAAAAGTAAAGTTTTTGGGGTGTGTGACCCTTTCCTTACACGTACATTGTGTTTTGTAGTAATGATGTGAAAGCTGATCCAAGTGTGGAAAAACGCTCGCCTCGTTGGAGCTATAAGTATTATAGACGTCCTCATATTACTTTGCGTCACCGTCGTCGTAGTTGGACTCGCCGTCGTCGTTGGGCCTAATATGGCAAAAACCCGTAAGGGTCCTGTGGAATGTGTAGCGATTAATAAGAAACATTCATTTGATTCTAGACGTACTTTAAATTGGCATTGTTGTATGATTTGCCTGTAGAAAATAGATATTTGCATTGATCATTGACTTTGTGTGTTTTCATCGTCTTTTTTTATTTATTTCAATAAAAAAGCTACACTGTAGTTGGCAAAATCGTTGCGCGTTTTCTTTGCCAGTTAAGGATTTGTTTTGACTATATGAGATGTCGTTGGGTGTTTCCATGTAGAAGATTTTGGCAAAATTAAATCAAAGCAATAAATAAGAAAGATATATCGTGTCTATTTCTAAAATGTTGTAGTTTTGTTTCGCTGTTTGTTCGTTCCTCATTTCTCTGGCGATTGTGCTGGTCATCTTTACAAAATCTTTACAGCACGTCATGTCTGCATACTTTATGTCCATCATAGTCATGATATCCCATGAAAAGATTGGCAAGAAGTGGTGCTAATGGTGAGCCCATCGCGACTCCGTCGATTTGGTCAAAAAATTGTCCGTTAATAATTGTCTGATAAAGCAAACATTTATATAATACCTCATTCAACTGTAAATAATTATTCATAACTAATCAATATTTCCGTTTCATCACTATAACTTATTATCATGTAAACTTCCTGTATTTCTTCACTTCGCACTGAAGATGGCATAAAGTATGCCGAAACATGTTTGCTTTAAAAAAAATTGTCGTTTATTTTAAATGTCTTATAACCATTGTACTCTTACGATCTTACAAAATACATATGTAATATTCTTTCGTGGCAGCTCTCTATAAAAAGAGGCCAAAAGCTGTCTTCAATCATCATTCATCATACTGCTGTTGGAACCAGAAGAAAACAAGAAAAAAGTTAATCATGAAAATAACCTATCTTGTCATTGCTCTTGGATTGCTTTGCACTTTTGCTTACGCTCAAGCGAAACTTAAAGATGGGGTTATGAAAGGTAATGATGCAAAGCTCATATATTAAATACTTAAGAAGAAAATGATGATGAAAATCCAGAAGAAGAAAGTGATGATGAAACTGAGCCCGAACATGACTTAGAAGAAAGTGATGATCGTGGACTCACAGAGAACAAGTAAGTTAACTTTATCTACTACGTTTACGTTCCTGACATCGAAATGCTTCGTTTTGTATGCTATAGTTGGCCTTGAAATTTAGTCTCTGCCATGAAAGTTGATGAACGCGAACAGGGCCGTCCTTATAACGTTTATCAGGGAGGAGATGTAATCCTTTCAAACGACTGGCTATCGAACTAGTACCGAATACACTATAGAACAAAACCTCGACAATTTTCAAGGTCTACTAAATGACGCCCCTCAGGTGTTTACTGTAACGCTGTTCGAACTGTTCATTTCTTGCTCTTATGTTATTCTCGATTTATATGAAAATGTTAGTCTCTTACTTCTTATTTACGCTTTATCCAAATCAACCGTAATGTTGATGTTTAGTCGTCAAAGATATTTTTTCTGCCGACTAATATAATACTTTAACCGACTACATTTAAAAATAAAGTTTTTGGGGTGTGTGACCCTTTCCTTACACGTACATTGTGTTTTGTAGTACTGATGTGAAAGCTGATCCAAGTGTAGAAAAACGCTCGCCTCCTTTGAGCTATAGACGTCGTCATATTACTTTGCGTCACCGTCGTCGAAGTTGGACTCGCCGTCGTCGTTGGGCCTAATATGGCAAAAACCCGTAAGGATCCTGTGGAATGTGTAGCGATGAATAAGAAACATTCATTTGATTCTAGACGTACTTTAAATTGGCATTGTTGTATGATTTGCCTGTAGAAAATAGATGTTTGCATTGATCATTGACTTTGTGTGTGTTCATCGTCTTTTTTTATTTATTTGAAAAATAAGACGTTTGATTGTTTCTCAACAATCCTATAGAACTACATTGTCTTTGTGGTTCTGTCATATAAATAAAAAAGTTCACTCACATATCATATCATCTGTGTAGAAATAAGACGAGTAAGAGTGAGATTATCGTCAACATGTTTGTATAAAGTATTTTTTTATCACTACTATCAATGATGTAATCCATAGCTCATTCAGAAAAATTCTGAAAAAAGCTACACTGTAGTTGGCAAAAGCGTTCGGCGTTTTCTTTGTCAGTTAAGGATTTGTTTTGACTATATGATATGTCGTTGGGTGTTTCCATGTATAAGGCTTTGGCAAAATAAATCAAAGCAATAAATAAAAAAGGTAAATAGTACGTTCGTAGGAAGATATTTAAAGACTTTACCACGCTTTATACCACGCTAGATACTTTACGCAGATATCAAGTGCCTTTACACAAATCTGTAAATTTTCATCACATCCGTAAATTTTTCATTTGATTAAAAACATTCACTCGTGGAGAGAATATTTGCACAAAAACGAACAAGAATCATAAAGCTTGTCTCTTAGTTTTTACTACTTATCAATAAATTGATAAAATACAATTTATCTTATCTAATGGCTATTAAAACCTGCTTATAATTGAGTTTCTAGAAATTTTCTATGTGTGTGAGTTAATCAATAAGTTGTATTCATTGAGTTGTATTCGACCTGGAGGGACATGTCAACCAAATTACTATAAATTATTAGCGCGCGGCCCGTGGTCAAAAACATGGCGGATTTTGGTTGTCAAAGTCAGCGGAAAGACGCGGGCTTATCAAATAAAAATTTTGTCGCCCACCTTAATTTGACCACCACGATTGCGAGTATAGAAAATATCAAAACTATGTATTTTCCTAACACAAACACTTTAAAATTTTATTTATTAAACAATCTGCAAGCTTCCGTGGTTTGCGGATGCTGAAATAGCGACAGAAAAGGAAACATTTCATCACTCCGGTAAGTAGCACAGTAGTAGTTTAACTATTTTGTTTTTAACACGATACATGAAGAGTGTTTCTACTACTAAGTTTTAATTTAAAGTTATTTTGGTCCAGTCTTGTTTGTTGTTCACTTTATCTCTCGCCAGACGAGGCGAAGCTGCCAATTTTTATCGAGTTTTGCATCCATCTTGTATCATTATCAAGCTAAACTCTCCCGATTTGATTTGAGTTTATCTCCCAAAAATGGGCTGAATTTGTTCATAATTTTTTTGAAAATATGAAGGAAAAGTTTACAACAGAGTTGTGTTGAAATTGAATGCAGTGCCATGGAAAATTAACGAGAACTATGGTACATGCCGTATAATAGAAATAACTATTAAACTGCTTGCCTGCTCAATTTGACTGACTGTATAGTGTAGGCAATTATAATGAAATTGAAAAGTCGGATTTATGCAAACAGTTTTAAAGTATTACTTAGTGTTACTGGTCGAGAGGAACAGAGGTATAAACCAAGCAAGGACTAGATTCAATGCTAGTGCAAAAGTGATGTCCAGGACTGAGACTACAATGAAGGTTGAGAGGAAGAAAGGTATGACCCAGACAAGGACTAGATTCAATGCTAGTGCAAAGATGATGTCCAGGACCGAGACTATAATGAAGGTGGAGAGGAAGAGAGGTATGACCCAAGCAAGGACTAGATTTAATGCTAGTGCAAAGGTAATGTCTAGGACTGAGACTACAATGAAGGTTGAGAGGAAGAGTGGTATGACCCTGACAAGGACTAGATTCAATGCTAGTGCAAAGGTGATGTCTAGGACTGAGACTACAATGAAGGTTGAGAGGAAGAGAGGTATGACCCAGACAAGGACTAGATTCAATGCTAGTGCAAAGGTGATGTCCAGGACTGAGACTATTATGAAGGTCGAGAGGAAGAGAGGTATGACCTAAGCAAGGACTAGATTCAATGCTAGTGCAAAGGTGATGTCCAGGACTAAGACTATTATGAACATTGAGAGAAGAGAGGTATGACCCAAGCAAGGACTAGATTCAATGCTAGTGCAAAGGTAATGTCCAGGGCTGAGACTATTATGAAGGTCGAGAGAAGAGAGGTATGACCCAAGCAAGGACTAGATTCAATGCTAGTGCAAAGGTGATGTCCAGGACTAAGACTATATGAACGTGAGAAGAGAGGTATGACCCAAGCAAGGACTAGATTCAATGCTAGTGCAAAGGTGATGTCCAGGACTAAGACTATTATGAACATTGAGAGAAGAGAGGTATGACCCAAGCAAGGACTAGATTAAATGCTAGTGCAAAGGTGATGTCCAGGACTGAGACTATTATGAAGGTCGAGAGGAAGAGAGGTA